TGTTGTAACGTAAATTTACTGCTATACTTAATAATTTACAAATGTGTATTATAAGTATGTGTATACATTCACATAATAGAGTCCAAACAAATGAACAAACATATCTCTATTGCCTCTTATCACACTGATTGATTGCGAATTACTGATTTCTGGTGTACCTGGCTTCTGAAGAGTTTTTAGAGTACAGGGTTTGTGACCCTTGTACGTAAAACTGGTTTCTACGTCCAATCTTCATTGAATCTTTCGGAAGAACAGGTGTACATATGAAGGAATTAATACTGTTTTATGAAATTCATTATCAATATATTCCAAGACTCAATTTGAATACACATACACATACAATGAAACTAGCCAGCAAAGAGGCGACCACGAAAAAAAATTATTTTCTGTCGTTTTGGATTTTAGTCTGACTAGGAATCGAACCCTGAGCTTCCAACAGGTAATATGCACTGCTACCCACTCTGCTAGTGATGCCACCATATAAATGTATATGTGCATATGTAAATAAATATTTAAAGAAGGTAATTTCCCGGTTTTAGAAATTCATAGAAAATATTTAATGTACATTTACAATACGTACTGCCTTTTACCTACTTTTTCTATAATATTTGCGCATTTATGCATATAAGTGTGTAAGTTTCAGAAGCATCTTAATTAAGCATAGCTGAGTAACTGAGAATAACATTGAAACTCTTCTGTTGCGGCCATATACTATTTTCAAAAATCATCGCAAAAAAAGTAAAAAGAAAAACATTTTTTATAAATACTCGTCCATACATACATATATAATGAAATGTCTCAACATAAATTATTACATAAAGACAGACCAGTAAAACACCCTTTACATACTTGTGTATTTATATTTCATTTTTATGTAAAAATAAACTCATTTGTAGCTATAAAAACACATACATAAGCATTTATGTTTGCATGCTCATATATACATATATGTTGGATACATATATATACATAAGCATTTATGTTTGTACGTCGATATACATATATGTTTATACATTACATATATACGCAAGATATGCATGCTCGAACGTCTTAACATACTGATATTGTGTATATATTTACGTTAATTAACGTCTAAGATAGCGAGTGATTGAGAGTTCGGTCACAATTAAACAGAATGACGTTAACCCACAATTGTAAACTCATTAAAATTAAAACCAATGAGTCTGTATTATTCATATTATATAAATATTTTTATTATGTATTTTAGTATATACTTAAATTTTTTCGTTGTGCTAAAAATGTTCATATGTGATTACAAATTTTTTGCCAATCCGTTAAGTGGTTATTAATTCTTGCTCAAATCACTTTGAAAGTGATTAGCGGTAAAAAAAATTTGTATGTGAGGATTTACATATTTCTATTTCTCATTGAAATTCTCCTCTGTTTCTTGTGTCAAACGAAATTAAATTATATAAATTATTACATGTATTTTAAAATTGTTACCCATAATTTTCTTCCACATTAAATATGAATTAAAGAATTATTTAAATTATAGGAGAATTATTTTTTGATTCATAATGCATTTTCCTTAATTGTTTTTTGAAGTAAAATCTAGCGTATTGTAATGCCAAGACTTATCTTTAATTCTTTTCTTGAAGAGGCAACTGAAATTTAATAAGTTGATGTTATTTATTATAGTCACTACTTAGCGTATTTATCTGCCGTTTTGATAAGATTATAAAAACCAATGCTGGAAATGAATAAAGATAAAACTGAACACATGGGAGGCCAGCGGATATATTTTACATAACGAATACAGTACACGAAAACCCATATATACATGTATGTACTTAAGCAGATATATAGTAAAATTAATGAAAATATTTGATATCCGAAAATACAGGCAAATACATTTTTATGTATGTGTCCACATATTTCACGAATAACAAAAAATTGTGACAAAACTCCTTAAGAGGAAGTTCTTTCTGATCGATGACTCTTTTAAGTCTTTTTACACACAGTTAATTGATAAACCAATGCACTGATAACTGAATAAAATTCAATTATGATAAGCCAAAATATTGAGCGTATCTGACGTTTCTAATATTATTATTTGTTGCTAGCTTTTCTGAATGGGCACCTTCAAATGTGCATAGTTAGTAGGTAGAGTCTATTTTTTAAATACTTTAAATGGTTGCGAATACGGCTTCATTGTTTACATACAACTAAATCTTTTATGAAAATAATGATAATGTCACAAATTGATACACATGTGCGATAATAACGTATTTTTTAATATAATATATGTTCGTAGTACACGTTCTTGATTATTAAACAGCAAACAATGTGTACTGTTACCTACCTTTACTGAACCCGTGTTTACGCCTAATTTTTCAAAATTTGAATTCTTGTTAGCAAAATTTTTCATCATCTGCATTGTTTTAAATGTAATATATAAAAAATAAATATGTATGTACATCCCTATCTATCTCTATTGTTTTCACTTAATATATAACTTCGAAAAGGTGTACATATTGTTTTACATGTATCTATGTACTTATGTACATTGTGCATTCAGATTTTCTGAAAAATAATAAAAAAATGCTTAATTCATATAACATACATACATATGTATTTGTACATAGTACACCTTATAAACGAATGATACGTGTTTTCATTCTATTTATCTTTTCCTACAACCGAACTAATACATATTATATTCCGAAAACACTGCCTAATATGTCTACAAACTATTGTTAATAAATATGTGTTTCTGAGATATAAAATTAGACTCGATTGACTAGTTTTACGTCAAAATCATTAACGCGCTCTAAATTTAATTATCTATTGTTCTTCTTAATATTAGATCTTTTACATATATTTTGTGATCAAACAGACTTTTCAATTACACCGAATGATGAAAATATTCTTCGCTGGTGTAGATCATAAAAAAATAAAATAAAATATTTTATATTCTACAAGGGCTTTATGAATATGCACTTACACTTTTCAACTAAATATGTAGTTGATATGAATAAAATAAAGATAATATATACTCTGGACACACGCAAATATTTTCTTATATGAACATGGACATAGAACACATTGTGCAGAGATATTCTCTGACAAATCATTTTCGTCTTCTCTTTCAAAGAATCTTTTTTTTGGAAATGTAAATGTTATAATGATTTGCAATGTTATCAGATAAGATAAGAGAATATTGACGTCAGAGCAAACACTATCCGAAATATAATTGTATCTGGCAAATTCTTCACTTAAATTATGAGGAACGTATATATGTATGTTAGGCTCTTAATAACCGATGGAGCTATTTTCGCCCGAGCTCCTCCTCCAATTTTGAGTACTCGCCTTGATGTTTTTTTTTAGCCGCCGCCAAACGACCTATGAATTTTTATGAGGCGTTTTTTATTTAATGTCACTCGGTGGGGCTGATGTTACCTGCCGAGGGGCTACTGAAATAAAAGTTCCCCATAAAAAAATATTAGCCGTTTGGAGGCGGCTTAGTATAAACTATAGGTCGCTCCATTTGCTGGAAAAACATCAAGACGTGGACTACAAATTGGAGGAGGAGCACCGCCGAAAATTGCAAGAGTGGTTACAAAGCGCCAAATATATATACATATATGCACTATACGATTTTAACGTATTGTATATATTAGACCTAAAACTATTTTTAAATATATTGAAGTGACGTATGGTTATACATATGTGTAAGTAATCTATAAGCACTATTTTCACAGTTATTTATTTATATGTAAAAATTCGTAGTTAGGTTACGTATTCGGCGTAATATAGTTAGAAACAAGGAAACTTATTTAAAAAGAAATTAAGTTAATGTATATAACAGTTAAAATTACATATTTTTTATAATAAGACTATTAGTACTACAGCAGGGCGTATACGTAACCTAACTAATAGGAGATTACATTCATAAATCTGTGCATCTGTCTATAGTATCATCGTGCCTTAATAATTAAGTTGATTTCGGTCGGTTTTTTTTATCGGTAAACGGAACCTCTTGATAAAAATGATTCTTATGCCTTTCCTCAAATTTCTTCCACAGTTCTAAAGGGAAATAAAAGACTTTATCTCTTATACCTTAAAGATAAAATGAATCACTTATTTTTTTTTTATTTTTTTTTTGGAAAGAACAACTCACTTTCATAAAAAATGCTGATTGTTAAGTATTATTCAAATTCAATATTCAACGTAAAAAACATCAAAGTTCATTGTATCCTTCGAAACTAAATGGCAATTGATTGTTCAAGTTTTTTCGGCCATAAAACGCGTATGGCTTAAAAAACTGGATCTTGAAATGTAATTGTATATTTTAATAAGTAAGAAAATATGATTACAAATGATGATTCGTATAAATTTCAAACGAATTAATATTGTAACCAGTATTCGTACTTCATTACAATTTTAAGAATAAAAAGAAAATACACTGTCTATTATAATATTTATATTAATTTTACCAAAAAGATTTTATAACTAAAATTTGTGCAAAACTTGGAATCAACGACTTTTTGTTATAACCTGCCAAATTTATTTCCTGACTGAGTTTAATTTTTTTTTCCACATGAGAAAACCGATCATTGACATAATTGAAGACACTCACCAATGTTCTAAATGAGCAACATAGGAAAAAGAAAAACTTCACTTAACACTTATTGTGTGTCAAACACATACATGCATTTTAAATTTTCTTATAAATAAATAGCTTACCCTTTAGTCTAAATTGAAATTTTCAACATATTTTTTTGGTTTTACGTCCGTAGCCAATTCTGTAATGTTTGTTCCGAAAATACTTTTATAGGAATATCTAAGAAATCTATAGTGGTTGTAATTATTGCAGATATATCCAACCTCGGTTTGAGTATTGTAACAGTATGAAAAACAATACTAAATACTAATTATTAGCAATAAATATATCATATTACATATTAAATATTTTTATTGTATTTTGTATAGCCATAACTTTGCATTGTGCTTTATTAACAATTTAAATATAATTACAGCTCCTCTTGTTTGACAGTGATGTAAGTCTCAAAAATTTCTTTACCAATATTTATCTTTTTACAAATAGCTTTTTTATACCCACAATTATTTTTAATAATTACTTTCATTTATATACATACATACTCGTATATAACCGCTTTATATAAATGTATAAATACTCAGAATGTTCTCAAAATATGCTGCAAAACTTAAAGATAAATACTTAGATAAACTGTAATATAATTCATTATGTATAACATATAAAAAATATATATTTCATTATTCTTATCATTATTTATCAAGTAAGTTTTAGTTATTTAACCGTCTCTTACATTTTCAATTTTTCATATAAACAGAAAACTAATTTTGCTCTTCCGGAATAGGCCTGAATATAGACCTATATTGAAGCTAAACAAACTCGAACAAAGTACGCATGAGTATGATGTACATGTCTAGGAGTATCAATAAATACTTTTATTTTTGTCATCAAGTTTCGCAACCTATTTAAAAATGGTAGACATTGCTAGAATAAGTGCATTGTGAGTGCACATTCAATAAATTGGAAGCTCTGACCTTACGAAAAATATTGTTCACATTTCTCTAACATCGGCTATCAACAGCGCTGAAGCTAAGCTATAACAAATGTTTTACACGATCAGCTGCGACGTAGCCGCTACAACAACAACAATACCAGCTACGACTGGCTGCTTAATTTTTTCCAACGAAGTGAAACAAAATAACGTATATTTGTGGGTTTTGTGGTGGGTTACGTGCTTACTCAACACTCAATGTGATGATGGAAAGTTGCATAGAGGCAGGGGTGGTGAAAAAAGGGGACTGACATTGGCAATGTACGCATACACGTATGAGACACGTTCTGCCCGCTATTTGTTGTCCGTTTGTAATTCATACTTGTATTTTATGTCAAGGTTAATTTTAGTGTGTTGATTGATTTTTAATTTTTATAGATTAAAAGCTCGCTTTTTAACTGAAAGCGTTAAACATTTTCCTTCTTATATCTAATACTTATTAAAAATTTGTTGACATTTAACAATTTTTATAATTTAACGGCGCTTCTGTTGTAGGAAAATTGTTTGCTTACCTAGAATATGTTTCAAGTGGTTTAGACTTTTAAGAAATAGTGGTCGGGGCCCCACTTCGAAAAATCTTAAGAGAATTGTCGAATGAATGGTTAGATTTAAGACATGGAGTAATTTTTTTTATATTATACATTTTATTTACAATCTATTTAAAGATAAAAAATAATAAGCAATTATATAATGCAACTACAATTTACTTATATTATTGATCTCCAGTGAGGTCAATAATAAAATACAATATGATTTACAAGACTATATAATAATGTGATTTAACAATTTTTTGTCGTATCAAAGTATGTAATTTAATACAACGAAGCTAATTTCTAAATGGAAGTTCATATGGAATAAATGTGTGAGAGTCAAAATTTTCAACTCTGAAGTATTTTCGCCCCCTTTCTGGGATAACCACATACTACAAAAATTTTAGATTGCTTAATTTTTTTAAAAGATCTTATCAAATTGTAAATTATACTCTCTATCTGTAACCTTAAAATACTAACTCTTTTTTTAGGTAACTTTTACTTACGATACAAGTTTTTTTTTGTTCTGAATCTGAATTAAAAAAATCATTGAAGAACATTTTGTTATGCAAAGCAATTTAAGTAATTTATTATTTTTTTATACAAAAAAAGCGTATCTTGTGCAAGATGCGACAACAAACCCGTGTGAAGCTTGGGGTCACGGCAAATAAGAGAAGAAGCTTCAGTGGAGCCACTCCGACTTATTCAGTCTATTTGCAGCGCCTGTTCAACAGAGGTGTTGGTGTTGAAGCAAGTGGCTCGCTATATAAATATGTAAAAACTTTAATCTTAGTCGCCTAGTGAGGTTGTTGGCCTAGATCGCTGACCCCGCCACGATGTGAAAATCTTGAAGATGGTATCTTTGCTACGACTGTCGGAAAATTCAGCCTTCACAACGAAACATCTCCTAACGGGTTGAGGCTGATCGATTTCGCCGGGGTCCGAAATATGGTTGTCTGTAGTAGTACATTCCATCACACAAAAAAATACATCTACTACTACTTGGCTGTCCCCTGATCGAAAAACACAAAACCAGATCGATCATTTTGTGTTAGACGGAGGCATGTCTCTAGTGTTATTGATGTGTGTATACTCCGCGGAACCAACATTGACTCGGACCACTATCTTGTTGCAGCGAAGATACGCATTCTCCTCTGTGTATCAAAAAGGCCCGCAAAGACAAGGAAAGTACAACGTCGAAAAGCTGCATTCACAACAGACTGCCGAACGACTTCTACTCGACTTTCACTCCTGCTCTCTGAGAGCGCTCATCAGCATCTCGGTATACGGGAACTGTGGGCGGCATTTCAAGCTCCCTACGTACAGATGCAAACGAAACTATTGGATTTCGTAAAGATCGCAAAAACAGCTGGTACGATAAGGACTGCCGTGTCGCAGTGGAGCGAAAATAGACTGCCTACTTCGCAACCTTGCGATCGACCACAACACGTGCGTGGTGGGATAGATACCGAAGAGGGCAGCAAGACGCATCTGCAGACAATGGAAAATGGAGTATCCGGAGATGGTGAACCCGAAACCCCAATCGATGACGATGGAAAAGACGTCCCATTACCTGGCCATGAAGGGGTTCGACTACTAATTGCCCGCTTAAAAAACAAAGAAAGCGGCTGGAGCTGACGGCCTACCTGCAGAACTATTCAAACATGGCGGCGAAGAGCTGACAAGGTGCATGCATCAGCTACTTTGCAGAGTATGGTCGGATGAAAGAATGCCCGACCATAGGAATTTAAGTGTGCTCTGCCCATTTCATAAAAAAGGGGACCCCACAGTCTGTGCCAATTATCATGGAATAAGCCTCTTTAATATCGCATATAAGATGCTATCAAGCGTATTGCGTGGGAGGCTGAAGCCGACCGTCAACAAACTTATTGGACCTTTTCAGTGTGGCTTTAGACTTGGTAAGTCAACCATTGACCAGTTATTCACTATGCAGAAATCTTGTAAGAGACCCGTGAAAAGAGGATCGACACTCACCACCTCTTCGTCGATTTTAAAGCCGCCTTCGGCAGCACTAATAGGAGCTGCCTTTACGCCGCCATGTCTGTATTTGGTATCCCCGCAAAACTTATACGACTGTGTAAACTGGCCTTATGCAACACCAAAAGCTCCCGCAAGATCGAGAAGGACCTCTCCGAGCCGTTCGATACCAAACGAGGTTTCAGACAAGGCGACTCCTTAATGGTGTGACTTCTTTAGTTTGATGCTGGAGAAAATAAGAAAAGGTGCAATCTTTTATAAGAGTGTACTGCTGCTGGCTTATGAGCTGTACGAGTTATACGGTGACATCGACATAGTTCAGCGAATCAAGAAGCAGAGGTTACGCTGGCTAGGTCATGAAGTCTGGATGGATACGAATACTTTGAAAGTTTTCGATGCCGTACCCGCCGCTGGAAGCAGAAGAGGAAGGGCTCTACTCCGACATGGCTGTACTTTGTATCTCCAATTGGTACCATACATCAAAAGGAAGAAACGAATAGCGCAATGTTGTTAACTCGGCTACTATCGCCTAAGCGGTGTCTACGCTAGTAATGTCTTCATTAGTCAGACAGTCGACTTTAGTATACAATTTTTTCAAACTTTCAGTCATACGCCGGAAGATGCGAGGTTTTTAAATTCGAAGTTTCAATAAAAATCAAAAGCTAAAAAATGATGTCACCGTAATCAACATTTTAGGTTATGCTCGTCATGATAGTAGAGCCAAAAGGTATTTTTACCTAAATATCTAAAATATATACATATGAATTAAACACGTATGCATACAAATAAACTTTATTTCAAATAAATTATTTTAAACACTTGAGAAGTAAATTAGTAGTTAAATACATTAATCACCTATTTCTAATTGAAAACATGGTATCTGTGAATTCATGATTTTATTTGAAGGTTTTTTCATTTTCTCTTCACAACCGCTGCATTTGCTATGTTTTATTAAACATAAAAACTTGCTACCCTCTTGTCTTACAGTACAATAGCTGATAATATCAAACCTTGATTACAAAATGAGCACATTGAATTAATAGTCCATCGACGAAGATTGTCTAGTCCAAAACACGCCAAAATATTAAAACAGTAATCGAACAACCACAATATTCACCTAATTCCCTGCCAATTTTTTTCTTTCCAAAACTAAAATGACTGCTTCAAAAAAATACAAGAGAATTCACAGGAGGAACTGATGTTGATTGACAATATTGAGCATTGTACATAAACATTCAGTCCACAGTAGCACCTGTTAGCAAAAGTGATTCTGATATTGTTATTGATGTTATGACTGTCAACAGTGACATCAGCGCCAATACTCGAGCGCACTGACTGTTTGTTTGATTAAAGAAGATATTTCGACTTATCCTCATTCACTACCAGACCCATTCGCCTCGCTTCCACATCCAGTCTGGCAAAAGTAGAACTTGGGGGTAAAAACTTTCTCTGCTAACTTATTTTCTGCTGCAGAGGAGAAATACATCATTGCGATCATAACGCAATTTTGACACTAAATACTGCTAAGTTGGCTCGAATAGTGATGGATTGACTTGCAACAAATTTAATCGTATCCTGTAATGTTATGTCCAGGAATCTAATTATCAAACTACTATCGATAAAGTATGTAATTAGATAATCTTGCAAAATTTTAAACGCAAGTCACACAATTTGATGATATATAAACAAATAAACTAATTTTAATTTTAATTTATAATAGAAAGAGAAATATATGTACTTATTAAGTAAAACTCTTCCTAAGCCAGAAAGAATTAAACTTCAACTCCAGTTTGCCAAGCTTTCGCAAGTTTTTTATTATTTTATTATTATTGTTTGATTGCTAAGTAAAAATTTACATGTATTAAAATTTATCAAAGTAGCTTGAGATCGCTACATACATTTATAGATAGATACCTATTGTTAATATGAGCGCTAATATTTCTGTGTACACAATTTATTAGTTTCGAATTGTTCATTGCTGCTACGTTTGGTATAAGAAATATTGAAACGCACGACTGAATAAGTTTTCCTATAGCTTAGACCTTTCTGATTACGTTAACATTATGTGGGTATTAGCAATAGAGTCAAGGTATATTTACTGCATTTTATGCACGTCATTTACATTCTCTCTGTACCGGAAATTAGAGAGGGAATAACTATTAGCGAGTCTCTTCCGTTGGGAGCTGATAAGTTCACACTGATAATTTTTATATATAATCAAAAGCAAATAACTAATTTTACAGTGATATTAAAGCAGCCTGCAACTGTATCTTTTAAAAGATGACTCTTAACCTCAATACATATGTACATAAATGTGAATTTACACATTTGTCTACACAGCTGCTTGCATCTATGTACATATTTGAAGAATAGTAAAGCAACATAAAAAGTTATGATACAGAATATATGTATGTCATTAATACCTACGTGTATGTGGGGGCACCGCAGCTCAATCTGTGTATTTGATCCATGAATTCTCGGTTTATTTATTACATTAAAATTATTCGATTTACTTGTCTTTGATTTACATCAAAAGACGTTTATCGTAATGATATATTTTCACTTCTCAATTTTAATGTCAAGTCTTTATCTATTCATTATCGGCCGCCATTTTGAGAATTTTTTTAGCTGGCGAAACCCTGTCGTCCTCTCTCTCTACCTCTTCTATATAGCTTTTCCGACAAGAACTTTTGTGTGCACAAATTTTAACAGAGTTTCCAAGTTTTCAATACTCTAATCGACTAGAACGACCACCAATATTTATTTATAAGTGCATACATACATACACAATGCTCCTCCATTTCCTACGCTTCATTCGTCATCATAGTATGTATTAAATAATTTCAACAATAATATTTAGCGATTAGCACGTATAAGTATATTTAAATGTAATTTTATTTACCTGACTGACTTTCTAATAATTAGATAGTAATTCCAATTGAAGTAATAACCATACTAATGTACAAATATATATATGAATATAAAATTATACTATTAACACGAAATAAATTAGCGCGTTTCACACTAAAATCAAAACGGAGCAGACGTAAAATTACGTAATAGGTAGCTTGATTTTAAAATATTTATTTTGAAAAAAATGTGTACATACATAGATAAAACATACAAGAATACATAACTCAGCTTAGTCTCTATTCACATATATATATACATTAATATTTTAACAGGCAGACGATTGTTTATTCGATGCAGATCTAAAATTTGACAGTTTCTCTTCTGATTTGGCCATAAAGCAAGAGCCACAGTCTCTCACTGACGCAGAAATGCATGCATTAGCAAAGGATCGGCAAAAGAAGGATAACCATAATATGAGTAAGTGAAAATAATTTGTTAATGAATACGTGTCTGTAATGATGTTTAGAGTTTGTTAATATTGGCACTTTATACCTACTGAACGATTTTCGGACGAGCTCCTCCCCTAATTTGTTATATGCATCTTCTTGTTTTTCCAATAAATTATAGGACCCACTAATTTTCAGAGTTCACTACGATCTAGATTAAACTTGTTTTTGATGGAATATTATAAATACGTTCATATCTGGTCATATTTATCATAACAATGCATTATCAGACTGTTTCTATGACACAAGAAGGTTTTTTCTAATAACTTCTTTCCCTGTATTAAATTTTATTTAAATCAAAACAAAAAGAAAAAATTTTTGAATAGGTCGGCCCGTGATCGTGAACGAAAAAATAAACTGGTAGCAGAGAACATAATATATTAAAGAGAAGGACGGGGACGTGCCGATTGCCGTTTGTTCCACCTACGGGATTGCTAAGAGACTATTTCACTTCTATACGATATTAGTAAGAGACTGTTTCACCAAACTACCAAAGACTGACAAATTATTTACAGAAGAATGATATTTGGGAGGCAATTATTTTATTAATTTATTATTATTTTGCTCAGAAATGTTGACAAACAGAGTCAATTTCTGGCGGCAGTGGTGAAATTGTCTCTTATTTCTTTCGTCGATTCTGGCTGTTCACATGCTGTCCGCAATCGGTCCTTCTGGTTATTTGGCGTTCTCTGCTGCTAGCTTCCGAAAGAGAATAGCATATTTTTTTTCTTAAAAATTCGCTAGGTCTTCGATTTTCTGGTAATTTATAATAAAAACCACAAATTCTCCGATTTTCGTCTGGAGTTAAGATTTACGTAAAATACCGCAATATTTTACATAAAGCTAGGTGGAAAATATGTGATCTTAGCTTCTATGCGTACAGTATATTTAAGACCAAGTTATTAGGCTCTTTTCGAATTCCTAAAAAATTTTTATTCAATAATTATTATATGTATACAAATGCAACGTAAATCAATTAACGATTGCAAATCTATTATAACAAATATTTAAACTATTTTCTAGTTGAGAGAAGGCGACGCTTTAACATAAATGATCGAATCAAAGAGCTCGGCACACTGCTTCCAAAAACAAATGATCCATACTACGAAGTCGTGCGTGATATTCGTCCAAACAAGGGCACAATACTTAAATCATCTGTCGATTACATAAAATGCCTTAAACATGAAGTATCGCGGCTAAAACAAAATGAGCTGCGCCAACGTCAAATGGAAATGCAAAATAGAAAACTATTAAATAGAATAAAGGTAATAAAATTCAACTTATCTGACATTTACAAGTGAATCAGCTATTTATTCAAATTCAAAGGAACTGGAAATGCAAGCTAAATCTCATGGACTGCCTTTAAGTGACTTTACTTCAACGTCTGTATCAGCACCAGCGCCAACATCTTATCTCAAAAGCTCTAGCCCCGCTTCACCTACGTCACATAATCATCATTCTGCATCCTTAATCCCAGATATGGTAGAAAAGGTAAGGAAACGGTCTTTTTAAGAACCATTTTACCCACTTCAAGGAAAATATGTTAATTTATTATTTGCATTTTACTGTTTAAAATTTTATATTAGTTATCAGTTATTACCAGTGAAGCCAGTCTCAGTATTACTCCAATTGACGATCTTATGGAGGACAGCAAAAACCCAGTACAATGTGGTGATCCTTTACTCTCCTCAAACTTAAGTCACTTTTTCTCAACGACAGACTCCCCGACTCCAACGCAATTGCAGTGTTGTAATAGCTTCGATGGCAACAGCTGTATTGGTGATAACGGTAACGACTGTCACAATCACAACTGTCAGAATAATCAGAACTCGTTAGATGACCTCTATCAAAGTGCCGTTGCTTCTACAGCAAGAACTGTGGTACCCAACAACATTAACTGTTGCAATAGCAAAAGGAAAAGCATAGATGATGGAGTATGCTGCTTAACCAGTTGTCATCAATCAAGCCATCAACGTCGTCATCAACAGCACAACCAGAGTCGCCAACATTCAATAAAGCTTAGTGGAGAAAAGGACTCATTCAATACGAATCACTATCTACAGCAATCGCATCACCATTTCTCATCTATGGTGAATAATAACGACATAAACAGCCTACCTAAATCACCGTCGACTTTGCAACACGGCCGCGATCCGTTGTTATCTTCTTCCCACCACCAACAAATTGATCAAAATCTTCCGCTAAACGACATAGATCACCATCATCACCATCTGCATGATGACGAACATCACGTCGGGGTTTCACACACCTCAGATGATCTCTCCAATGCAATGATGAGTGATTCCCTCTCACTAGTGTCATCTGCCGCAAATGATGCTATGTTGCTTTCGCCAGATTCTTTGGACATAGATTTGGCATGATAAAAATTGCTGCCGCTCATGAACTTAATTTATTTTATAATTGTATTCGACAATAGAGCCAAAATAATAATAAGTCATTGGAAAAGTGAACAAGGACCACACAGATCTAATATATACATATGTAAGTTAAACTTACGTGGCAATATCAATGGGCATAAAACAGAGCAAGTTTCTATTTGATTTAAATTAAAAGTAGTATGAGAAAATCTTCGAGCCGATCCTTTAATATTTAAATACTGTTGTGCAGTCAGAGTGTTTATTTGATATTATGAACTAAATATATTTTCTTCAGTATTTGGGTTCGCTGACTCGCTACGTTGCTATAATTTAAACTTTGACATGATTTTGTATCAACATACGCTAAATATGTCTGAACTAATCTCCATTCTAAGTTTTAAATCGATTTTAGTGGGTATTTGAAAATTTTTTCTTCGAGTAAGGCTTTTCTGCACAGAATTAATTTTGTTTAACGAGTACATTGCACCTTCAGCTTACGTATTAAGCTTAATATTTTGGCAAGTTACGAGTCTAAAAACCCTTCAAAATTTTCATATATATGTATGGCGGAAGTTTTATGAAAGCTCTGCATATGTACATATGTAGGTACAAAGTCACAGAAGACATTTAGAACTCTGAATCTGTTTTCCAAATCGGACATAACTCTAGTTAAAATATACAAATACGAACATAGATATATATTTTCCAGCAAACATACATATACATTCCAAAGAGTGTTGAATATGAAATTTCAAAGCTTATGAGAGTTTCTCGAAATCAGCAGTCCAAAGCCATTGAAATGTTATTTTATCAAATATTCATTCTTGCTGTTGCACCATGTAATTAAAAAGTTTAAAATGCGACGAATTATATTATGCTTGTTTTAACAAATCAAAAATCTTTTTCGTCGGCGTAGATAATATCGAGTGGTGTTACAAAATCGGACAGGTTAGGGGAGGATGTGAATTGAAAAATGTATGTAAACAAAAAAAATTTGTTACTTAACTCATATACATATGTATGTAGGTTCCTATATTTTATGCTTAACAGACGGCATTGCAATGTATTGTTAAAATTTTTTTGTGTATATACGATGTACATAAGATATAAAAATGTTTTAATTGGTATCTTACTTTTTTTGTTCTTAAACATATACATACATATATATTATAATATGTATGAAAGTGTAAAAATCATTATAAATATAAAAATGTTGAGTAATTACGAACTTCATAAGTTTACCTAGTACAAAAATTATACCAAGAGCAAAGTCATAGAAGGATTACAAAACTAAGAACCCTTTATATATAATATTGTACATAGCTTTCAATTACGTAATATTAAAAGGTGATGTACTTAAACAGCTTTTCGATTAATTCCGCCGTCTATCTGCCTTGCTAAATGGTTAGAATGAAAGAAACGGAATAAACTTTAACATTTTAGTCTATATCATATGCTTATGTACAAGAATTCAAGTGGTTAATGGAGGTGATGTAGCATAAGCATTTTTTGATCTTGAACCCTTCATCAATACATGTACATATACTGATGTATGAAAAAATAAATGTTTATTTATACACCCTTATCCTCACAAGTTTGCATTGTTTAATTAGTACCTCAACTGCAACTGCATATGTTTGACAACAGAAGTCAGCAATATATCATTATTTAAAGTTGTGCTGTCATCCACTGACATTTTTTGTCCGTGGCAATGCTTTAGAGCTGAAAAGCTAAATGGCAATGACACTTATACTGCTTCCAGAAAGAAATTTTGTTAACAAATTATTAGATTAATTAGATTTTGGGACACCTTTCAGAAGATTTTTATGTATTTATTAAAATGTGAATAATTTATTAAAAATATTTTTTTTTAAATTTTAAAAAATCTCCACGAAAAGGCCTAAATTTATTTCAGTCTTATATTTGCAAAATAATACCTTATGTTAAGGCAACAGTAAAACGAGCTTGCACCATGCACTACATCGCCTTTAATGATTTGGTATAATTATTTGATCATGAACGAGTAACTCATAGATACCACAAAAAGGAGCACGAGAAAACTGTTAGATTATTGAGAAGGTACTATGCCATTTAGTTTGCTGTAAATCGAGTAAGTGAAATAAGAAATAAGCTAACAGTAAATTATAAACAAACAAAATAAAACAAACCTATTTCCTAAAATCAATTACAAATGTAACATCTTCGATTTTCGTGATCTAATATTTATTTGTTCATGTACCAATACCACAATTTCTTATCAGCTAATGTGACTAAAACAGTTTGGTATAAAGTTTGTACTGAGCACTGCAAATACAAATTACTCTAAAACCACAGCAAATTTGTTTATCTTAACTCATCACTTAAAAATGAAATTGCCGATTGATGCACAGGGGAAACGTATTGTAATGGTATTTTTATAAGGTTTCTTAGATGCATATTACTGTTATGAATTGTGTTATCCTGGTGTTGTTCATTCTAGACGACAGGAATTATTTGAAGAAATAAATTTAAAGTAACGTGTACATATATCTGACTTTATTCTATTATATAAATGTATATATATATATATATGTATTAAAATTGAACCGATCTGTTCTTTTTAATTTGATATTACGGCTGTGTTCGTTCGATACTAAACCAAGTTTCAGACAATGGCATAAATGAAAAAAAACTGCCCAGTAGAAATAAAGAAAAACCTTACACACTTCATATAGAAGCATTCTTAAAGCGGCCAGTAAATATAATCATGTTTTTCCCAAATCCTTCGGGTGAGATCCTTGGATTGTTATATTAATGTTGATTAATTAATTTTACATTTTAATTTGTAATTTACCTGGTTAAAAACTGAGAAACTCTAGGATGCTCATTTACATTCCTTTCACCGTTGTCATTTTAACGAATTGATGCAGTATCGAAACATATTTTTGGAGTTATTTAATTACCTTACTCTTGATTTGACAAAAGTGATAATAAACGAAAGGAGGCCAAAGGCTACTTAATTCTCTTGGTACTACTTAAAATACTCCTTCTTCCATTTTCACACTGCGATTTCAAAAATGTTCTGTGAAAGTGTTGATGTGTGGTAAAGTGTTTTTTATAGAATATTGGGTACAAAAGATTAAAAAGTGGAAAATTTTCAGTTTTAATTTGCAAACATCACCGCGGATAAAGATTTATATATTCGTGACATGCGAGATTCAGTCTTGTGTTTGATATCACTTTCGCCAACAAAATCAAGAGGATGGGAAAAAGTTTTAGCCGAAGTGCCTAAGGTACTTCCACAGTACCAAGACGCAAAACGTATATGAAAATCGAAAATGTCAAAAATAAAATTAATAAATTGGGATGACTATTGCACTTCCGCGGACCAAATCAGAAACATATTAAAGATATTCGAAAGAATTAAAAGTACAGATATATCCACAATATGTGGTAAAATGAAATTGGATTACATTGGAAAAAGAAAGGGTACGTTGTTTATTGTTGGGAGCTTACTGTTCTTTGAGGCGATGGTATGCGTTTTGCTGCCATCTTGTTGAATATTCAGTGGACCGCCTGATCTTGTGGCAAAGTATATTCCACTCACCTTGCTACGTAGCACACGGGGCTATATTGCCGAAATAAAAAATGCTTCTTAAATCGCTCTGAAGCCTGACTGTATCACAACTAGTGCCGGCGTTCAGTACTCGAGCCTCGTTTTTTTGGCCCTACGGCCGACGACCATATTCGGAAAGCACTTAATTAAACTTTTGCTGAATATAACTTTACCCCTCCTGGAGCTTCTAAGAAACTCTAAAAAAACGATAAAAGCATGACTTTTTCTAGCAGTTTGTCCCAAATGAATGAATATTTATGAAAAAAGTGCTGAAAACATTTATTACAATAATAAATTTATCTCTATCAATGCTTATAATATGATGAAGAAAAAAAGGCATTTAAATTAAGAGCGGAAAAAGTAAAAAAAAAAATCACAGCAGCCTTCGGCCAATGAACATCGTAGTAATGATACATCACCATTCATTTTAGTTTGAGAGATTCTGTTGTTTTCCTTTTAAATCTTTTCGTAATTCGATAGTGGGGATTCAATGTACGACGCTATAAAGTATAAAAGTATTCATTAAAATTTTAATTTAATAACTGCTTAAAAACATAGATGCTCAACAATGCTATATCATTACGTTTCGTTAACAAGAAAAATTAACTCAACGATGATTTCATTAACGTTGTAACCGCACAAAACTTATCATTAATACTAATTTTAAAATGGTTGCTTGCTATGATTTAACAGCACACTTCAAATTTGAATGTTTAATATATTTATTAACGATTGAACACTAAGGCAGCTGTTCGTTTCTGGAGCTTATTTTGATAACTGAAACAATAGAAACTTTTCGATTAACGTGAAACTTATCGTTACAACTCTGCCTTACTTAAAACACATGCATAAATATGTATATGTACATACTTTTACAAAAAAAGTACATGCTAGGGTAAAAATATATACAACTGTTCTTTATCCTGAGGACAAATCCCCAAACTTAAAGTATAAACATGTGCACCGACGCTTGACCTTGTGGCACCTAGTGTCTTCGTTCAGTAATCGCGTCTCCCCTGCCTTGTTCGTTATTCAATCCCTTTCTTGTAGATTTTTGTTTTTAACATTTTATGGGGGGTCTGCGCGTCTACTTTTCTAGACACTTTTACTAACAAATCCCTCTTTCTTGAGGAATATTTTCAACCATTTATAACTATGCATATATTCGTAGATATGCTGAGTTAAAGATTGCTTATCTTCATTTTCCTTTTTTAAATCCTCTCCTTGGTGGGTAATGTCTTCTAAATCTACCGCTTCCACTCCTGGGTTTCCTGACGCTGTACTTTTTAAAAAGAACGAGTTTTCCGGAAATGGCCGCTTATCCGAACTATCCCTTTCTCAGCTGAAGTTGAGCAAAGCACTGATAAGAATTCTCTATCCGCTTACTATAAATGTAGAGGTATAATAACCGCAGCGACATCTCTTGATAAGATCATGACTGCATAGGGGTCGCGTGTAAATAGGTACTAATGTACTATAGTGTACTTGTAACATATTTTTGTTTACTGACTGTTGCAGAGAACTTATTATTATATATAAAATAATTATTATATATTAAGTATTTATTATATATTTATTAGATATAACATAATTATTGCATATAAAATATTTATTATATAAAAACTAATTTTTATGTATAAAATAATAATTATAAGTTATCTGCTGTTATTTATTACCTATTATACAAATAGAATGTAAATAATAGCATAATTAATATTTTCTTGACACCTAATTACGTATTAACGTCACCTCATTGGCATTTTTTTATTGAAAAATAGCGTCTAAAATTTCAGGGCGCACATAATAATGTGTTATTATATTACTTATTGAAGCGCGATCAAACGGGTGAAAGTTGACACTCAAGTACCATTTCTTTTTATTATTGTGCGAAGTAGTTTTTCAAAATAACTGTTGAGATCGCAGTAAATTTGTTTTTCTAAATAAAAGGTGCGATATCAATTTTTTTTATAATATAACATTTTTTAACAAGCATATTGTGTTTCCTCTGGATATTATGTATTTTATATTTTATAACTATCATACGAAGTTTTATTTCAGACTAGCCTTGTATATAATTTCCACTAATTAAATGCATATATATCTACTTCTATCTTGTTCATTTTTATATTTATTGAAATAATATGCTAAAGCGAACAGATACAAATTTTTATAATTTAATTTAAAGTGCAGTGAATGTACTTTTATTACAGAATACGTTTACAATCTAAAATATTTATGTATATTTAAAAGTTATAAAAGTTATGAATACATCGTAAGACAACTTTCCTGCTTTAAATACTTAAAAGTTGAAATCACGTATATAGTTGTTACAAAAGCATCATAAACGCCGTTTTATCATTTTTTAGCCAACTCCGCCGATAACCAGTCAAGCCCTTCGTAAAGTCCATTACCTTGAGTAGCGCACGCTGCTTGAATATACCACTTTAACAGAACAGAATAATTTATTGGTCTTAACAAACAAATTTATTCCCAATTTAACTTACATGCCGATTTCTAAGCTGATTAAGTCTTAGTTTATCGGTTAATTCAGCGGCGCTCATAGCATTTGGTAAATCTTGTTTATTGGCAAATACCAGCAATACTGCATCACGCAACTCATCTTCCTGCAACTGTAATAAATAAATTAAATAAATTTTCATGTAGCACAAGTAAAGAACTCACCATATTTTGCAGTTCTTTTTCTGCTTCGTTTATGCGGTCGCGATCGTTTGAGTCAACAACGAAAATTAAACCTTGGGTATTTTGAAAGTAGTGGCGCCATAATGGCCTTATTTTGTCCTGACCACCAACATCCCAAACAGTAAAACAAATATTTTTATATTCAACCGTCTCAACATTAAATCCAATAGTTGGAATGGTTGTGACAATCTCTCCGAGTTTCAGCTTATAGAGGATAGTTGTTTTACCAGCAGCATCCAACCCAACTGGATGGAAAAATGTGTATGAACAAATTCATTAAATCAATATATGAATAACTGTATAAGAGACAAATTATAACTAAAAGAAGGCATCCAGAAGAGTACCTCATAAAAGTACAATAGTGCATACATACATGCGTACAAATGGATGAATATAGAAGTAAACCTTACCCATCAAAATACGCATTTGCTTCTTTCCAAAAAGACGTGTCAGCAAACTTGAAATAGTTAAACCCATTGCAGCAGATCTATTAAAAGATGTAAAATATTTTTAAAACTAATTCGAAATGAAGATTTTAAGAACGTGACGGCTTTTTCAGTAGTAATATGCGGTGTTTTATCAGCTAACTTTATTGCAAATCACACATATACCCAGCCTTATATTATGTTATCGACGTGTAGTTACGTTCTACTTTAAGAAAAATTTCAATATGGCAGTCATGACAAGTATGATAATAAAGGCTGATCCACATACAACATATTCCACTTGCTTTCAGATGAAACTCTGGCAGAATAGAGCAAACCGAGAGCATGGCACAAGGGAAGCAAAAAATTTATCCGATATTTTACATATTTTTACCATTTAATAACTTTGAAATGAAATCAATATGAAAAAATTGTAGTTTTCACTCTTTTGAGAAGTTAAAATTTTTGTAATTCTTTACGGAATTGAAGAACCGCAAATATTTTGATGTTCGACAACAATCCTCTCAATATATAACCAAATTCATTTGCTAACAAAGTCGAATGAAGGAGCGTTGAAGAACTTATGTTATCAATGAAAAAGGAAATTTGTGAGTTAAAATCTTGAAAAAAATATTTTTTTATATATTAATTACATATATATATATAGAAACTAAATGTTGCCAACATAAGTGTAAATGTACAAAATTATACATATATTTGCACAACTCTTTGTTAGTCAAAAATATCCAAAGTTTCTCCAAAACCTCAAATAGGAAGCTTCTCTCCGAAGCGGCATGGTTGGAGTGCTCCAACAAGATAAAGAGTTTCGTATTATGTTACCCTAGCCCCAACTAATTATTCATAAAAATATATATTACGAACACATATATATGACAAAACGCAACTCTGAAGAGAGGCGAGAGCAAACTCTTGTGTGAACCAGCCTTAATTGCCAGATTGCAACCAGGGTTGTAGTAAGTCCGAGCTTACACGGGGATACTTTTTGTCGAAGAAACATTCGTTTGTTGGGGAGAGAGCGACGGCGAAGTCGACAGCGCACTGTGTCGCTGTGCTTGTTCGACACGTTTTGTGTTTCTATTAGTATCTGCAGATTTTGACATTCTCTTTTATTTTATTTTTCACTTTGAAATGATTCAGACTGATTGTTGTAGTCTTAAATCTCAAACGAATAAATTTTTAAGTTTGGATATTGAAATTGGTTTTTTTTCTGCAATATTTATATGTGCATGCAAACATATATGCCTGTGCGTGTATGTATCAAATTATTAATTTTTCTGATAATGGAGTTTGCGGATATAGTTAATAAATGCAAGAAATATTAGAATGGATTGAAGAAGCCGTTGGGATTGACTCTGATGATAGTGAAAAGGATGATATACAATATGTAATTAGATTGCACTTAGAAAAGGATCAACTCTACCCTTTTGTAAAAATATGAAATAAATATAAAAGCTGTGTCTCTTCACAAGCATTGTGTTTTTATTTCAGAAATATTAAAAAGCGCTGAGCGAACCAAAAATTCTGAGTGTAAAAAAAGCGGAATAGAGAAAAAAAAATTGATAAGAAACAAATGTCGAAAAAATTGCTTGGAGAAAGCAGTTCAACGCTCCAATTTAGGGATTGCAGTGAAGGGTGACACAAAAAAAAAAAAATAAGTTGCAATAATAAGCGATTAAAGTATCCTCATGTAAGCTCAGACTAAGGAAACGGTAATATAATCAATTCCTTATTATATCATAAGTTTTATTTAAATTATCTAAAGAATGTACTATATAGAGGAGGTGAAAATTTCGAAAAAATTAAGAAAATTTTTGAAAATTAAGAGGAGGTCAACATCCGCAAAGAAATGAAACTTGCTTCACCTTCACAGCTGTGATCACCTAATCGATTTCCACCGGAAATTCCCATGTGTTTGCTGTTGTATAAAAGTGAGTTAACTCACTTCTCAAAGTAATAGCCTATTTCCACCGGACGTTAAATGCATTTTAGCTTAAATGCAGTTAAACATCGCACTTAAATGCGGTAATTCCCATGTGTTTCTTGTTGTATAAAAGTGAGTTAACTCACTTTCGGCAATTTAACAGAAAATGTTATGTTAACAGTCGATGCTGTCACTACTAATGTAATCATTTCGGAAGTTTCAAATTTCTTGCCAGAGTCGTGTATTTTCGGATTTAATGAGGGGTGAGACTTTTGTTTTGCATGGTGAAGTTTTGTCTGCAAAGGTTATTTCTTTGCATTAGTTTTAACATAACTGGCGAACATAATTGGCGAAGAGAATGCTTTCTCCTCTTTCAAAAAATACAATAAGAAACAGACATAAAACAATTGTGGAATTTCAAACGATCCCCTCAATATAAAAATATGGATGGCTGTGGCAGCTATCAGCTGATTTCGCAAAATATATAATTTCAGGCAACAAGTGGAAACATGTATCAATTGCATTTTCGTTTCAGCGACGATTGTCCGTGCAGAACAAATCTGCACTTGCAAATCATAAGATTGCATAAATAGCCAAATAAAATGAATACGATTCATGATTTCAATATTTGTGACAAATTTTGCAAACTGCAATTGTAAATAGAAATCAGCTGTTTGAGTTAACTCACTTTCGTTGAAAACGTTTGACATTTCATTCACTTAACAGAGGTGCGCTCTCGATAAAGTGAACTTGAATGCCAAACAAATGTTCAAAAAAAAGTCTTATTATATTTAAACAAGAATTTTTTCAATTAATTTATGTTTAACAATTCGAGAAAATACAAAATTTAATAGAAACGTTCAATCGATGAAGAATTAAATAGCTATATACAAATGACGCTTATAACTTCTAAAACTTCCTCAATCATTGAATTAATACATATTTTAATTATGAAAAATATAGGATTATTATTTGAAAAGATTAATTAACTTAATACAATTAAATATTTCAATACAATTTTGAAATCTATGAAGTTATATACGAATCTCTCCCGTAGCTGTTGACTAGTGACTGATATATTCGAGGTATACAAAGTTTGCTGTACCTGTACACCGTACGCACACCGAAATGCTAAAAATATGAAATCTAGTAAAATTTTGTGATCGTCGCGAAGAAATCGCTTGTGGATGGCGGGGTATAAGAGCAAGAGCTCGGGCATTATTAAGATTGTGTGCGTTTTGCGTATACATATTAAACTTGAGGATTAAATTTTTTTCATTAAAATCAAATATTCTAGACTGTTCTAGAATTTTCTGGAACTTTTAGAATATTATAGAAATCTTCGCCACAATTTTATTGTTGACAAGGTGCATGCGGGAAGAATGCAAGGAAATTACTTGCGGTTCAAGATGAGCTAACAGGCGAACAGCAAATTTAGTAGCACGATGCCTATTTGCTTCATTTCTGCAGACGATGATTGAATTTTTGTCAGTGGCAAGAATTTGAAGCAATGCTTGTGGACGACACATGAATGTTACGGGCCGATGGCCCTTTGTATGTTGTTGCTGTTGCTTCACTTTTCGCGACCATAATGATTTTGTGTGTTGTGTTTTTTGACACTGTCGCGAAGAAGCAACTTTATACCAACAAGTGCGCGGTGGTGTTTATGAAGGGACGCAATTTGCTTTGTTGTAGGGCGCAAGCGTCTATGAATGAAAATGGTATTGTTGTATTTGATTTCAGCTTTTGGGCGAGAGAAGCATTTAGAGGATAGCATGTTTTCACATAAGCAATGTGTTTGCATGTTTTTGAATACGCGTGTAAGAGTACTTGCACATACATATGTATGTATGCATGCATGTATTTCTTGAGGCAGGTCAGTTTTGTATGTATACTTACGTACATATGTACAAATTAATGTATTTTTTATTTATAAAATACGCTATTGCGAAATGCCGACGGCAATTCATTCCTTTAGATAATACAGAAGTTTGCAAAAGATGTAAATGCATTATTAAAATTTGTGCTTTCACCCCTATTTCAAAAAATATTTTGATAATTTGAAAATAGTATTTTATTTTTTATTTTGATAACAAGTCTACAAAAACTCGTTAGCTGAATTTAACATAAACAATGTTAGTTGCAGACAGGTCAGTACATTTGTGAGCATATTTAATTTTGCTACGCTCAGTAATGTTATGCATCAATAGCAAACTCTGTTAGTTTCTGGCGGCCTGTGGTGAAATGCATCCATCGTAACTTGGCAGCTTTTGACAGTTTACACGCTGGTCCGCAATTGAACCTTCTCGTTCGATTTACATTCTCTGAACATTAAGTTAATCTGTCACGCAACGCAGCACAAAAGTTTTATGTAGCCCAAACTGCATAACCGGGTACCCGTATACATAGCCATAGAACCACTGCCAGTAGAAAATTAAAACTACGAATCGAGAAAATTTATGTAATTTTGCGCTGCTTGAATGATAATTTATAAATATAAGCTAAATTCTCCCGTAGATATTTACTTTTTAAAAAATTTAATTTTAAAAGTTCAGTAAGGTATATGATAAGTACATATGTATAAGAAAATTATGTGCTTTGTAAAAATGTTCTATTACACAGTCAAAAATTGTGCAGATGCAATTACTCACCAAATGTTCCAAACACTATGTATTTGTTGCAGAGGCATTACTGGAATTCTCAATCTTACTGCAGCAAAATTTGTAGAACCGCTGTCTCAAATGTTTTTGACGGGCGATTCAAAGAACTTTCTGTCAACTTTTGGGAAAATTTGCTTGAAAATGCTTGTTGTTGAGAACATTACGCAAGAAAGATGTTTGTGTGAGTAGTTAACAGTTATATAGGAGCAATGTCAGACACCGCTGGTGTACTGTTGATTAGATCAGTCGTTGGTGGCAACACTGTTGTGAAGTAAAATTGATAAACTGTGCGTTAACAAAACAGTAAACTATGTGCTTACAAAATTATCTTCGATATAGAAGAAATAAAACAAATTGACTCGAAGGCAAATTTTTAACTGTATGATCAATAAGTTCGTTTATTTATCATTCTTTTAATAATCTAAAAAATAATCTGCTTATATATTACATTTCATCATGACAATATGTAATTTTCATAAATACCTACATACAATACATACATATGCTCATATCTTTATAAATAACAAGATTTTTTCTTAAAACAAATATGTATCTGTTACAGTTACTTTTTGTCCTTTGATTATTTTTAATTCAATACGATGTCTTTGATTTTGTAAATATTGCAGGCTTAAAGTATTAAACCATTATAAATTATATTCTAAATTTTTAACAGCAATAAATGAACCATACCTCTTTTAATATTACAATGCTTTAACATACAGAGATTTAGAATTAAAAAAGTAACATATGTATATTAAACAAATCTTCTACTACCATACTATTAAAGGCAAAAAATGCTGCCGCACACTTTTTGTACGTAAACTTCTAAAGATACATAAAAAAGAAATGTATATATTGCTCTGCATTAACAATACATCTGGACGGAATCAATTCCAATATTTTATACTGCATAGAGTAAGGTGGCTGTAATTTGTAGTTCAGATAAAAACTAAATACATTTTTTTACAAAATAAAAATAAGCAAGGAGCTCGCGTATTTTCAAGACTCTTTAGTAGAACTCGTGAATGTTTTAAAGCACAGCCTCAATATTTATATTTTGTGCCAATTTTGTTCGTATAGGCACTCTACACAATTGCTGGATGTTATTAAAAAAAATGTACTTTTATCATTCACAAACAAGGCACAGTTTTGTGTATTTGTATTTGCCTCAGTTGCATTTTTTTTAAATAAATCTATGTATGTATATGACTGTATGATGATATGAATAAATGTTCTACAATACACATATGGTCTTAAACAACGATTTACAATACGAATCCTCTTAAAGGACTTTTATTTCTTATTTTATTCTTATTTTTTTGCAAAAAAATAACGAAACTATAAACTTAGAAAAGGTTAATTATAAACTGATCACAACTGCCAAACAGTGTCTAATGTTTTGATATGTTTATATATACATAAACCCCTACAAATATGTGATGAAAATAAGGAATTTTATTGATTATACTCAGGAAGTGTATATGAAATTGAAGCTGCGAAAATGTTGATAAAAGTGAGAATTGGAATATTATACATTTTTTCAAAAGTTCTTTCTGAAAGTATGTGAATTCGAAAAGTTGGTTACAGATAGAAACGGAGACTGAAATTGGCTGACACTGTTCTCAAACATAATATGTATACATTTTTTTCAATATGAACTAAAATATTGTTAATATAATATAATTTGTCTCATTATCAACATTTTCATATCAATTTATACTTCATAGCATGATCTTAATGTGTTTTGAAAGGTATACTATTGAAAACTAAAATCATAAAGTTTTTATTTACAATATATATCGGTATGAAACTACTTATTACTAAACAACTAAATATGATAATTTTAATTCAAAATATAACTTCACAGGAGAGAGATAAATGTAAAGTTTAACACTTATGGAAGACTATTTAAACTTTTGCGTATTACTTTTGTTTTCAGTCAAAACAAATTTGTATGTCATCTACAGTGAAATATGTAATCTTTAAAAGCTTTAGTAATATCGTTTTATGAGCATGTAAAGCTTAAATATTGTATTTTAGCTCACACATAGTACAGATGAACTTCTTTGCTATACATACATAATATATATTTTGAGCTCAAATTTCACACTTCTGTGCTGTGAGTTTGAATACGAACTTTTTTGACACTATTACTACGCTGCATGGGTGGTGAGCTACCCGATCCAGAAAAACCAGGGTTTTGTATGCCCAAAGAAGGATCACGCGGTGGTCTGGGTTTCTTTAAGCTAGAACGAAGAGGAGAGCGAGTGACCGATTCCACTGTCGAACCATTCGAAACGCTAGTCATTGTCGTGGACATAGATGCTACACTACCTCCGTTTCGTATGCCACTGTAAGGCCTCCCAGATGCATCAGTAACGGATACCCCTGGAGCATAAAACAATAACACAATTTTTTTCCTCTAAAAACATACATCAATAGGTTTTACCGTTCCTTGAACGTGATTCTTTGTAGCCAGGATTGTTGAATGTTGTAGCACTAGCTGGTGAGGAAGCGTCCACTATCATTGTGGGATCTCCTCCCGTCCGCCGAGAGAACAGAACATCATAGAGAGCCACAAGAAATAGACCAATAGTTAATGCAATAACTACAATCTAGAAATAAATATATTGAGATAATTTTGAAACTTTTTTCCAATAAAGTTTTCACCTGTAAATAAAATGATACGCCACGAGATATTTTAAATCCATACTTTTCAGAATCATCAATTTGCAAGGCAAAAATTATTGTTGCGATGGTCGCCAAAAAACCTTAAAAATAATAATGAGAATATACAATAAATTATATGAAATTGTTCACAAAATTTTGAATTCGTAACTACCTGCAATCAATGCCAGGATCATTTTAAATATTACCAAGGTGGTGTAACGCATCACAACTTTTTCTCCAGAGGATATCATCGCAATTTGAATAATAGATAGGATACAGAAAATTCCGAGAGCAGCTGAACTTATAATGGCTAAAAGTCCACTTACATTAACAGCCGCTAAGAGAAAAAATAAAATAAAATAAAACCGATGTTAAAAGTAAATTCATATATATATACTTACTGGAAAGTCGAAATTTGGAAACATCATTTCCACATTTTTCTCGGTTATATGTTAACTGTTTGCATACCTTAAAAGGGCCGAAATACCCTCGATCAAAATCGTATCCGCCTGAAATATTGTTAATATGTTCTCAAATGCATATAATGCAATTATATATACAAACAAACTATTGTTGTATATTTGAAATCAGATTACCTGTCGGGCTATCATAGTAGCCCCAAATAGGTATTCCTATAGCTGCTGAAGCCAATGCAAAACAAAGAAATCCCAGACAAGTTACTCCTGCAGCGTAGAGGGCATTTCGTGATCTGGCCATATTTTAGATATTTGCATAGTACGTATCTAGTTACATCATCTTGATGAGCTTTACAAACTATCAAATTTATATCCAAACTCCACCATTTAACAGTTTCTGAAAATTTTGAGAAAGAAAAAATTATGAACCTTTAAAAATATTGACAACTTTTAAAACTATTCATTGGTATCAAAGAAATCTGGTCCTGGACTGAAAATTGGCCAACTTAATTCCGGACCAAACTATGACGAAAACAAAATTTTTAATCTCAGTATTTCTGTATGTTATTATTAAGCATGAAAGGCACATTTACTAATTAAAATGCAAAAATATCGGTGCTTGTAGTGAACGGATAAAACATTATTTAGTGAAAAATAAGAAAGCATAAGATAGATATATATACAAGTTATTTGAAATTCGATTGAAGTTTTAGTTTTGGCCAATACTGTATATAGCTTTGTATGAACATTGTTATGGTTCACCCAATTTTTGATTTACCTATTACTAAGGCAGCATTCAACAGGGAAATATAGATATTGCGTGCATATTTAAATTAGTATTTACAAAAATTAAGCAAAGCCTTAACATTCACGGCTGTGCCGCCCGCACCTGGAAAAAAGATGAAGAGCTAAAATCATATGAGAACACTGCCCTAAAGACAAGAATCTCCTGATATCACTGCAGCATCACTCGCACTGTGAAACGTCTATGCAAGGAATTAAGAAGCATAATGTTATGCAAACAATATCTGCTGGGATGTTACCGTCGGAAGCATGCTCAACGTATGTCCTAAATACAATAAGACTACCAACCCTTTCGATCTGGTCCGCACCCGACGAAACAGCTTGTTTTCTTGATTTCACATTAGATGAATTTTCCTGAGTTGAAAAGCCGCTATAATAATAATAATGCTCAACGTATGTCCTAAATACAATAAGACTACCAACCCTTTCGATCTGGTCCGCACCCGACGAAACAGCTTGTTTTCTTGATTTCACATTAGATGAATTTTCCTGAGTTGAAAAGCCGCTATAATAATAATAACAACAATAAAATAACTTGGTACTTGTTCAAAAAATGTCTAAATATAATTCAAAATATTTACAAACATATAAAAAATAAGTGGGTTGCCTGTAAAAAAAAAACCTTAAGAGTGTATTAAGTGGTTAAAACAGTGACAATTCTGGGGTCTGCTCCCTTCGTTTGGTACTCATTTTGTCAACAAAATCAGGAGTACGGTAACTAAACAACTACCGAAAACTTAACGATAAAAGCTTTTGCTGCTACTACCCATCACGCAGCCATAAAATCCGACTGTTATAGAATACACAAACACGAGTATTTTCTGCGTTGGAGTGTTATTTTTACCACTCTGTGGTCACCCATTGACAGTGAATTATAATTGGTAAAATTTTGCCTCATCCCACTTCGCTACGACTCCATTACTGCTATTAATTACTTTCTATGTGTAATTATCATACAAACACATACTTCAAACATTTTTGTCAAATCAGCTAAGTAAAGGCGTGCAGAGACTTTATGTAAATCCGGTTTTAGTGTCAAACATTTCAAGTAAAACTACCATATATATTTTTATATTATGGCTAAAACTCAATAATGTTTTATGGTAGTTTCGGAAAGTGAAGTCATTTCCTAATAAGCGTTACTAAAAAAATAATTTTTTCTTAGTTTCAATGGAATACGCCCCTAAAAGTATTTTTTGATCCCACCTTATTCCTCTCAAATTAAAAATTGGTACAAAAGCTCGGCTCTAAACATTGTGAGCTCGAAAACGGAAATAAAACAAAGCTTCAAAATCAATGCATTTTTTCCGCTCTTCAATAAATGGTATGCACTTACATATGTTACATATGTAAATGCATGAGATTAATAGTGATGTTCCGATACGGCTTTGTACTCGTTGTTTGTTATTTCTCATTGACAATTACTTACAAACTCCAAACTCTTGCTTTATGAAAAAGCTTGTTTACAAATTCGGGTTGGGCGAGTGATTATAGCTCTGCTCGGTGAGTAAGAATCAGCCAGCAACGAAATATTAAAATTGCACTCTCCCGGGGAAATTTTAGTGGCTTTTTGCCTCACTGAACGCGATTCAGTACCAATTCTGCCCATCAATTCACCGAACAGATTCGATTCCAACCAATTATCAGTTTTAGCGGAAGAACTAAGTTTTTATATACGGAGTAAATAAATATATGTACATATATAATATTTATGCGGATATGCATATACATACATACTATGGAACCAATAGAATTTTTTTTCTGAGCTGTAGCATTTGTATATACATAGGTGGAAATTTTCATACAGCGTGCAGTCTTGTACAGTTGTTGAACAAACTTCATAAATATATCCAGAATTAAAGCATTCCAAATCTCCAATTTGTAGTTTTTATTTTATTATTATTTTTTAGCATGCATACATAAATATTTATGTAGGTAGGTACATAGGTATGTTAAAACATGTTTATGAAATGTACATAAGTGCATTTATAAATGGATGCTTTTGTATTCTTGGAATTCACGCGCTTGTATCAGTTTTACCTGAATTCCAGAACGCGTTCCTTCGTCCAAGTAGAATGCAAATGCAAATATGATGCACAAACCCCCTCAACCGTAAGTATTTCAACCCACCAGATAAGTAAATCATTGTTATATACCTTTGTGCAGTTTTGGTCTAAATCTGTACATAACATACATACATATGCATGTGGCACTTTTGTACTTACTGAATTTTTGCCATTTTCTGAGGTTCCCCACTAAAATAGTTTATTTATTAGTTACCTACTTCTTTCATCATTCTTACAAACTTTTTTTATTTACTCTGTATTTCATTAACTCATACGATTATTCTTAATCAATATTTTAAAGCACGGGATAAGACACTTTTTAATGCTTTCGCTAGGCCACTATAAATATTATTTCACACACCACTCTGAAATATATTTAATGTTACTTTAAAATCCTTCCACACAGTTTTTTTTTCATAAAATTATATATTATAGTATAACACTTATGTATATGCTAACATGAATTTAACTCCACAATAAATACAATACTATGTGAATTCGTCACGCACCTTTCTAAACCGATCACACACATACCACACAATATAATATCATTGCTAAAAGCTACTAAACCACTGACCGGAGCTACAAATTTCAAAAGTTTACGCTGTCATTTGTTACTTAAAAGCCCTAAAAAAAAACTCATAGGAATGAAACAAAAAGAGAACGGGAGGCATTTCAAGCAGAGAACGTAAATATTATATGATATGCCAACTTCACCAGAGAACGTAAATATAACGTTCTCTGACTTCACCTTCTGTAAATTCACCTTGATGAAAACATAAACAAACATTTTGACAGCCCTTACACAGCAGGGTAATAATTAAATGGGAAAGTTGATTTCGCTGCTCCACTTTGCTAAATTAGCCTTGCCCCTAGCAAGGCATGGAAAATATTAAAAAAAAAAAAACAAATTAGGTCTCCCCTCGCAACTCGTTGCCATCATTCTGTTTCCAAAATTAATCAGAGCGAATACGCTTTCATCTTTCTAGGTGAAGTCAATATGAGTTAACCACTTAGGATATGTGGTATGCATTTTAAAAGTAATAAAATAGGCTGTTTATAAGTTTAAGTAAAGCAAATAAATAAGTAATATTGTTGCGAAAATACGAGGCGAATGTCAGATGAAAGAGAGAAGCCGATAACTAGTACATTCTAGAAAGATAAAATGAGAACCTTCCATTGCGAACAATTCGATTCTTCTACGCTTTCGTCTGCGAGCAGCCGACTGCTATATAAGGGCGACACTCAGCTGCAAGTCAAGTTAGTTACAAAGTGAACTGATTGGCGTGAACATCAGTAAAGTCGGAAAGTAAACGATTTGGAATTACATTTAAGTAGAGTAAATTGTGAAAGTTGATGCAAGTGATTGTAGCTAGTAAAGTGTCTTGTAATTGAATTGTAAATCACTGAGTAAATAAAGGACATTAGATAGAATCTTTATAACGAAAGAAACTGCAAATTAAGTTGGCGAGTTTTATTTAACAATCCAGAGATCGTACCCGAAGGATTCAGGAAATCATCGAGGTTGATTTAGTGAAATCGTAACAATATCATAACAAACAACAACGGTGTAAAATTTGTACAAAGAATGTTTGTAGTAAATGGAAAATACACATAAACATAAAGACTTTATAATGCATAGACGGTAGTTAACAATGCTACTTCTCTCTTTTAATTTACTAATTCTTTAATTGCAACCTTGACTTTTGAGGTGTAAGAAATCAGACTAAATAAATACGCATTTGCGTTCTCTTGAGAGTACTTAGTATAAGTAAACAACCACCTTCTTTCCAAATTATTTCACCCCATGCTTACGTAGTAATATCCACTGCTGCTGTTGTTCTGTAACCGCAAAATACTCCCGGAATGCCTTTTCGGGGAATATAGCACGGGTGAAAGTGCTTAGCCGCATAAAAACTCGGATTGTTCCAGTATAAAGTCCCGACTGTCTCAGGAACTACTTAATATTAGTCGCCTATTACGACAGGCATGCCTTAGCAAGTGTAGGTTCTTAAGCCCGTTGGCCTTGTAGCCTTGTTGTTTGTTTTTCCTTTTCTTGCCGTAAAATATTTGACTAGTAAGTCCTTTCTTCAAATCGAATAACCCGACAATATTTGAAGGGCCCTCAGACATCTTTTGAATTTTGACAGCGATTGGAAGAGATTTTTATAAGGTAAAAGCGTGCTTCCTTAAAAATTTTGGTTAAGCAAACCGCTTTATATGTGGTATTTATTTGCGTTAGTTGGATCGTGGTTTGCAGAACTATTTAATATATTAATTTTCGCTCTTTATGCCTTATGTATTCTAAATTAAATACAAAATTGCCTCTTTCTCTTATTCAAAAGTTAAATAAACTAAATATCACATATATGTATTACAACAATATTTTATTATTAAGTAATTTTAAATAAAAATGAATCTAATGCAACAGGATAGACAGAAAATTGCTTACAACTTTTTTTTCATAAAATCTATTACAATTACTTTGCGTGGTGCGGTCGTTATTGGTTTTTGAAAAAGAGCAGTATAATTTGGTATAATCACTATAAATACAGTAAAGTTCAGACACTGATAAAGGGTATAAAAGCTTGCACAGCTGTTTTTCTGTATTCAGTCTGTTTCTCGTGCCGGAACCTTAATTACAGTGCATATCGTTCATAATTTCCTGAAAGGAACTGCGTTGTTTTAATTATATAAAGAATAAGTAAATCGCTAATTGTTTAAGGACAAAATGTCGGTTCCAGATGTAGTACTCAATAATGGAAAGAAAATCCCAATTATTGGTTTAGGAACTTGGGGAGTAAGTATTACAAAGATGTACATATGTGTGTATGAATTTTTTATAAATTCCTAATAGTTTAATCAAAATGGGGTATAAATTTTATCAATGTATGTTAAGTGCTAACTAAGTTTATTTATGTATGTACGTATGTTTATATTTAAGGCGATAAATTTTTGTCATTGTGTTGCTAAATACTTATGCGCAAATCGCAACAGTTAGAACTGGATGGGTAGTGAAATAATTTTAATATATGAACATATATGTATGTACATACCTATGTATATTAAGAAGTGGTCTTTTTTATATGTAAATTATAATTACCACCATAAACATGGATCATGGGAAATCAAGCATTGTGTTGGGCTATGAGTTGCAAATCAACTCTTCAATTCATTGATATGGTGTTTATTATGATTTACTTCAGAGCTGAAAAGCGAAATGGATTCCATACTTACATATACGGCATATTTTTTCTTAGGTTTCTAGCCAGTCCGATCCTCGTTGTTATGTGTTGAGCTGTTAGTTTGAAATCCATATTTATATACTTATGAGCGGAGATTTATGTCCAATGATAGGCACATATGTACATATTTACTAACATGAGAAATATAAGAAAAGCATTGATAAAATAATCACATCACGCGGAGGGAGAATGTTCTAGTAGAATGACTACAAACAACTTTGTACATTTTCGCAAATGTACGTAAGAAACTCCGAAGAAATAGGAGGAAACATTCATCATAGATAGAGATAATAACTGAACTTAAGAACCGATGAAGAGCACTATCAGATTGCCTATCGTGCATTATTTCTGTAGCTAACAATTTTTTTAATGTCATTCTGATAAAGAGTGAATCTGTTTTAGTGCTTATTTCATTGCAAACACATTTTAAATGTTCATTCATTTATTCAATGTTTGGTTCAAATTAGACACCATTTATTTTTATTCATATTTTGCCATGAAAACCTGACTTATATTGTATGATAATGATGCTTCTGTACAACTTTATTTAGGGCTTAGTAATAAATAATTATAAAAAATCGATATTGAACTCCCAAATGTATATTTGCTAAAAATTTTAATAAAACTGATGTGTTGTGTTCGTAACGTTGAGCGGAAGTATCCACTAATAAGTCAATCGAGTAGCATTATTGTTGTGATGATTTTTTTCCCGTTATTAGCTATTTTGTGTGATTTTTTGCATAAACAAAACATTTTTCAGTAGCTTATGAAAAAATATTATATGCTATATTAACAATTTTACATGTTGTAGTTATTGAAGCGGTGGCACCTGCGTTTATTTATATGAATATAATATTTTTATAAAGTCTTAAGTTTTATTCAAACCTATGTATTGTTTCTCATATGAAAATTATTACTTTTTATAGAGTCCCAAAGGGGAAGTGGTTCAAGCCGTTAAAGATGCTATCGACGTTGGATATCGTCATATCGATTGTGCACACGTATATCAAAATGAAGATGAAGTGGGTGAGGGCATTGAAACAAAAATTAATGAAGGTGCTCTGAAGCGGTTGGTGACTCTTTAAAAAAAAACAATAAAAAATTTCGCTCATAGTTGTCTTTAAATTTGCAGCGAGGAATTATTTGTCACCAGTAAGTTGTGGAATACCTTCCACAAGCCAGAATTAGTACGCGGAGCCTTGGAAACTACTTTAAAGAATTTGCGTTTGGACTACCTTGATTTGTACTTGATTCATTGGCCTATGGGCTATAAAGAGGGTGGACCATTATTCCCAAATGATGATGTCGGTAACGTGCTTCATTCCAATGTAGACTACGTTGACACGTGGAAAGCAATGGAGAAACTTGTAGAAGATGGTCTCGTTAAATCTATCGGCGTTTCAAATTTTAACAAACGTCAGATTGAGCGTGTACTTGAGGTCGCTACTATCCCTCCAGTAACAAATCAAATTGAATGTCATCCATATTTGACACAAGAAAAGTTGATCGAATTTTGTAAATCGAAAAACATAACCATTACTGCTTACAGTCCTTTAGGTTCACCTAATCGTCCGTGGGCAAAGCCAGAAGATCCAATTTTATTAGAAGATGCTAAAGTAAGACTTTATTAAAAATAAATATGACTATTAACACGTACATTTTTTTTTAAGATTGTGGCGATTGCTAAGAAGTATGGAAAAACTCCAGCGCAAATTCTCATTCGCTATCAAGTGCAACGTGGAAATATAGTAATTCCAAAATCTGTAACCAAAAGCCGCATTGCGTCTAACTTTGACGTGTTCAATTTTGAATTAAGCGCTGATGATATTGCAACTATCAATAGCTTTAATTGCAATGGCCGATTCGTACCTTTGGATAAGTAAGTGAAAATATTATTTATCGAATTTAGTTGTTCTTTATGACTTATTTCGTATTACCTCTTACAACAGCGTTGCTGATCACGCACATTATCCGTTTAATGAAGAATTTTAAGATACAGGAGTATCACAAAAGTATGAAAATCATTAATTTGCAAAAAAATGTTTACAGTGTGCTCTAATTTTTGTATTTGTAGTATTTCCAGTATTTCAACGTGCATATGCTTTTTTTGTTTAAGTTAACACACGAAAATAGTAAATAAACTATTATCATTGTATATTTGACGACACAATATGCTATATTTTCTTTTAATTCTTTTGGTAGCAGCTATTTTCCTTTTGCAGCACTAATGTTTCCCCTCATTCCCTTTTATTGCTTGCTACAATTTTGTTTTTTGTTTTTATTTTATTTTTTTCATTTTATTTTATTTTTTTTTTTTTATTTTATTTTTTTTTTTTATGAAGTAATTATTATATTGTTTTTTTCTTCTTCTTGCATTTTCAGCCACCGGACACATCCACACCATCCTTTCGCTAACGATGAGTACTAGACAATACATACGTGTTTCATTTAACACACATATACTATTAGATAAACACAAAATCTACTTGCATATTGTTCGAGTTGTTTTTAATTGAATTAATAAATATTCGCAAAATTATCAAATTAAATTTCCTTTTAATAGGAAATATGATTTATTAATATTGTTCGAAACAATTGATTTAACAATACGGTAGGATTTAACTGCTTCCAACACGCAACCGAATCCACTTGGTTTAATTGTATGGCTTCCATGTCGTTCTTTGTTTACACAACTTTTCATGCAAATTCATAAGATTTTATATACTAGTGATAAAAAGTTGATCGCTGCTAATTTCAACTAAAAGCACTGATTTCGAATGGTGCTAGAAATATAATTTTAGTATATTAACTAGGTCTACTACATCTATGCACCAACCGATCTCAGTCCTTTCAAATTGATCCCATAAGTATTTAGAGAGTATAGGTATCCTAAGTCGTAATTATATGTATATTTCCTCTTTTTATCTAGCTTTTGCATGCACTTTAGTTTCGATTTACTGCCTTCTTGCTAGTGTGATCGTTCTACATAAACTGTTCGGAAAAGAAGTAAATCTTCACCTTAAATGTGTAATGCCTGTTACAGCTGAGATGCGCGCAACAAAGGCAGATGTAACTCAATGAATAAAAAAATGCAATTTACCACATTGCAATGGTATGTCTAGTATGATTGGATGGAAGCATCTTGAGTTACTTATAGTATAATAATTTAGATTTTAATTATTTCTGATATACTAACATTTTTTTATGTATGCATACGCAAGAGGCTGCATATACAGATTAATGACAAACTATCATTATTGTTACCTTGTAGGTATGCTGGAATGGTATATGCATACAACAATACATGCAATCAAATGAATGCCCATCCTTCCCACTGCTTTGTGTTAAGTGTAACTTATACCTGATAGTTATAATATGCTATTCCATGTTTTAGTTTGGTGTGTATGTATATAATACGTATGTATATATTCATGGACTGACTGACACTTATTTCCACGATGAATGACAAATGTGTTGACCAATGCCTTGCTGTTCTCCAACGTACATAAGACAACAGAGGTTTCTTATGCTCTAAGTATTTTAACTGGTTACACAATTCGCGATTCGTCCGGGAGCACCATATTTCCCGCAGTTTGTAATTTAATTCAAGCATGCTCTCTTATGTACATATGTACATATCAAAATACTCTGATATCGAGTTTCGCTCTTGTATTTTTTATGGTAAAAGTGTTGTGAATTGTAAAAGAAAAGCATTTTTAACTTCTCATGAGGCTGGATGATTATTAAAGAGAAAAAGTTCTATTTAAAATTATGGACAAATTTTTATAGACCGAAAAGATATTACATGTTTTTGTGTCCTGAATAGTACATATTTAATATTATTATATGTTAATAGGGAAGTGTGCCATATACTGATGCACCCATTAGCACGGAGTTCTTAAGCGCTACAATAAAATGTTTTTAGGAACCAATGATTATTAGTTATTTGAATGCAAAAGTTATGTAAATACGAAGTGTGATCAGAAAATAACCGTTATTTTATTTTTTTTACCAAAAAGTATTTATTTATTCATTAATAACTATCTTGTCCCAGCGTTTTTTCGAATCCTCGAAACACTTCTAAAACAGGTTTTTTGGTATCGCCAATAGCTTTGTTTCGATTTTTCTTTTATCTCCTCGATCGAAGTAAATCGCTTTCTCTTCATCGGTGTCTTCAGTTTTGAGAACAGGAAAAAGTTAGCCACCACAATAACAGACATGTGTACCAACATAAAAAATCGAACATACGTAACTCACGAAATTTGAAAATAACGGATTTTTTCTGAGCATACATCGTGTATGTATATATAATTAGCGCTTTTATAAACGCAGAAGCAATATTTGGACGAGCTCCTCCTCCAATTTGTAACATTTGCCTACTTGATTTCTAACAAAATGGAAATCAATTAATTGACATGATTGTAATCAATTTGTTTGTAGGCATGCAATTGCAATTGCATTGTAATTCATACATGGCTCCATTTTGCTGGAAGTGAAGCAGTTAGGACAAATATAAACAGAGAGTAATGATCATTCTGTTTGCACGCATTTCTTTTTTTATAATTCACTAGGATGCCATCATTTACTTATTAAACGAGATTAAGCAGAGTTTGTGAAATTATAACAGCGTTTGATTTATAATATACTGATTGCAAATAATATACACATGTATGTATGTATTGACAATAAATAATTTCAATAAAAATTATTTTTTTTTATAAATTATATAATTCAATTACATCAGTACCTTTATTTTGACTAAACATATAGTTAAAAGAGGATTAAAAGTGCTTCGGATCGTATCAGGTTGTCATGGTGAAGTTGCTTAGCTTGAAATTTTATCTATGTATGACAGAGCATTACATATTTTAGTATCAATTATTGTCAAGGTATTCCTTTCAGAATACGGCCGGACGAAGGTATTGGAATCTATGTATGATGAGTAACTATCGCGTGATTTCTCCAGCTTGATGTATGAGATGATAATTAGAGCTGCAAAGAAAGGCAGATAGAGTACACATTTTTTAAAAGGGCATGCGTCTTGGGCTGAAAATTCCTTTATCGGTTATAAGAACCCGGTTATTTATTTGAGTACTAATAAGCATTAGCACGCAAGAAAAACTTGAAAGAGAACACCAATTACTCAAGAGAAAAAAAATCGCCAGTACTGCACAAATTTAATTTCGAAATCAATTTGCAGATAAATGATCAATGAAATTTTCGTTAACGAAATGTGTTGACGGCAAGAAAAAATTCTGTATGTGACAAAAACTTAACATTCAATTCGAAGCTGAAAGAGCAGCACTCCACAAATTTATGTTATAGAAAATATAAAAGAATATGAATATTTTAATATCATTTTTTTGTTCCATAAGTTTTTAATATATAATACATACATATATACCTAGAGACTTATGTATGTACAGATGTATTCAAGTACGGAGGATTTGCTTCCAGCGCTAACAGCAGGATAAAATTTGCCGGTGACAGTTAGAAGTTTGTGGAAGATATGTACTGTAGGAAATGAAATGAGCGTCAATGTTATGATGCTCTAGCTACTCTTTCTTCTCTGACTAGGCTTTCTGTCGTAAAAGATGCGACTATCGGTGGGTTGTAATATTTTGAGTATAAATTGATAAGCACGTCCCACTTTCGTTTCAGTTTATTAAAATGTGTGTCCTTACATAAACGGCATTCGATAGCTAATACGCGACAATTTAACACAAAAGTATATATATATTATATGTACATTTGTATTCGCAGTGATGGTCTTTTAACCTGGTTCTGCAAACGAAACGTCGTGTATTGTAAAATTGAAATTTATTTTCCGGTGTAATAAAGTTGAAGTAATGTGCTTAATATTGTAATTTACATAGTTGTATATATTCCTTAAACATGCAATCAAATATTGACACACATGCGTGCATATATTGTGCAAATATGTTCACGACTTCCTCATATTTTTATATAAATATGTGTATATATCTACATACATATCTAAATAATTTGGAAATGCTTGTGTAAATGACGAATTCGCGTCTAAAATCAAAAAGTCGAAATGTATATTGACAATTGTAGGTATAACATAATGTAGTGGTTCCATTTAAAATACTCAAGTAGATTGAACACGTAAACGATCACATTCTGTTAAATGTCGTCAGGTGAATGGGACTTACGTGCTCTTAAAGCACTTGAAGAAGAAGAACAAAAGGAATTTCTTGCTTTGAGTCAAAAGAATTTATTCGAACCTCCGTCTCCGCCAACAAGAGGTCGATTATTGCAACAAACCCAACAGCTTAAACTGCAACAGCAGCAACCGAAATTAACATATGCCCAATTACATCCTCATACGTTGAAACTTCCTACCATTAACGAATACAACTTAATTCTGGCTGCTAGAAAAAGGAGATTGCAACAGCAGGATAATCCAAAAATTGGCGCTGGAAGGACACATTTGAAATTTACCCGCGCCCTGTCTCTTTCTGCAAATTCATTAACCACACGTTCTAATGGGAATCGGAAAAATGCTTTTTCAAATATTAAGGGCAAAACGTCTCAGACTAGTGATTCCACCTCACTATCGCATCTTTACAATGTTTCGCCTTACTATACGCCACCACCTATTAAGCGATGCGAAACCTTCCATCACACAAAACCCACACGTAAGACTGTTAAAAGTTATCAGCAATTCGAAAAGCAAAAACTGTATAGAAAAAGAGAAGGACCAATGATGCTAAAGCAAGTAGTCGGTAAAAATGAAAGCCTCTGGAAATATGGTCTTAACTCCACAGCTGCTTCAATTATTGGACAGCGCAAAAAGCTCCACTCCTCCTCAGCTGAAGCTGAGTCCAACACATCAGATGAGCTCGGTTCAGAAGGAACATTAAACAATGTAACCATCTCAGATCAGTCTGAACCTTTTCCGATATCTTATGCCGACTGCGATGATAATGCAACTGAGGCAGGATCTTGTACGGTTCCATTGACAACTGATTCAGTTGAAATGATACGCCTTATGTTATCAGCGGCAACGGCGGCCATATCTACCCATCCGAAGTCTACATCGTCATACCAATCTATTTCAAAAGAAGCAGATTACTTACTTAATAAACGACCTTTGCACATAGTTTCATTAATGAATACGGCAACAACTAATGGGACGGTTATCAGAAGTATGTCAAACGCTGCCCTTAATTCTCCACCGCTATCCATAGCTAAAATAAACGATGACAAGAATATACGACAAACTGACTATGGCAGCACACATCGTACATTATCATCGCGTTATCCCCTGGAATTATCTGCGTCATCATTCACACCTACAGAGGAAACTGTTGCTTATAAAACTTTACGTGAACAGCGGAGAAACAAAAGCCTCTCATACAATGGTTTACGGAGCAAACATACAATACGGCGTGGCAATAGCTTAACAGATGAAACATCTGTTAATGACAGTAGCAGTAATTGTAATAGCACCAAAAGCAATTGTCCACTAGCGATAACAACAGCAGCCGCAAAAAATTTAAACTTTGGCGAAATGTATAAGACTAACTCATTGAATATAAGTACAGATTTGGACAATGAGACAGCTAACCACATACTACTTAGATCTACCTTTCTTAAGAACCCCATTGTTCAAGGTGTGAAAGTAACAGCAACAGAGTTAAAAAAAGGAGTCAGCGCCCAAACTAGATCAACAATCGATAAAATAGGAATTATTAATGCAAAGTCAATGAAAAATAAATCTTCTAAACATATCCAGCACTTACTTTTACACACTACTCAGATGTCGCAACCATCTCGTTCTTCGGCGTTTAGTAGAGAAATGACCCCCTTAAGCAATGATAGCAATTGTATTAAAATGAACGTTTTATTAGAAAATGATAAAGCGAAAGTTTCAACATTTGCCTCATTGCATCAGCAACTCATCGATAACGAACTTGAACATCATATAAAACATTGTTCTTGCTCATGTAATCATATGGGTTATGGTAATTCTATGGATTATCAGGTAATTAAAATTTGAAAATTTGTAATTTAGTGATGTAAAATAAAATAGAGAAAAAATTAAGTAATGAATATGACTATGCTTGAAATTTAACTAAAAGTATTGTCACTAAATATCCTTCATCTTCGCAACCAGTAGATTTAAATACGTACTATATATTTTATTTTTTGGCGTATACGACTATGTTAACAATTTTCAGTGATTTGGTGAAATAATGCGAGTAAAGTCAAAAGATGTGCTTAATATCTCATTTCATTTTTACCTCCGAATGACATTTACTAATTTGTTTCTGTATTAATTCATTCATATGTAAATATGTAAACAGAATATAGGGAAACGACCAAATTATTCATAATGTCAAAATGGAAGAAAAAGTGTCTATATTATGATTTGAACAAAAAATTAGTCCAAAAAATCGAAATCGCTCGAAGCAAATGGTAGAGATTTAGACATAGCAATGAATCATGAAGAACGAAAGAGTTTCGAAAACTAAAAAAAACACTTGAACTATCTAATATTTTAATAACATTCCATTTCCTTTTTATAATGACAAATTTATGTTTTCTTATAACCTAAACATAAATTTTTTATCATAAACCATTCAATTTATGAAATAATTCGTTTAACGATGCCAAATTTCCAAATTTGGAATAATTTTTTTTTATTATTTTCAGACATGAAAATTATATTAGAATTCTTTACATCGATTTCTACAATGAGTGAGGTCATTTATACAAATACAAATCAAGTTTGCTTATTAAGAGAGTTGTCTTTTATATTTCGAGATTAGAGAACAATAACAAATCTTAATAGTCGCTCATCGATGTGATTGCACTTTTATCACTCTGATTTATGTCTCTTTTTGAGCGATTGACGAATTTTGTGGGATCCAGGTGGACAAATTATTTTACAGCCAAGTTCATGTTATATTGAATATATGCTGGTCTTACTGATTCCTATAGTTGTCTCAATCTCGTTATGTGACCTGTCGATCTTGCAATATCAGTTGGCATACAGCATCAATAGTTTGAGGAACAACAACAGATTTCGAACGAACTTCACGAAATTCGTGTTGGAGTAATGTACGATCATGATTGGATTCACCATACCATCGGCCCTTGATGGACTATCATCGTTATAGCCTAACATTTCTCAACGAACACAGCTCATACTTGTATCTGTGTGTACATACCAGACACCAATATCTGTGTTCATTGAGAAATGTCAGTAAGCACCAGCAATAACGAAATTGCGAGAGAAAGATGTTTTACTATAAGAAATAAAAAATTTACTGAGTTTTCAACGAACATGATCCAGTAAAAATTAGCAATTTTTTCCGTGTAAGCCCGGCGTATTTCGAGAGAAAGGTTTTGCATAAGAATTATGATTTTATACGGCGACATTGATATAGTTCAGCGAATCAAGAAGCAGCGGATACGCTGGCTAGGTCATGTGATCCGCGTGGATGCGAATACTCCAGCTTTGAAAGTTTTCGATGCAGTATCCACCGGTGGAAGCAGAGGAAGGGGGAGACCTCCACTCCGTTGGAAAGACCAGGTAGAGAAGGACCTGGCTGTACTTGGTATTTCCAAATTGTGCCACACAGCAAAAAGCAGAAACGAATGCTATAATTGCGTAAGCGGGGTCTACTCCAGTAAAAAAAAAGAAGAAGAAGCCAGCCGTATAAACTCAACAATATTACAGAATTTTTTCGATTTTGTTTCAATAAAAACCCAACAAGGCTTTATATTTCCTTCTGAATGCATTATCCTCTTTGTGGATTTTAGTTTCTTATGTGGCTCCTGGTCGCCACTGCTTTCTGGTTAATTATATAAATCCATAATCTACCGTTGTACAAGAAATAAATTGCGCTCTCTCGTTACCAATTTTTCACTGGGTTCTCAACGAACAAGATCCACTAAAGTTTGGTAAACATTGTTACTGTCACTCTAGTCAACAAAAAGAACTAATATGTTTTTATAATAGTCCTCTCGAAGAGGTTCGAAAAGCTGTATAAAACTGGCTTTGTAACAATTTGTCGTTTAGACTTTCAGGACGGATGACTTAAATATGACTTAACTTCTAATTCATAATCGGTGGTATGCGAACGGTGATTCCACTACACTTCCAATGCATTCTCATATAATAAGTACCCGAACTATTTGATTGAATCGTTGATACCACTAAATTTACTTTAGAAAAATTATATTTGGCCTCTTATTTTGATAGTATGTATATCTTTAATATTAAATTGTTATATTTTAATTTTAAATCAATTTTGTTTTGTTGACAAAAATACAATCATATGGTCAGAAATCAGCTATTTTTCAAACTTGCTAGTTTTTACTGGCTAAAATTTTCCCATCACGCGCTCACTGCTCGAGTCACTAAAAGATGTTTGGGAACGAAAACTAAATAGCTACATTTAAACAATTTTTTACCTAAATTCGAATCTGCTAATTGATTTCAGAGATTAGTAGCTTTTTCCAGAAAAATGTGAATATAAATATCTTGAAGTAAACCCCACGCGGTTTATCTACGAGATGCGACAATTAACAAGTAATGATACTGATTCCATAAAGACCGTATATTTCAAAATTATTCTACAACTCTTCCATCCCCTTCTAAGTAGTCCCCTTGAGCAGCTATACAACGATTCCAGCGCGTTTTCCATGCTTTTTTAGTCAAGTCACATAGTCATTTCGGTCGAATAAGGCGGTTGTTGCCACACGGCGATCCCTTTAGAGGCCAAATACTGGAACTCGCTGAGGGCGGTGTGGCACGGCTCGTTGACTCGTTTTAGTAATCTGTCGAGTACTTGGCAATAATAGACTTGATTCACAGTTTGTCCTGGTGGAAGAAAATTATCGTTTTCATATTTCCTCGTTTGCCACGCTTTCACTTGAACTCTTTATGCCATCGAAAAACTTGGGCCCAACTAAGAGCACTATCACCATGCACTTTTACAATTTTTTAGGGTACGTTTCCGAATTTGGCGCAAAATTTTATCGCGACGAGTTGCTCTATTTCCATTTTCGTGACGAGCATCACGAACACACGTTTACCCAAAACGACACAGCAGACGTACTAAACTGAAGCGATGACATATATATCAATGGAGAGGAGAAGGATGCCGCGAGAAGGGAAAGCATCAATCAGTTTCATTACTTAATTGTCACACGAGCAAGACCTAAGCAGACTCCTGTAGGACACAAAGACGTGATCTAGCAAACCGATGGCCAGAGTATTTTGAATTTATGAAGGGAACACTTCTCCAGCATGCTGAATGGCAGTAAAAATGGAGCATCCGGAGATGGCGAGCCCGGAACCCCTATCGATGACGATGGAAAAGACGTTCCATTACCTGACTCTGTTATGGAAGCAGAGGAAGTCCTCTATTCGCTGGAAAGACCAGGTAGAGAGGGACCTGGCTCTAAATAGTACCTCCAATTGACGCCAAGCAGCGAGAAAAAGGAATGAGTGGAGCGATGTTATAAATTCGGCTAAAACCGCTTAAGCGGTGTCTACGCTAGTAAAAAATGTGAATACATACTCGTTTATATAATATAGGCAAAAAGTTATGCACGTACAAGTAAATTTCAAGGAAATCGATTCTACAATACACTATTTCTGGGAAATAAATGGGAGAAGATCGAATGTACATGAAAAGTAATGATATATATTAGGAAATATACTTTAAAATGTATTTAATTGAATACTCCTTGTAACTTTTTATCTTCAAACAACATAACAAACATTGCATTCCTAAATGCATTTGAAATCATAAAATGCTCCTGCGAACAATAGAATGAATGACTCCCACGATAATAGTGTGTTGATGTTAAACTAAGTTCAAAGCTATCTGCGCATCCAATTTTCAGAAAATCGAACCAAAAATACAGTTTTTTTCGAATGGGTTCCATTGTTTTTCATTTTTCCGAATTGTTGCGGCACATCGAAATTCGCATCACTTTCTTTTATATCTATATAGATAAGCAGTTCGAGTGAAAGTATTTATTATTTGTAATTGCAATTTGCAACACATAAATTCCAATAAATTAATATGTATAAGTATGTATTGAAACATAAGGCACAACAGTTGGTTGCAAAATAAGGGTGTCACTTTTAGCGTAATAGCCTTACCGACCGGATTTTGAGGTGATGTTTATTTAAATATATATTAAAATTTTATATATATATTTTTTTGTTTGGATAGTTAAGATATTTAAAAGAAATGTAATCACATGATAGGAGTGCAATAAGTGCTCTCGTTGTATTTAGCACTGCGCAGTTGTGAGCTTTAACCCTTAATTGCACAGAGCGGAAACAGTGAATCGTCGGCCGGAGAAAAATATTTGATTGCTTCCATTTAACAGCTTCCAAACCTAAAGAGAGCAGAGCATCTCAAGACGGTAATGTGGATTTGATACAACGAACGCATTTAACAGCAAACCACAAGCAGAAGCCTAAAATTTCAGCTTGTGACAGGCTAGTCTCTATTCGGCTGTTCTAAAGTAAAGTTGCGCGTTGTGAAGCATAGTTAATAAATGGGCCCCGGAGAGAAATGATAATGAGACACCTCCACAAATATATTTGGTGTTTTAAGAAAAAAGGAGTGAAGAAGTGCATATTTCATTTTAAGAATTAAAGGGATATTATAAAAATGTGTAGGAAATGGCAGCAGTGAAGTGCAAATTTAAAGTGCAATGTTTTTTAGTTCCAAATGAAAGGAAGTGAAAAATAAATTCATATGTACACAATGGAATTGCGCCCATTAAGTTATGAGGAGATATATCAAATGGAGATGCTACAACCCTCCGAACTGGGCGGTACTAATACAAGCACAATGCTACCCATTATAATGATACCCTCATCAGCGATAACTCCAGGGAGCTCAATCCTGGCTACTCCCCAGCATCGTCATGACAAAGAAGTAGCAAATGATGAAAATATTTACCAATTTGAGCCCATACATTTACTTTCTCCTCCCTCTACCACAACAAATAAAGTAGTTTTACAAAAAGAGCTCGTTCCTGATTTTCTCAACGGATGTACCACACTAATACAACCGCAAGCTTTTTTACCTCCAAAAACCGAAGAACGACAACAGCATAGTCCACATAATTTACATATTCAACAGCTTCCACTAACACAGAAACAGATTCCACAAACCCAACTGCAACAGTCATTGCCTGCGACTCTCAATATAATTTATGCGGGAACAATCACCTCAACACCTCAAACACGAGAAACATTGGAACGTGCAACACTATCGCATGACTTCGTCCCTGCCATTATCGATAACAACTTAGGCGCGGATACCACCATCGGTGACGAAAGTGATTTTGAGGGCAGCGAATGTGGCGCAAGCGTATCTGGCGCCACATGTATACCCCACTTCCGCTTCAGTGGTTGCAGCATGATTCCTCATTCAACAATAACTGCCAATAGCTGTGGAGTTAGTGGCATTCATTCACAACAGCAAAATCATCATCAGGAACCAGAAGTTGTTGGTTGCGCTGCATTTTCACAAATGATGGGTACATTCGCAGCAGCAGCTGGCGACGCAATAAGTTCTGCTCGTTTTTCGGGTACTCTCGGTTCATTAACAGGAGTTGGTGCGGGACCTTCCTCTACCTTGGGCCGCAGTCGACCCACCTCGTATCAAACTGGTCCCTTCTATCAAATTTCTAAAAGAGTCTCTTTCAAAGACGACAATTTTCCACAAGAGAATATAAAGGAATGTCTAAGGAGTCAAAAGCTTTTTAACAATGGAAACAATGAAAACACGGATGCACTACACAATTGCTCTTATATGCACCATAATAATTTTACAGATTACCAGGTACGTATTCATTTAAGAAGTATTTGTTTTCATTGCTGACATGACTACACGTATGTGGGTGTTAGAAGAAAATGTGAATTTTATTTGAATGTTTCAATTAAAACTGCTTTTTTTGCCCTTAATAGATTTGTTCGGTGAGAAATATCAATATCTTATGGTGCAAATTTTACTGGTTTTTTCATCATGCCACGCGGTTCGGCAAAAATTGGTAGCAGTTATTACTAGCCATCAACTCTATTGAAAATAACCAGTTTGTACTTATTTTGTGCTGTTTTGTACTGGTGTCTTTGATTATTTTTGTATAGTAGTCAAACAGCTATGACTTATGTATGTAAATAATGGGTGATCCAAGTAGATCCGTAGCCTTTTTTTGACAAATCATGCGTGAGTCGTATCAAGTTGTATGTTATTTTTGTTCGCTATTGTTTGGCATTTCATCATGACTTACACCTGAACAACGTTTACAAATCGTTCAACGAAACAGAATGTTCTGTAAAAAATGTGTTTCGCGCACTTCGCTCAACTTATGGTTATCAAAACCGGCCTACTGAGCGTACTATTCGCAACACCATCACCCATCTTGAGACCCAGCATTTATTATTGGATAATATTCGACCGAATAGACCATGTCCAGCGCGAACGTCTTTTCCATCGTTATCGCGCAATGACAGCTTACTAGTTGATGCCTTTGTGATCTCGGCAATATTTGGTTTCAACAAGTCGGCGCCACTTCCCACTCATCGCATCAATCAATGGATTTATTGAGAGAACACTTCGGTGAGCAGATAATTTACGATTGGAGCGGAGGGGTTGGCTACCAAGGTCATGGAATATCACACTGTTTAGTGTCATCTGACATTTACCAGAAAGAGATAATCTTAGAATGATATCAAACATTCTCCACTAAATTTTCTGTGTTTTTTCCTATAAAAAGTAGGGAACCTAAAAATGAATCACCCTTTATATTCTACGCATTTCTACCATTACAATGTTAAGAAGTTACATCGATATTATAGCTGTATTAAAAACTTATTTGAATAGCGCCAATCGAAAATACCGTTACATTCCTTATTTCTTATAACATTGTTTTACTTTAGGACAGAAACCAATTCAAATCCAAATGTCGTTAAATTTCGACCACAAAACTTTCAATACTCATTATAAATTTCTATTTAAAATATAAAAAAATACCTAATTTAGTAATACGGAACAGCAGGTTTTGCTCACATATAATATCAGAAGTACAAAAACAAGAACCAAATTATTTAACACGATCATTAAAAAAACGAGATAGTGAAGAGACCACATTTAAACATTTCGAAACTGCGACAAATCATATTACGAGTTGGGACGCAACCACCAGCATTCACTTCATGTTATTGTACTATTTTAAGAAGTTAATCTGGAAAAATTATAATTGTGCGTATTCGCATGGTTGTCCCAGTTTGTGTTCATTTTTCTGAATATTCGTTGCAACTAGTACTTGTACTTTCTCTAAGAATATCCACCTACACGAGAACTTGCGTATACCCTGTTTTAGCTCGACCAAAATTACTTCAGCGGTTATTAAATTACAATTATATTAAAACTATATATACATACCTGTATATAAAATTATATTATATTATATACATATATAATTACTTTGTTATTTATGAACAATATAGACATTTGGTAATTTGATCCAGGCTTGGCTTCAACTTCTGCTGAATATATATGCATATTATTACATGTTAAATTAACTCCACTTTTAATTGGATGGAGATCTGCGAATAATGTTGTACTGACCTTGAGATACATAAATAAAAAGAAATCAAATTGACTAGGGTACAATGAGACAAATTATTGATACCAACTTATCTTTTCTTCATACATTTTGAAAGAAATTGTGCTAAAAATTCCTCAACGCAGACTGTGAGGTGTACAGACGATTATACTACCAGTCCTTTTTTATTGAGTAAATTGAATCGTCGAAATCATCCATTTCATATAATAAAACTACTTTCCCTACAAAATCATTTATATTAAGGTTTAAATTACTGTTAAATATGCTTTTGTTAAAATATGCTTTTTCGTGGCAAGTTTCTCTGGCCATTCGCCCAAACAAACGAAATTCAGTAACAATTGGTACATATTTCGGCCAGCAGTGTAGTAGTAGTCTAGTAGTAGTCTATTTGTATGTATGTTAGTCCAATGTTTCTGAAATAAGCTAAAATATAACTACATATATTAATAAGGGATTTCCTTAAATAAACTTTTAATCTTTTGGCAACGCCATAGGTTTCCGTTCCAGTTTTGCATATCTTGACCAGCTTTTCGTTTGAAGCTCAAATTTTTTCCTTGTCAGCTTTCACACATATGTAATCCATTATTTCCGTTTACAATACTATGCGACCCATATTATATTGGAAACAAACAACCACACCGATATTCAAACAGCAATTTAATATAATATATTTTATCCATTCCATTGTAGACGACCGACTTTAGCGGCTTACCTGATGTCACCGAACACTCCAATACACGACGTACACTATCCCGCCAAAATTCTCTTTCGAACAGTGATTCTGGTGGTGATATTGCCAAGATTGAAAAGTCGAAAGTGAACTTTTGTGATGGCAGACCACAACCCACACCCCACATTGCCAATACCAAGCGTAAATCAAAGCCATCCCACTATGCAGCCAGCCACAGATGCAATAGAAGGCATCGTCTCAAACCACGACGAGGCTCATGGGCCATATTCGTGACTTTTGTTGCAACGGTATGCCTGCTTACCATCGCCACAATGCTCGCATACCAACACTTTGTGGTGCCCAATCGCCATTCGCATGCTCAAAGACTGAAAATTGTGCGACGAATACTAAAAGAGGTGCCGTTGGTGGACGGACAGAATAACTTTGCATGGAATGTACGGAAGTATGCACACAATAGTCTAGAGTCTGTGCCAATGAGGCGAAACTCCAACGCAGAGGGGTGGATTCGGCCGGCATGGGCGCAAACAGATATCGAGAGACTGAAACAAGGACTAGTTGGCGTGCAAATGTGGTAGGTAAAAATATAGTGGTTTCTTGTTATAACGTAGCAGGAAACGTACATAATTGCTATAAGACGTTTGTATATTCATATGTACATAATTTCCTCATTTAATCGATATATTTTCACATGACATTATTTTAAAATTGCTGACAACCAGTAATTAGCCATTTTTCACGTGTGCCAATTGGGGAGAAAAAAATTAAAAAACATTTACTTTGTATTACTAATCGAAATAACCACTAGTCAAATCAACACTACCGTCAACTTAGGACATCTTCGCGTTTGCAGTTAATTGTGAAAGACGTAAAGCTGTTAATATCACCAATGACAATGCCATATATTTCTTTTAAAAACGTATACCAGACTTTGCGGTCATTTATCGAAATTCTCTACCGCTCTATCAATAATCACGACATTCAGTCATCAGCCTCTATATTATATCTAATTCATAAAAAAATTCATATACTTGCATGTTTGTATCTAACATACTATTATTCGAGTTTAATTTTGGGTCAGTTCTAGGTAATTCAGTAATCAGTTTTGATTTTATGAAACCAAGATAAATAAGTGCTAGAAAGTACTTACAGTACAATGACATCATAAGCAAAAACTAATTATTGTACTATCTCATAATTCGAAATGTAGTTATGGATTAAGTGGTTTCGCTGTCACAAAGACATTTGGAGCTCATTCATGTTGATAGTCTTTTTTTTTTATTAATTTCATTGCAAGCGAGCAATTTAAATTTAAATAAACGCACTCGTATTACAGGTCTGCATATGTGCCATGTGAGGCATTGGGTCTCGACGCAGTACAGGTAGCAATAGAACAAATTGATATTATACGTCGTCTGACTGAAATGTACAGCCTTGACACGGAGTTGGCGAAATCCTCGAAGGATATTTTAACAGCACAACAACATCATAAAATGGCTTCCTTAATTGGCATCAAAGGTGGACATGCTATCGGTTCCTCACTAGCTGTTTTGCGATCATTCTACTCAGTCGGAGCACGTGCTCTCAGTCTCACACATAAGTGTGATCTCTCATGGGCTGGCTCAAGTGCCTCCGTGTCAGAAAGTGGATTGTCTGCATTTGGAAAAGCTGTCATAAGAGAAATGAATCGACTTGGTATGATGGTAGATCTGTCTTACAGTTCTACAGCAACGGCTCGCGATGTATTGCAAGTCACTAGGGCCCCAGTTATATTTTCACATTCTGCTGCACGACAACTTTGCAATTCCACACGAAATGTTCCCGACGACATTCTTCGATTAGTAGCAGATAATGGTGGACTTATTATGGTTAGTTTCGACTCAGAAGATATTGCTTGTGGAGAGCAAGCGTATCTCCAAGATGTTGTTGAGCACATCAGACATATTCGAGCAATAGCCGGAGTCCAGCATATTGGGCTGGGAGCTGGATATGATAGCATAGAAGTGCCACCTGTTGGTCTTGAAGACGTTTCTAAATATCCAGACTTACTTGCAACGTTGCTGCAGGATTCCAATTGGAGTGAGCAGGACATTGCGATGTTAGCAGGAAAAAACTTTATTCGTATTTTGGAGACTGTTGAAAATGTACGTGATTACTGGAAACGCGCTGACATTCAACCAATTGAACAGACTGAGCCACAACCAAAACCACACTGCTCACATTGGTCCTCGTGACCATAGCTGGAGACGAAGAGAAGCAGATCTGCTGCCACGCTAAAACTTGACCTGAAGCACAACACGTGGGTAACAGCATTGAATTACTACAACAACTTAAGAGTTGCCATATTGATCACACTTTTTTGGTTAAGTGGAGCAAATAATCAAAGTAAGATCACACTGATAAAAGCTGTGCGCTTAATTGTAATAAAACTGGTATTTTAGGCAATGTCATTAGATTACTATATTAATCTATTCACGTATATATTTGTATATGATTAAGCAAATCAATGGGATATAAAATATTTAAGGAAATGTTTGTTGTGAATATTAAGTCTTTTAAGGAAGTGCTCGATATCAAGTAGATATATGTAATATGGAACTTATTTCAGACATTTTTGACATATCTGTTTTATGATTTTGTCAAATATTCTTTAGTGAACTTCTGTAAACACTTCAAGTGTTTAAGTGCTAAAAGTTAAATAAAAACATATTTTTACTAGTCTAATACGATAAAATTATAGTCAAATTTTTTATTTAAATTTTCTCTCTGAACAGACGTCAAGACAATGTGCCAAGAATATACATACTTATACTATATAGTAATCTTAAAACATAAATCTTAAAACATAAATTTGAGAATAAGAGATTTAGTGTTGACTTGATCCAAGACAATCTTTACCATAAACAGAGAACTTTACGAAGTAAACTATATGTATTTCAGATTTAGTACTCTCTATTCAAATATACATGTTTAATAATTGTTACCATACAATTGATTTTCACCTTATTTTAAAATATGTTGTCATTAACCCCTGGCTTAATCAGAATCCAAATTAAAATGTTTATTTCTTTCAAATTTCTGTGTATTTCTGACATCAAGCTTGTCAAAACCCTTTGTTAGAGGTTACTTAAAAAACTAGGACGAATAAAAGGAATCGGGGAAATATATATATATGCATGAATATATACATAATTGGCGCTTTGTAACCTTTGAAGCGACTTTTGGTCGAGCTCCTTCTCCTTATGGTTGTGCCCTTGATGTTTTTCCGAAAAGCTGATGGAATTTTTATGATTAGCCTTTAGTTCATGTCAGAAATAGACTCTGAGGGGTTGACATTCCCTGCCGAATTTAACTTAATTTATTGCTTAAATTAATTTTCTATAACTTTTGGATGCTGGTCGTTCCAAGATTTTAACCCTGGCTTTCCGAATGGCAGTACGCATTGCTAACCACTTGGCTACCGCTAAAAATCGCTTAAGAGCCAATTACATATCCATATATATATATGTACTTATATGCAGGAGACAGTCCCCCTAAAAAATTTTCCACTGCACGAGATATTCATGCATACATTTATGCAAATATATTTCAAAACCTTATTGTCAAAGAATTGAAATTTCGAAATTGGTGACAGCTCCTTCAAAAATATTTTCAGCAATAAGCTTTTAAAATGTACTTGTACTTGTACCTATATATTTCATTTGTTTTTTCAATGAAAGTATATTTTAATACAATAATATTAAAATCAAGGCAAATTCACACACGGCAGTAGCAAGAATACAAACACACAGCCTGTGTATTTTGTTTGTGTAATCATAGTTTTGAAAAGTCAAAAACGAAAATCGTGCAATGTATTTTGTTTGTGTAAACGAATGTTCGAAATGACGAAACCAATTTCTCATGCATTTTGTTTTTTGAAATGGAAGGAAGAACAAGCAATCATATGATGTGACAACTTCACCTTCTGTAAACTCCCTTTGTTTAAAATTTTAAACCTTCCTAAAATCAGTTTTCTTTGTATGCTCACTTGATTTTCTTCGGCTTTCAAAATCAAGGTTTCCAAACAGGTCGAGTCTTGCGTTTTCACTAACCCTTGACCTGCATTCAGAAACATTATGTATAAGAGTTTGGTCCGGTCGTTTCAAAGCTTACGGGGACATCGTGATTCATTGATGCGCTCATAGTACCATTTTATCTAAGCCTTCCTCTTATGAAACTGAACATAGCCACTCAATTTTAACTAATTTACTGGGTATACTTGATTCTTACGTTAGTTATTATATAATATGAGGGTCAATATTTGCCGATAAACAATATTACTTTTATGAAATATTTAAACAAAAAAATAATAATAAAATTTCATTTGTAGCTGTTTCCCGGCTTTGAAAATACATATACAGAATTGCAAAATATATGCATGTGTGTATACGTATACAACAGAGAAAAAATATGTACAACAAAATATCTATATTTGCATACATTAATGTGATACAGCTATCTATGTCAGTTTCTGCCTGTGAGTAGTAATTTGTGTCCTGCCATGCCTTACGCTTTGTCCTGTATAGCGCAACGTACGGGATGTTATTCATGTTATATTTGACTTCTTACCTATACATGTGTACAACAGCAAAGAGTTCAGGAGCGCTCTCATTTATGACAAAGCTTTTACATATGTATTTATGAGTATGTTTCTGTAGGTTTTTAAAGCTTGCATTTCCATTTTTAAAGCTTTGCGAACGTAAAAGACGCTTTTAACAATTTTAATATGTTTTGTTAAATTCAACTTGATGTGGCACACATTCAGTGACCATTTGTTGGACCAGTATCTATTCAAAAAAAAAATCGTTCCTTGAAGTATCAGTTTAAACCAGAGATATCAATTCGTTTCGCTAACAACGAAATGAAATCGTTTCGTTTCGGCGTCATATTACTAAAAGGTAATGAAATTGTTAACGTAAAAATAGCAGAAACTCAAAGTTACTGTTAATTTTAAGATGGCTGCTTGCTATGATTTAACAGAACGCTTCGGTTTTAATGTTGTTGTGAATGTTTGGTCGAATAAAAAGTCGCAGGCATGACTGTCGTAAGAGACGACTAAAGTCCAAAAGTTCCCGCGACAGTCTGGTCTTTATACCGGAACGACCAGGTTCCGGTCCCGGTTCCCCCCAAGGGCCATCAATTATCAGGTTTACTATTATTTGTTACCGATTTAACACTAACGAATTTATTTTTTTAACTGCTTCGGCGGTAATATTTCCAATTTCCAAATTTTTCGATTAACGTGAAATTTAAAGTTACGTGCAACCCTGGTTTATGGTTGAAAGTAAGTTCTAACGCAAGCAGTATTTAATTAAATAATTTGATATAAATTTAAAGCTTACAGAACATTATTATTTACTATAACTAACATAAGTACATGTAAGCAAAGTTGCATATTTGATACAAGTGTATTAATTTATTTTCTGATGTTATATAGAAAATGTACGTATTTACTCATAAAAATAGTCGTTAGTCGAATTCGCGTCGATTTAGATAATATTCTGTTGAAATAACATAAAAATTATAAATACATATACATATACATGAATAACATCGAAAGAATTTTAAATACACAAAATTGAGTGAAAATTAAATATCGGTACTGTAGTTAATCATAATTTAAGTGACGCACAACAAATCATCATACATACACACCAGAAAGGATAATTAAATTGTAGTAAAGATTAAATACTTAAGCTGGAAAATAGTTACCATTAATGAGGTTTGGCATATGCAAGTACATACATGCATATATGTTTAGGTAGACACATGCCCCTATCATACATGGCCAAATCATGTTCAAAGCAATGTAACTACAGTGAATAATTTTTAAATGAAACCAAAATACAAACACATACACCTATATCCAAGATATAAAAATGCAATAAAAAATAAGTGAATGATAAATGTCCTTTTATTTTATTTCACCTGCTAGTTTGATTAATAGAACTAAATTTTCATATGATATGACACGTAAGTATTCTCAGAACATAATATATAAATAGCACTAAAACCTTTATATTTGACCGAATATTTTAAATAATATGGCATTTGATGTGTATAGTAGAAATTTAAATTAAAATTTTTTAGATTGTTTTGTTACTTAAATATGAACAATATGTCGATATATATGATTGGCCCTTTGTAATCGTTGAAGCGATTTTCGGACGAGCTTCTCTTCCAATTTGTGGATTTTGCGTCTTGATGTTATTCCAAAAAAATAGGTGGAAGGATCTACAGTTTATACTAAGCCGCCTCCGAACGGCTGATGGTTTTTATGGGAGCCTTTATTTTATGCCAGAAATACACTCGGAGGGGTTGGCATTCCCTGACGAGGGGCGGCGAATTAATTCCCTATAACTTGAACCCTGGCCATCCGAATGGAATTGCGCAATACTAAATTCAAATTTTATTAAATATTTGACGTCATTCACCAATGTGTAAAATTTTAGCTTTATGGTTTACTCGTATGAAGTTCCGAACAACGCAAAAATAGATTTTCTTTTTGCTTGTTGAAACATGAAACGTTTCTAAATATGTATGTGCAAATATATACATGCATAAGGATTTAAGAATTTAAGTTATTTTACATAATATATATTCCAAATTTTAGCTGAACGATTTAGCTTTACTCCTGCTCTGCTGCCCCATGTATTTGTTTTCATTGCAAAATGCTAAATCTGCTTGTCAGTGGTACTTACCACTGAATAATCCAAGCAATTACTCTTCATCCTGTTTGGCTCACTAATTCTCTGTGCGATTTCGCATACTGGTGGCTGCCGCACAATCAACAAGTTTAACTTGAAAATAAACTCGTAACAGCATTTGCATGCCCTTTCGCTTCTTGACTCTTCTTCACGATGAATATTTACAAATGTACTGTATTGTTGAGTAATTTTATCCCAGTATTATATTAATTCGTTATTTCAAAATGATTATCTATATATATAAAAAATTCTCTGTCCTGAATGACTGATTGATAAGCTTGTAGCTTGGACGTAGAAATTTGAATATTGATGATTGTGTCTTCGGTATGCCGTAGGCAACCGATAATAAAGGGCTCAAAGAACGAGACAACCTAAAGTAACGATGTTTGTGCGTGGTGAAATATGAAGCTATTTAACCGATGTTAATCAAATTTTGTATTCGGCAGTGATTGGTCCAAGTTAAAAGATATCGTACTTTTTTTGAAATTTGCTACGTAGAAAGCTTTTTGTATAGGCTAATATGTGGAAAACTTATGTTACAACAAAATAAATATCGTAAAATAAGGAACAAGCAATCAATTTTATTAGAATCATATTCGAAGTCTCGGCCAAAAACCAGTTTTTTTATGAATTTATTTAGTTAATAAACTGCATCACCAACTAATTAATATAAATAAAATATCGATATTAAATTGCAAAGTATGCTAGCGAATATACACCACTTATACCAGAAAATCGTGAAAAATTTTCGTCGGTCTTACACATCAGGTAGTTGTTGAGCATGAATATGAACTCTTTCCATATAATAGTGTGTGATTTGACTACGTGTACATGAATATGCGTGGAAAAGAATATAAGGGGATTCAGCCTTACCCATTTCACCAGTATTCATTACAGATTTCTGATCAGAAACCTGGAAGGAAAAACAGCTTTCCATATATGCAAGAATAGCAAAGCAACATGTATAAGCAACAGCAAAGTAAGATGACTTTTAAGAAGTTTCTTTGACTGCCTTTATCAAATCTTTATATTAATTTAAATGAAAAAAGTGTGGGGAAACCCCAAAATGGAGTTTCCTAAACAGACTCACAGAAGGTTACGCTCGGTTAAAAATCCCATAAGTTGCCTCCATATGTTTATACCAACTTTTAACACCTAATAACTATCACACTCCATTCCCCCGTGAATAATTCATATATAATTGGCGCTTTGTAACTGCCGAAATGATTTTCGGCCGAGCCCCTCCTCCAATTCGTGACTTTGCGTCTTGATGTTTTTCTACAACAACTATGTCTGAGTTTGGTATCCCCGCAAAACTTATACGGCTGTGTAAACTGACCTAAAGCAGCACTAAAAGCTCCGTCAGGATCGGGAAATACCTCCCCGAGGCGTTCGATACCAAGCGAGATTTCAAGGTGACTCTTTATCGTGTGGCTTTTTTAACTTATTGCTGAAGAAAATAATTTGAGCAGCAGAGCTGAATAGATAACAATCTTCTACAAGAATGTACAGCTTCTGACGGAAGCTCATGAAATAAACAGTGATCGCATTCGTGACTCGGCTCTCACGTCACTTTTGACTGTCATAACTTCGAGGTCGAAGATAATTTCATCTATCTAGGGCCCAGCATTAACATCAATAATAACGTCAGCCGTGAAATCCAACGCAGAATCACTCTTGCCAACAGGTGCTACTTTAGACTAAGTAGGCAACTGAAAAATAAAGTCCTCTCTCGGCGAACGAAACCCAAACTCTACAAGTCGCTCATCATACCGGTCCTACTATATGGCCCAGAAGCGTGGACGATGTCAACATCTGATGAGTCGTCTCTAGGAGTCTTCCCTAGAAAAGTTTTATGATCACATTTTATGCGCATTGACTACGGCGAATACCGCAGACGATGGAACGATAAGCTGTACGTGATATACGATGATATTGACATAGTTCAGCGAATGAAGAGACATCACCAGTGCTGGTTAGGTCATGTCGGCCGAATGGATGAACGCACTTCAGCTTTGTTGTTTTTGTAGCTGGTCATTAACCCTCAATACAGCCGGGGAAAAGATCAATTAAAAAAAACACTTTCATAATACTCGAAATTATTTTGATCATTATTAATTGGTACGGCACCGATATTTATTTTTTAAAACTGAGCAACATCTCTTTTATTTTTTATAACAACTCTAATTCTCTTATCCATAGTTTTTGCTAAGTTAAGACATTATTCTGGAGACATTATTCTGGATATTTGACTTTAGTCCAAACAGAGTAGGTTGTGGGTCATTTCTTAGCTTTCTTTTCATGATTGCTTGATGTTGGCTAGTCTAGGACATCAATACAATTTTCTTGAACTCATTATTTTGTCGTGTTGGCGGTGTGTGGAGATACACCATCATCTTGAAAGGTGTACTTCCTATTGTAACAAAGCTTTGGTATTGATGAAATAAGGTTATTTTAAGATATATATATATAGATATATTTTTCTTCATTTACAGTACCATCTAAAAAGCAAAGTTGGCCAACACCTTTGCCCTTTCATTTGCTGGCGGGTCCATTCACGTTTTATGGGTTTCCCATATTTTTAGCCCATTTTGCCGCTATATCTCTTACATTGCTTCGACGATTGTCCTTAATTATAGCGACAAACTTCCTTTTTCGCGGGAAGTAATTTTTGAGACTCTACCTCCGTGCTCTGTACAATATTCTATTTACCGTTATTTTTCCATTTTTTGCTAACATTTGTACTTTCTACAGTTTTATTTGAGAAATAGTGTGGCCGTACCAATTAATAATGGTCAAAATTATTTCGTGAATTATGAAACTGTTTTTTAATTGATATTTTCAGATTTTTTATATGCAACATATGTATGTTTTACTATAAAATTAAAGATGATAAAGCAACCATGCATCTATCACCTAACCAAGAAAAAATGTCACTTAAAATTGTATTTTCACTACTGATATACTCTCCTTTGCGGTATGTGTAATACTTACACCAACAAGAATGTTGTGGTTGTGTTCATACAACGCATTCAACAACACACGATACATATTATTGTATTTTCAAGAATTGTTTTTACAAAAGCAAATTTTAAGCGTTGTTTATTTGTATGCTTAAAATATACCAAGGCGAAATTTGAATCCCAGTTAATAAAACAAGTTAGCAGAATCCTTCAATACGCGGGGGTGAAAACGGTGTAGAACGAGTATATATAAATGCTTTATGCCATAGTTGCGGTGCACCAGTCTACTTCTATATGACATATGTATGTACATAATTAGCATTGCAAAATCTAGGGATCTCGAAAGCCCATCATTCAACTGCAAAAACAAGAATTAATCTAACAAACTCACGTAATTTAATTTAATTATTATTCAATATTGGCCATGCAGCTTATTATTATTTCGCAAGTTGTTTTTTTTAAGATTTAGTAAATATTTTTCAATAGTATATGTATGTATTGTATATGCATGAAAACAAAAGCAAAAATGCAAATTATGGAATGGATAGCAGAAGAAGAAATACAACCATTCGTTTATATCCGGCTCATTGGACCAAATGTAATTTAAGTATGGACAGGGTGAATGTTTATTTATGTTTGAGGACGAATTTATCATTGCTTTGATTAGTGTGTGAACGTGCCAAAATATTTTACTGCATATACATATGTACACATATGTGAATACTTGTATATGAGGATGCACTCTTATGCATCAAAATGCATGCCTGTTGATAAAGCACCAACCAAATTTTTTTCTTTAACAGAACTCCTTTCTCTACACTTATTTATTCATATAATCAGAATGAGTAAAAATTAAAATTTTTCATATCGGTTGTTTCTTTGTGTCATTATAAATTATAAAATTCTTTTTTTACGTGCACTTATAAATTCTGCTTTTTTTTAATTTTATCACATAAATTGTTGTTTATTTAATCTGTGTTAAAAATGCTGTCGGATAAAATACGTGCGCAAAGGATCATCGTCATCGTCTAAAGTACACTCAATGCCGTGTAAAGAGTGGCTCGATCCGTGTGCCCTCACGCAAAAGCGCCAACAGAGTCAATACAGGTTCATTCCGTTCGGTAACCAGCAGATCTCGCTCAGAATATAATCCAAATTCATCATATGAACAATATCATTCTCAATTCGAGGAACAGAATAGACCACAGCAAGAGTGGAGTCTGTCAACTAAATCAATAGTCATTAGTAGGTCACTAGATGCTCGCCTTTCTGAAATGATAAAAATAAAATCGTCGGCATCTTATGGTAAGAAATATTTCCTAAAGACTTATCCTTCAGTGCCTTTAAATAAGTACCCAATTTTGAATTTGCCGGAAACTGGCATACAACTTCAACGTCTGCTACGTCCAGTAATTTTTATGGACATAGAGCTAAAAGCTATGCGTCCGGTTGGTCGCGTACTTATCCAACTCTATACGGAAGCATCCCCACAAGTTGTGTTGGAGTTTGTGCGAGCAGCAAGAACCGGCAATGCTAATATCTTAAGTATCAATCGTTTTTTCCCCTCTCTGTGGCTGGAGGGAGAGTTACGATTATCTTCCGAGTCTCATGTTCACAAGAAACATGAATTCGATACAAGAAGCCTTAACCACACCAACCATGGTGGCATCCTTTCTTATTCACGCGAAAATCTAAGTGGCCTTGAGGGCGATCGACTTAGTTTTTCTATTTCTTTTCGACCATTGCCAGCAGCGAATAGCACGCGCGTAGCTTTCGGACGTGTAGTGGGTGGTCTGACATATCTTTATGAACTTCAAGATTACGGCTCGAAAAATGGAAGACCTACGAGAAAAATGTATATTAGCAAATGTGGCCTTTTCTCTAAGACGTTACATTCCCGAAGGTATTGAAAATTCTTTTGTATTGGTATTGAAAAAAATTGTATACTGTTGCAGATGCTTAATTTGAAATTGAATAATTAGATTGTTTTAATCTCAAAATAAACGGCTAGTTTCATTGTTGTAATGTAATTTTTTATATAAAATGTTCGTTAATAAAAAAAAATGTGGGTAATAACTGTATTCTGATTTTTAAAATAACCACTCATTAATAAATAAATAAATAAAAGAAAGTTTATAAAAGTAAAGAGGACTTGTGGTCGGCCTTTCGTAAAATTAAAGGATACCAACAATAGAAAACGAGCGGGTAATAATGTATTACAAATTATTTCAGATTCTAATTATTTCTTTACTTTTTTGGGTATTATTGTAAATAATAGTTTCCGTTATTTAATGTCGTTATATTTTTCTATGTGTTACACAATTCTTTTCGTACATTTTTTTAATGAACTCTTTCTCTCTTTTGTGCTTTGACAAAGAGCACAAAAAGGGAAATTGTTACTTCTAAAGCTTCACCCACAGCTATTTACAAAACAAGTATTTTTCATCTTTGCCATTTAAGCTAATAATGTGAAGAATACAGAAAAAGAGGTCACAGGCTTAGTCATGAATTATAAATTTCCATCGTGATATAAGAACGAAAAACGTGAGAGCTAAATTTTAATAGTTATTCAGTTGCCCGAAACTGGACATGTTTAAGGTACCACTGTTGAACTTCTTCCCATAGCGACTTCATAATATTTATACGCGTAGCAATGTCTTTACAATCGGAGTTGTATGTGATTTGTGATAAGTTCAGACAGTATTTAAACATGAGTTCAAAAAAATCAAGGTATACTCGAATCAATTTTCAAATTTCTGTGTATTAGTTACCTTTGAATTTAGGATATTCTCTAAAAAAATTATATTTCTACGTTTAGGCTTAGGTTAAAATGTAAAGAATTAACCTGAAAATAACCAAAAGGCTTTTATTTTTAGTTGTAGACAATTTCCATCCCGTGGTAAAATAATCCAAGACATACATATGACGTAACATTTCTAATATAATATATTTTTTTTTTTTTGCTAACGAACACACCTTTTTATTTTTTTATTTCATTATGCCTGTAATCGACCTGTTTCGAATGTATGTTGAAATTTAATTGATGTATATTACATAGTCAGCTTTTTGGGTGGATTAATATATAAAATCTATTCATTGAATTTAAAATGTTACTTTTACCATTTGCACATTGATGGAATGGCATCATTGGTGGTTACAGTACGCTCCTTCATGATTTCTGGAGCTTATGATGGGAGTATGAGTGCAATAATACATAATGTATCTAACCAATCGTGAGGATGATGAAGCGAAAATTTCCTTTCATGCTAGTCGCTGTATTTGGGTAATAGGAAATAGAAGTGTTTATTGATACAACGGCTGGCTGATAAATATTCCATCGAAAGGTGGTTAGAACCTTTAAACATTTTAATAGTGTTAGCAATTGGGTACGTCATGCCCTCATCTCAGAATACAAGTAAAATGTATTTCAAATATTCAACTAAGGAGTTCCTCTCTTATATTTTAAACCTATCTTCTTATTTTTCCAAAGTATGCAGAGTGAGTATAGTATACGTTACTTTCAGCTATTAGAAATTAAGGGGCAAAGAAAAGAAATAAAAAACAAGTACAATTAAGGAAGTAGTAGCTAGTAAAGGAAATTAAATTTCTTAACGCTGTTCAATTATGCTTAACTCATTATTCCTCTCAGCATCCTGTGCAAAGTTATATACAAACATATGTACTTCAAGTGTATGTATGAAAAATTGTTTATATTTTCAAGGAAAATAAAAATGTGAGCATAGACCGACAAAGTACGAGCAGCTATTACACAGAATGTGGAAGGGCGGAGACATACATACGAGGAGGGTAGCCGAAACATACATACAAGGTGTGACAATTAAGTAATGAGACTGATTATATTGCCGCGACTGTGGTAACTTGAATTCCCTTTCCCTTGTTCGTCTGCTGTGCCGTGTTGAGTAAACGTGTGTTCGTGGAGCTCGTCACGAAAATGGAAATACGAAATCAAGAGAACGCGTCGCAATAAAATTTTGCACCACCCTGTAACCCTGTGACATTTTTGTTCCCGAGAACAAAATCGTTGGTCAAAGGAACCCATTTTGAATCGATAGAGAATATCCAGGTGGGCGTGACTAGGATACTCACGGACATCCCAGACGAAACGTTCCAGAAATGTTACGAAGCATGGAAAACGCGTTGGAATCGTTGTACAGCTGCCCAAGGGGATTGCTTTGAAGGGGATGACAGAGTTGTAGAATAATTTCGAAGTATACGTATATATAGTTATATATAGTATAGTTTTTATGGAATCAGTCTCATTACTTAATTATCACACCTCGTATGTATGTATATACGTGTCACAGACATTTTAATGAGTCTTTATTACTAAAATAGATGCACGTAAGTTGATAAACAAAAGCACTCTAAGTTTCGTCCATATTGCCTTCCTCTTTGCTGTCAACGTAGACGATATCGAACATACCCTGCAAAATTTTGGGTCAAATGGTCCATTGCAGTAATCCAATAGGTACTACTTGTCGACAACTATTGGATTAATTTGCATTTTACTACACCCCTGTTGCTAGCCGATGATTGTTCGTATTTTAACGAACGCAATTGCACGACTTCTATATATCAGCAGAGCTCACCACGAAACAAAACGAGTGTAAATCTTGTTGCGCACATACATCTTTGTTTAGTAATTGCGATTGTAAAACAGGAGCAATAATCGAGTTGATCCAATAGTTTATGACAGGGAGTGGTAGTACTAGTATTACGGAATAAACAAATTTGCAAGCACACTTACTTGACACAAAAACTAACCCCCTCTTAGATGAAGGCGTTCTTGGTCACAGAAATGACATTTTTTGTCTCATAATCACGTGCTTGCGTGAAAATTCATGAAACGCTCAGATGAAAGTTGTTTTGGCGAACCAATGAACAGCATTGTGCCTGTACTTCTCTCATTGACTTTATTATTACTATCGACGTCGGATATAAATGAGTTCCTACGTAGACATTTTCCAAACACACATACCCAGCGGCAAAACATATGGCCATGGAAGCCAAGAAATAAAGTACAAACTTTGATACCTGAATTCATCGCTTAACAAATGTAGGGCCTCTGTGTTTCTTTCCCAAATACCACCCTTACTCGAAACTGTTAATGTGTGTTTTCTTTTGGTTATTGCAAGGTCAGTTCAAGTATCTTTTTTTATCGCATCTGTCTTAACATTCAAAAGGTCGTTTATTAAATAATTAAGCGAAAACCAAAACAAAATAAGTTATTCGAAGGAAAAGAAAGGCACCAACAGGTGAGCATCACTACCACGCATGACAATTTCTATGCGAGTTCTAATGGCTTCCGAAAGATATGTATGAATGTACATATGTGTGTGTATAAATCTATTGATATTTACTAGTGTGAGAGCAGTCGGAATTCCATATAATTATACCTTTCTTGTAGATGAATTAATTAATCGCTCAGTTTTTGAAATTTTCAAAAAACTTTATACACAGATGCACAAAACGATATAGCCAGATATAAGTCTTAATAAGCATTAAATTATGTGTGACCATAAACGTCCAGTAAAATAGCACTTTCCTTCATGTTAAAGTAATGAAGAAGAACTCCCCGCAAAAAATTTCGACATTTTCAAATGAATGAAACAAATTGTTTTTCACGCTAAAACAAATGACATCTACTGAAAACGACGTGAAATGACAGTACCTTTGAAATGAATATATCCACAGATGGACACGACGCGAAATAATAATATAAATTTTGCAGGTTAAATTTATATTAAATATCCGAATCTTTTTGATAAAAAGACAAACTTCATATCAGACGGCAAACCTGTTTTATAAGTGCCCTTTATCAACTGTGCCAAATGCTAAGAAATAATGACAACTGGAAGGTATAATAGTTGTATTAATCAATAGACATTTATAATTTTTATGTGTGCGTTTATGTAAGACCACATTAGCATCTCAGCAGCAATACTAATTCATTGAAGCGACCTGTTTATATATATTATATATATATATATATAATTGGTGCTTTATAACCGTTGAAGCGATTCTCGGCCGAGATCCTCCTCCAATTTATGGTTTTGCCTCTTAATGTTTTTCTAACAAATTGGTGGAGGGACCTCAAGTTTATACTAAATCAAACCAATATGACTATGTATAGTTTTTGCCTTTTCTACTGCTTGGCTAGTATAAGTGAAACCAAATGTTCCCAAAAAGTTTTTATAATCGTACTTACATGTGGTTAGTGCTTTTTATTTGACGGCTTCCAAAATTTATTCGAGGATTGATGTACGTATGTATAAAAAAAAATGTATATATTGTATCACCTAAGTCTGCAACCAGTAATTTTTTACACAAAAACTACCTCGTTTACGGATTTAAGCAGGCCATAGACCATGAAATTTTTGCAATCAATACTTTTGTTGGTGTTAAATTGAAATAATTGAATTGGGAACATTATTAGTGATTTTACAGGACATCAACGATATATTTTGGGCATATAATCATCAAACAATTTCGAAGAAAGCCAATTGGCAGAGATTTCTGCCACTAAAATTGTAGCTCCAGACTTGGAAAATCCTCCATTGTCCAGATATTTACCGAGCTCTAAATCTTGGAAAAGGCCCATGTGAAAGAATCCATTCATATCATCTTGTCATCGTTTTAAAACTGTCTTCGGCAGCACAGCTATGTCTGAATTTGGTATTCCTGCCGACAGTCGGCGCATTTACCGCTTGGCTCCCACATTAGTGTTGGCAGTCATAAGCTCGAATCCATAGATAATTTCATCTATCTAGAGACCAGCATTAACACTAATAATAATGTCATCCAGACATCCAGAGAAAAATTTTGCAAACGATTTATGGTCCTCGGCACATTGGCTACGGCAAATTCCGCAGACGATGGAACGTTGAGCTGTACGAGTTATACGGTCATGTCTTCCGAATGAATGAAAGCGTTTATGATTTGAAAGTATTCGATGCAGTAAACGCCGGTGGAAACTGAATAATATGAAGGATGAAGCAGGTAGCAGTGCCTACGCCAACGAAGACGAAGAAAAAGAAGAGTATATTTGTTATCCGTCAGATTCCAATTCATAGAGGATAAAAAGAGTATGTACATAGAAATTATTATTTTAATTTGAAAAGTTGGAATATTTTATTAATTTTAAAAATTGATGTGAAACCAGAAAATTTTACTGTATTTGATTAACCAATCAGAACGAGTATACGAGTATTTGGTTAGACTTAACTATTGTAAACAAATTTTGGAGAATATTATTACTTTTATGAATAATATGAAATCTTCTTTTCTTTCTTTATACATTATTCTTGCTTGCCTTATCTACTTGTGTAAGTGCACTGTACACCTGCAGTAGAAGCACTACATATATTCATATACGTAAATGCAAATAAATTCTTAGCATCTTAGGCCTATATACAAAGTGCCTATGTATTGTATATGATGTACAGTACAACCATTTCGAATATCAATATTTGCTTTTTACTTTTAATGACAACCTCTCTTTTATCATAAAGCAGAAACCGTGTGTTTAGCGTGCAATTAGACTTCAGCGAATCCTTCAATCGAATCTGTCGGAGTGGGTCCACTTAAGCTTCTATTTTAGCCGGGACCCTAGACTCTACACGGGCTATTTACTACATCTCGCAAAGGGGTGCTCTCGTTTTCAGAATTGATTAAAGCTCTACGACTGTAATCTCATACCCAGAACCATGGCTGCACTCCATTATACATATTTCATTTATGAAGATTCACGCACTCCTTAGTAGGAAATAAATACCTTTCACTATATATATATGTACATATGTACATATATTGTTTATGCACATGCATATTTATGTATGTACGAGTAAGTTGGAATTATAACTGTAGCCATTACTTTTTGGAATTTCTCTCCAACTCCGCCCATAAATCATAACATTTTTTAAAGGGTTCGTTTGCTTACCTTCCATGTAGAATCTTTTTCAGAACAAGTTTTAATTTAACTTCACGTATAAAAAAACAATTATTTTTTAGACTCGAACTTTTTCGCGTTTCCTACTTCACGTACTCTGTTCTTGTGCGTTGTATGTATGTATTTGATTTGTGTGCGAAAAATGTTGTCCTATAGTTTTATCAAAACTCGCCAAGTTGCAATAAAAGAGATTTTGATGCTAATATTTATGCGTTTAGGTAAGCGCTTATATGCACCTAAGCCACAGAAATGTATGTAAGCACACATATGTATAAATGAATGGCTACAAAGTCCGCAGATTACTTTAAGTGTATACATTTTTATATGCAATAGGTGTGTATTTATGTATCATATTTTATCTTTCTTCTTCTTTACTGGCGTAGGTTTTCCTCTTCCTCTGCTTTCCGCGGTGGGTATTGCATCGTCGAGCACCCTGGAAACGTGTCAACCCATCCATGTGGAGCCTTGGGTCACAGCTAAAAGAGAAGAAGCTTAAGAGGAGCCACGATGGAGGAGCCGATGGACGGGATACGGGATAAGGACGGAAGTAAGTAGGTCCTTGTCACATTTATTACAGCGCCAAGATAAACTTTGGTGACGGATTCGTGGCGGGAGGGAGACGCCGTAGCCGTGTATTGACATTTATCCTGGTGGATAAAAGTCTCGCCAAAATCCGTTAACGGCTCACTAATCTGTCTGCACTTCACAGTCGTAGAAAGATGTTTGGAGTTTTATTTTTAACTAAATTGATGAGAGGTGTTATCAACCCTACTTCCCACTTAGCGAGTTTAACTTTACAATGCCTTTAAGATCATCTAGACACTTTAGGCCACTTTCATTGATTTTAACACACATTTCACTAACATTGATTGCTCACTCGCTTTTTTTTGTATCAAAACCTACTTAGTGAGTGCTTTGAACAATTAAGCAAATCTTATTCTCCTTTAATTTAATTTTATAGCAGCTGATGAACCGCGACATTTCCCGATCGGTTTCGGGTATTCCGGACTGTCGCTGGTTCTCGGACACCGGGCTGTTGAACTTTTCGATTTCGATGTCGGACGTACTCCTCGGCCGGTTTGGCGAGAGGTGGGTAGCGCTGAATCCGTCGTAAATACAACGAATTTTTGTAATATGCGCGGATTTACGCGCATGCCCCGACGGAAAAGAAAGGCGATTTGACCAAGGATATATTTTATGAACGCCTGAAGCGTACTCATGTGCGCTACACCGCCACATGCTTGGCGATTTTAACGCAGCCTCTACAACGAAACATCCACAAATGGGTTGGGCTACTTGGCTGTCCCTTGATCGAAAAACTTGAAACCACATCGATCATGTTTTAATAGGTGGAATACATGTCTCCAGCGTACAACTGCAAACGAAACTATTGGATTTCGGAAAGGTAGCAACAACAACTGGTACGATGAGAACTGCCATGTCTGGGATAAGCCTTCTTTATATTGGATATAAGGTCTTATAGAGCGTAAAGATATAAAATAACTCTGCCCATACCACTGTAAAAATGACGTGTATGATTGTACGTGTTATAAAAATATTTGTAATAAGAATGTTGAAGTGAAGCACGAATTGTATTGAAAAACAAGTCGAGGAAAACGGAAAAGCGTACGAAAACATTGAGAAAAGCAATAGCTGTGTTTATTCAGAAATGTCAGTAAATATTAGCCAGTAACGATATTGAGATCTTACGGTCCCAAAGATAGAAATTTACTGAGTTTTCACCTAACAGGATTCAGTAAAAATTTGCCAGAAAGTTGCATAATAGCATTTTAAAAATAATTACTTGCATCGAAAATTTATTGATTTTCAACAATGATGAAACTCGAAATGCTTTATAGTCGTCCAACTATAAAGATGCCAATATGATTTTTCTAATAGTCCTCTAAAAGCACGAGGATTTATGTAGAACTTGCTTTGCAACAATTTTTCGCCTATAATTTAGATTTTCAGGAAGGACGTTTGCAATATATAAGACTTATAGACTTTCTTCGATTCTGATAAGTAAAACCCAAGCAAGAGGTTTATTTTCCCATTTAAACGCGATTAATATTTCATTTTGTGCTTCGTTGTCCCTTCCGGACAACCATTGTGACCGTGATTCCGCTCCCCCACATTTTCGTTGAACGAGTTAACGATTTATTTGAGTAGTTTATTTCATTAAATTTATTTTAACAAAATTGTATTCTGCACTTATTATGTTAGTGTATTATTCATATCAAAGCATTAACATTATTTTCATTTTAAATAAATTTTGGTTCGTTGACAAAAATTCAATCATATGATCACAAATTAGCTGTTCTTCAAACTTACTAGTTTTCACTGGCTGAAATTTTCCCAGCACGAATTTCCATTTTTGTTTCCAAACTCAACGTCGAAATTGCGCTCTCTCGTTACTAATTTTACTGGGTTTTTGGCTCAGCGAACACGTTTCAGTAAAGTTCAGTGAAAATTTTTTTTAAATCGCCGAAAAGAACTAATAGCTCAGACGGGGCATAATATTGGCTCATTCTTCTTTCTAGAGCGCATCTGCTTATTAGAGCATTATTAAGATTAAATTGAATAAAAAAGAACTATGTAATTTCGCTGTGTCAAAAATTTTTTGGATACTCTTCACATTATTAAGTAAATATATGTTTAGAGGTTGGTCGAAAATTTTATAAATGAACAAAACTGCCACCTCGATAATTTGAAGTAAAAAGCCCGTTCAATGGGGCTGAGAAGTCGTTATCGTCCTTATTTTAAATATCCACAACATGACCGAAATTATGATTTTTGAGCTTATTGGACTTTGTCAGATTGCCCCGATTTTGCAGCAATAAAAGCAGCTACTGTATTTTCTTATAATATAGACAGTACTTATCCATTCGTTCTGAACAATTTGGCATAAAATGTATATGTATGTGGGTAACTTACAGACAACTGCTTAGTGGTCAAAGTTCATATGCTCTGATTAAAGCTGTGGCAAATTATTATACGCAGATACGAGTACATACATATGATACATATACCTACGATATGTAGTTTATTTTAAATCGCCGTACTCATAAATTGTAATGAAAGCCGTCGTGTCGTGAATATGTGTGGAAAGTGATGGCGGATATACTCGTACATACCTATGTGTTTGCTGCTTAGTACAAAAGAGCTTTTTTTGAAGTGCACTGCTGTGGAATTGGACTACTGTGAAAAGCCTAAGGCTGGCAACACCTATATTAATATGTACTTACATACATAAGAAGAAAGCACATACTAGCAGACGCGTGTAGATGACTGTGAAGTATCTATGGAGCATTGAACGCTCTAGGGTACTCAATCCATAGTGGTTCACATGAATATGAAGATTGTCCATTGAATTGAAAATAGGTCTAGAAAAGAAAACAGCACACTAACACAACTGCGACATATGAATGTGAGTGAGAATACTTTCTAATATGTCTGAGCAACAACAATGTTGTTAGTAATATAAATGTATAACTGGTAACAGTAATGCCGACTCCAAAGAAATACAAAAATACATTTCAGTATGTTTCAAAAAACGGAAGCATATGAAGCCTTCGCTTCGCCTTCGATGAGAAGAGGGTACTAGTTTTAGAGGTAGGTGGGACTCTTTCACACGCGTGTATATCAAAAATAGTTACTACGAACCTTGTGATCAGGGACCCAAATCCCCACCAAACAAACAAGTAGTAGGGTAAAACTGATCGCAGAATTTGCATAAAATAGAAGTAAATATATATAAGAATTACTTCGTGACCACGTTTCGTGCTTTGAGCAATTGAAAGGACTGGATCGGTTATAGATATTTTAAGGTCTAAGCATCATCGTTTTGATCGTTCCATATCAAATATCGCTACTGTAAGTGAAACTGTAGCCGAATATGACATAAATCCCACCTCGTGATTTTCTTACGTAACATAATGGCCTATTTTGCACTTGGACTTGCTCTTATGTACATAAAGTTCAACTTCAATTGTTGTAGCAAGCTTGCTATTCATAACGCCGTACATGAGGTGCTTGAACAATAAGCAGTGAGCAACGATTTTTGGAACAAAATTTTCTTCAGCAATGAGGTACTTTTCTCACCCGAAGGATATTAATTTGGGGCTCCGAGAATTCGCAAAGAATTGAAGAGATGCCATTACACCCGAAAAAATTACTGTCTAGTTCGCTTTGAAAATGACAACAATTTCAAAATTTATGAAAACAAAATTATTTTAAATGCATTTTATTTACGTTTATTCTCTCGACCGTGAGCTATCAACTCTGTATACAAAATTTGTATAAATGAATCCCTTATTGCACATGCTTCTGCTCCCTCCTAAGGGACGTTCGTACATTTCATACATTTTTGTAATGGTCATTGTTCTTCTTTCTCAACCGCTTGACAATTTCCCTGTCAAAAATACAGGCGCGGATGACATTATTTCTACCTATAATACTAATTGCGAAACTCATTATTAGTATAAATAACTCAACTAGAACAAGCAACAACACTATGTCAACGAAAATTGGAAATTCCTGCTACTCGGAACGCGGTTCTCCTGTGAATAAATTCCTTGTGATAATAAGAAGTTCAGAAAGTCGAAAAATTAGTAATAGGTAATTGGAGAATCAAATTGTGGTAGATTGCTATTTTGCAAAAAATGAGTTGGAGGGATTTTGCACGAGCAATCGAATATGGAAAAATTAGACCGCGTTGGGTACCGCGAATGCTCACACCGCTCGACAAGCTGCGACGATTGGAGCCTTGCAACCGCATTGTAAAAGTTGTTGTAACTAGGATTCGTCAGCATAAGGCCGAATTCAAATAGGAGTCTAGGCTGTGAATAAAAAATTCATAATGGAAAAGTTCCTTTGACAAGGGAATTACAATGAACGGCCAATATTACGCTAATTTGTAATTTAGGTCCGGCCTGTGAGGCAGTCGTCAAAAGAGACGTGCAAATTAGCGCGCGGAATGCTGTGGCTCCCTGTGAAAGCCATTTTGGAGAAAATGTAAAGAAAATTTTTACAGTGGTATAAAGGTATTGTTTTCACGATGCCAGAAGTTCTATTAGCGTGGAATAATGATGTTACCGGAAAGATAGCGTAAAGTCATTCAACAAAGTGGAAATTACATAATTGATTAAAGTTTCATTATAAAATTTAAAAAAATTTATTTACTTTCCTTAATAAAGTCGCCGGTCTCTTTTGGGGCAACCCAATACATGGCAGCCGCGATGGTTAGCAGTACGTACTGCCATTCGAAAGGCTTGGGTTCAAATCCCCGTGCGACCAGCATCCAAAAGTTATAGAAAATTAATTTAAAATGAAAAATTAAGCTAAATTTCCTAATTTCGGTCTTCTCTCGGCAGGGAATGTTGACCCCTCCGAGTGTATTTCTGACATGAAATAAAGCTACTCATAAAAACCATCAGCCGTTCGGAGACGGCATAGTATAAACTGTAGGTCCCCCCATTTGTTGGAAAAAACATCAAGACGCAAAACCACAAATTAAAGGAGGAGCACGGCGAAAAATTGCTTCAGCGGCTACAAAGCGCCATTTATATATATACATAATATATGGATTTCTGGACCATTCAATTCACTGCCCGCTTAAGTTAAAAACGAGGCGATAAAGGTTTAATTTCCGAAAAACCTACAAACCTCTCAATTCCTACAAACGTCTACAAAATGAAAGTAAAAGAGCTTGCGTCTTACAACTTTTGACACGAATTTTGTTATATTGTTGAATGATACACATTGAGATGTATCATTGGGGTGTATTTGCTTAACATCCTAAAACCGTATAGCGAGAAATCGAAGATATACTCCGACAATTATTTTCAGTTTAAAATTATATTAAGCACTTTGAAGATAATTTTTGATAAGATGTTGGTCAATGTACGTGCATACGAAAGTAAGTTGATCTTATTTTAATTAAAACAAACCGAATATTAGACTGACAACTATTTCGGTTGTAGGAAATAAGGGGTGACTTTGTACGCACAACATGTTCAATCGGTAGTTTTGTTAGGTACACTTTACTTAAAGGGCGCAATGATTATCCAACAAGTTTAATTGAACAACGCGAAATATGCGTACTAAAGTTTGTCAAATGGCTTGCGATTTATGCGTTTGTACCCAAAGGTGGCCAGGGCACCGCACAACGTTATTTCCTAATCTAGGCTCGATGGCGACATCGACCGCAGGGATACTACCCTAGAATGGAAGGGCATAGCTATCCGGTCAGGCGATGTCGAGCTCGAAAGATTCAATATATACATTCCTCCAGTTACAAGTTGCAGGATACACTTTTATATAGGTGCGCTACTCAGAGGTGAAAGCCGTTTGGTTTTGGCCGACTTTAACGCGCATCACGATCTTTGGCATTCTAGCCTGTCAAATGACTGTAGAGGAATGGAGCTGGCAGAACAGATAGACGATTCGACATTCTGCACAATGAACGACAACACTCCTACCAGAGTTATGGGTAATTGCCAAAGCTCGCCAGACATAACAATTGCGAGTGCTGGTCTGATAAACAGTATAGTCTGGCGACCTATACTGACGTTAGCATCGGACCACTTGCCCATACAAATCTTGATAGACAGGCCTCCCGACTTTGTTTCCACGGATCACTGGACATTTGTTAACTTTTAAAAAATCTAACTTTCCCAGATTCACGGAATTGACTGATAACGCCTTTAGTGCTCTTCCCACTCCATCAGACGTCACCATTGGTGCTTGATTTCTCCAGGGTGGAGGTTCAGGGGGTCAGCGGGAAGGCGAAAGCCTCCAAATCCATCGGCCCCGACGGAATAAGCATGATGATGCTAAAACACATAGGGCCAGCGGGAGCAGAATTTCTCACGAGGGTCCTCAATTTGTCTCTGACCACCCTGAAGATACCCGATGTGTGGAAAATGGGTAGGGTGGTCCCGCTACTCAAACCGGGGAAACCAGCCAACAAAGGAGAGTCCTATCGGCCGATAACTCTCCTCTCCCAAGTAGCGAAGACACTTACTTACCTTACTGCTCCCGACTTTCCCTCACCATCTGCGTCCAGCAGCGCATCAGCATCGCTTCCGAAAAGTGCACAGTACCACAACAGCACTTAACGCCATAAACACCCAGATAGTCCATGGCCTTAACCAAAACCGACCCTGCGCGCGAACTGCCCAGCTAGCACTGGACTTGTCAAAAGCTTTTGAAACAGTCAATCACTCAGTGCTACTAACGGACATTGAGGAATCCTGTTACCGCCGGGGTTGCAGAGATGGGTCATGGGCTACCTGAGTGGTCGCAAATCATCGGTAATATTCCGAGGTGTAACATCTAAGCCCCGGAAAATTAAACAGGGGGTTCCGCAGGGTGGATGCCGATGATTGTACGATAATGGCGTCTGGCCAGGATATTGATGACCTCTGTTCGAAAGTGAACGGCTACCTCGCTGATCTCTCCCACTTCTTCACTACAAGACAGCTAAGAATACAACCGACGAAATCCTCGGCTACCCTCTTCACCAGCTGGACGAAGGAGTACAGGCTTGAACTAGATGTGAAGGTCGATGACACAAAAATTCCGACGGTAAATAACCCAAAAATATTGGGAGTAACCCTAGACAGCCTGCACTCCTTCCCTCCGCATGCGACCGCAATTGCCGCGAACCCCAGAGCCGCAACAAAATACTCAAAGCGCTAGCCGGCAGCACCTGGGGTAAAGACAAAGAAACTTTGCTGGCTACTTCTAAAGCAATTGGTCGGCCGATCGTAAACTATGCTGCAAATATCTCGGCGCCCTGGACGAACGAGACGCAGATGAAGAAGCTACAGGCTTGCCAGAACACCGCCCTCAGGACCGCGACAGGAAACCTCCTGATGTCGACGGAGCATCACTTGCACAGGGAAGCATCTATGCTACGAGTTATTGTGCAAGCAGTTCCTATTGGGATGCTACCGTAGGGAGCACCCCAGTAGGCACCTAATAAAAGCTGAACGTAAACCTAGGCACATCAGAAAGGGAGTACTATTGTAGACTTTAAGGACACAATCCAGCAACATGTACAACAACCGCTGAACAGGACGGCAGGAGGACAACGGGCTCAAGCTGCCTCGAGAGACCCGTTGTGACCCTGATACAACTTAGGTCTGGATATTGTAGCAGGTTAAGCTCCTACTTATCCAGACTAGACCCCAGCATACCCAACGTATGCCCTGCATGTGGAGACTCTCCGCACGACACTAACCACCTCTTCACATGCCCTCTCAAACCAACTCATCTAACTCCCCTGTCCCTCTGGTCCAACCCCGTCGAAACAGCTTGTTTCCTGGACCTACCATTAGATAACCTCGGTTACTTTGACTGATCAAACCTGTACCTATGCGGGGTTAGCGAACCGCTACAACAACAACAATAGCATTTATTTAAGGAGGGTTATTTATTGTTTTATTATATTTTTTACAATTTAATGAGATGTTTGATTAATAATTTTTTTAACTTATAAATCAAAAATACAATAATTTGTGCATTTACTAATTAATTTATTAATTTGTTGTATTTACGTTCTCTGCTTACAGTAGCTTTTAGCTTGCATTTAATGAAAGCTGGTAACCCTGCCAAAAGTCTGCTCAATCTCTTATTTATTTGATTATTTCAAGGCGAATTCCCATGGATTTCTCTGGCTCCAGCTGCGAAAAGGCGAACAAAAGGAAAAGTGAAATATATGCGGCGAAATTGCAGCGACAAACTACAAAATTATCACACCAAGCGGTTAGGTGAGATCGACGGCGCACAAATTCAAAAATAGTTTAGCTGGTGAATGAACAAATAAAGTAGGAGCTGATATTTATTGGCGGAAAATAAGGTTGCATCGGTCCACATTAGAAGAAGAGGTCCACCTCAAAAGAAATAATAATACAGGTTTACAGGAATTTAAAAAGTTCATCGGTTATATTTATTAAAATTTTTTGGGTGACCACCGAATTTAAAGTCAGTAAAAGTGAATTTAGTACGAGGAAAAAAAACAATTCTGCCACAGAAATAAATATTTTCTATTTGTTATTGATACTAATAACTCCGTGTAAATAGAAATATTAAGTGCACCGATTTCTTACAATCTAATTAAATATAGTAACCGAGGCTTCGATCGCTAAGCGACAAAAGCAGCTTTAATTTTGCGTTTTAATTGCTCAAGAAGAAAGAGAAGGAAGAGCGCATAAGTGCATAGGAAAACGATAAATTGCGCAATGGCCACTTTTCATATCCATCAAGATGCCGAAAAGGAGAATCCACACTTATCTGTACCACTAAAGGAAAAAAATTTGGCTGCCTGCACCAGTAGAGTGAATGCCTTGCAGCCGTCTGTGCTTGGAGGAACAGCTTTACCCTTGAAGGGAAAGCTGGCTGACGGTGTTAGTCGCAGTAATTTTGCTGTGCTAAATACAAATGCAAATATCGCCCGAAACACAAGTATTGGTATATTAGGTAGCAAAGTGGTAAGTTTTCTCTACAACACTTCGACATTTTATAATATAGTGTTTTCAAAATTCTTATGCGTGTCAGATCTTTCTCTATATTTGAAAATTGCGGAACGTAGCTTGTCGAAATTTTAAATTTTAACCATTTAGTTAAGGAAAAATAATTTTCTTAATATACTGTATACATATGTAACAGGACCTGAAATAAAATAACTTATAACGGGCTACCTTATATAACAGATAGATGTTTTTAGTCAAAAAAAATTTCTTTTGTAACCTGATTATAATTTACAATTGATAGGCATTTCGTGAAGTTGGGAATTCCAAAACAAACAATGACAATACCACAGTTTTCGCAGCAGCATCAGCCGCTGTTAAGAAGACCGTAGTGGAGCAATTTAAATCCTTTTCAGTTTATGAGGACCAACCTAATATAGAGCAGCCGGCTTACCAACAACATTTATTAACAACTAATAACAACAACGTTAAGCCGACAGCGATCACACAAGGAGAAAAAGAAAATATCGACATTGTCCAACAAAGTCGTCACAACAAAAATGGTTTTAAATTGTAAGTACTAAGGAAATGTCATTATTTTCGGCAGCTAATTATTTCTCCATTTATAGTGATGGCTCGCAAAAGGGAAGTAGCATTGATGATGAATGTATTTTGGATACTACACCAATGTCAGTGTCAGAGGTGCTTTCGCCAATGTCCGTAGACAGATCACATGTAGGTATAACTCAGCCAACGCTATCACAATTGCTTGAAGTTGACAATGACAATAAAAAAGCCAATGATTTAACTACCGAGGAGGAGGAACATCGTAGTCGCCTTCTCATACCCCGCAATCATCGGCAACGTTTCTTTGAAGTTGGAGAATATCAAAGGGATATTTTGGAATATTTTCTGGAAAGTGAGGTAAGTCCAAATCATACGATATTATACGAAAAGCTTTGCATTTTCGTATTACTCTTTTATAAAAGGTTTTCGTAATACGCAAGCAGTGAATTGCATGCATACACCTACGGTAAAAAGAAATACCTAGTTTCGATTGTCTGTTTATTTTCCCGCCTCTTCGGGTTTTCACCCCATGAAAATTCTGTATTAATATAGTTTTAAGGGATGATTTTTCGGCTGTTTCATTGAAATCGATTTCTCCTTCTATTTACTATGTATTGCGCAATTATATTAGTGCGCCCAAACATCTGTGTATGTCCTTTAAGCGTGCTCTCTTATTTTATTGATTGTATGTACATATGTGAATGTGAACATTTTTCCAAATTTCAATTCAGTTAAATATTTTCGTTGAATTAATTTAAGTTTTTTTTTACACTATATCGTTTAGCACATAGCTCTCTTATTATTTTCTTCCCAAAAGAAGTTTTGGTCGAAATATAGAAGCACTCATTTCAGAACCGTAATAAATACTTAAATAAATTAAAAATTTTTTGGGTCGAACCAAGTTTAATATATTATACATATGTACTTGAATTTTATTATTACAAATCAAGTTTAAGAAATAAAATCATTTTAACGCGAAGTTTTGTTGAACTGATCGTAAAATTCCTTCGATACATAATTTTTATTTAAATCCTTGTTGGTAATCTCTTTTTGCATTTTTTGCTCTACCGCAAGACGTGCATTGAAACGTAGATGATCATCCAGTAATTGCTTCCGAGTTTTTTCTAACTCAATCTGCTTTAGCATCAACTCCCGATCCATGTTAAGAGAGTACTGTTCCCATTGCTTATCTATTAGCTGCTGCTCTGTTTGCCGTTTTTTGTTGGCGATCTTTTGTTGTAACTGCTCGTCTTGGAACTTTGCCAACTCGTCGGCGGACATACCCCGATACATAAAGGCAATTTTTTTATTTGGGTTTGTCCGTGATTGTGCAGCATTCGGGTTCTCGGTGAGCATGTCACTAGTAAGCATGTTATAGATCTCAGCTAGATCATCTTCACTGGTTTCTTTTTTTTCCCGTACGCGATCAAATCGCTTAGACTTAGCTAATTTAGAGTTAAAATCATATGTTGCTGCTGTCATTTCATTTCGTATTTTCCGTTCTGCATTTGCCATATCCTCCAGGCGTTTATCTCGCGATGCCATTGACTCTTGCATTATTAAATCGGCTTTAATACTTTCTTCCTCATATTGTTTACGTTCTTGAACTTGTTGATCTAGCCAAGCACGCTGTTGAGCTCTCTGTCGTAATTTCCGCTCACTTTGTCCAAGATCTTCACCAGAGAAAACTTGGGCACTAGATATACCAAGGCTTATATCATCGTCAGTGAAACGTGCAGGCAAAGCTTTTTTTATATTGTCAGGATCGTTTAAATCAAACTCGCGTCGCTGATCTTTTCGCTGAAAGCGACAACGGTAGTAATTGAGATCTGCTTCGGCAACGCGCTTTCGTTTATCAATCTCTAATGATTTTGCATAAACAGTAAGCTGTTGACGTTGAGTCTGGTCTTCATAGCGACGTTCACATTCGGCATCAACTTGCCTTTGCTTTTTTTTATCTGCAATTTGACGCTCCAATTCTTTCAAATCCAACTGAAATTTCATTTTTTAATAACCGTCTAAAAGAGTTTATTCATCACATACCCCAAAGAGCCTTTGTTTAGCATTAAATATTCTACTCTTTCTTCCATCTTCAAACTGTATACGTCTCTGCAGCTTTGCCGACTCATTTATGTCATCTCTTGTAGCAATCGGAGCCTTATGCATGGCTATAATAATATAACTGTTCTGATCTTCAATTTAAAAAAAAAAACGTATGCATCAATTTATAGCTCTTTCCGACACTAAAAATAGATAGTGCTAATATTTTAACTCATTGACTGAAACTTCACTTCCTACTCAATATTTTATTCCTTGCAAAGTGAAATAGAAAAACAATGATGTGTAAAATGTTGCTAGGCAATAAAAATTTACATATACATATATGTTTATATTTATTTTACTTTGGTGAGAAATTTGCTGAAATGTATTCTTTTTAATAGATACATATATATAAAAAGGTATACGAGCGGTTAACATTGCGAACTGCTATTGGGAAGATTCAGGTTTTAGGAGGTACCTACGGGTTATATATACTAAGTAGCCTCCGAACGCAATTAGAAAATTTAACTTAATTTTTTATTTAAAATAATTTCCTAAAAGTTTTTAGATACTAGTCCAACAAAAGGATTTGCCTCTATATTTAATCTGTTTTTTTTTTTTTTTTTTTTAGAAGAAACATCGGCCCAAACCTCACTACATGCGTCGTCAGGCTGATATTAATCATTCAATGCGTACCATTCTGATAGATTGGCTAGTAGAAGTATCTGAGGAGTATAATCTGGATACGGAGACACTATACCTTTCCGTATCATATATCGATCGTTTCCTTAGCCAAATGTCTGTAGTACGCAGCAAGCTACAGTTGGTTGGCACAGCTGCCATGTACATAGCATCGTAAGTATAAAACTAATTTTAAGCTTTAAATAGAGAATTAAACGAATTAAAATTACATATAAAACTGTTGCTGTATTTTGTTAATCTTGTTGCAATCTTTTTTTAATAGAAAATATGAGGAAATCTATCCTCCAGATGTGGGCGAATTTGTATTCATTACAGACGATACATATAATAAAGCTCAAGTTTTGCGAATGGAACAGATCATTTTAAAGATTCTAGCATTTGATCTATGTACTCCTACGGCATATGTTTTCATAAACACATATGCAGTTTTATTAGATATGACAGACAGACTCAAATTTCTGACTCAGGTAATATATTATATAAGCTGATGTAGAGTTGAATTCATGTCGTCTAATTTCATGCAGTATATTTGTGAGCTATCACTTTTGGAAGCTGATCCGTATTTGCGCTTTTTACCGTCGTTGATATCTGCTTCCGCGCTTGCTTTGGCTAGATATCTACTGGATTACAAAATTTGGACATCCGAATTGCAAGAGATAACAACATATAGCCTTGGAGACCTTAAAGAAGTGTTTTTATACCTCTGTAAATCACACAATGCGGCTACGAAATTGGGACAACAAGCCATACAAGAAAAATACAGGGTCGATAAGTAAGTCAATGCATTTACAAACATAATAAGAATTTGTTAAAGCAGGTCTTCAAAAAAAATAATTGTTTGAAGGTACAAGAAAGTTTCTACAATCAAGCCTGTTGAACTAGACGAGGAGGCATTTGAACTTCTGTTACAAAAAAATAATATTAGCGAAGATATTCCCGAAAAAACATCGACGGCAAATACTGAAAACGTACGACGGGCAATCTCTCTGATGTTTAATTAAAATACCTAAATAAAAAGTAGTACATTTCAACGCTCAATTATGATTTAGTATTAACTGAAAAACGCTTAATAATACTTGTTTATATTTTATGTTTCTCCGTTCTGATTAATGCTAATTCAAAACCTTGAAGTTTTTAGCTGAGTCCCGAAATCCAAGAACTTTATATGGTAGCATAAAATTTTGCTATTATTGCTAATATTAAATTTTAGAAATTTACTAAGGCTTGCAGAATTTCGATATTGTGGTAAAAACATAAGAGAAAATTTCGCCTTAACATTTTATTTTTTAATTATAGAAATTTATGGTATTGGTAATATTCAATTTACATTAATAGTTAATGGATAAAAATTAAACATATTTGCTTGAATAATACAACTACTGTAAAATAGAAAGTAAAAATTTTTAGTTTCCCATCAGAAAAAATTATTGAAATAATTGTGGCTTAATTGTTATTGCAAGTTTTATTTTCTTTTAATTTATTATTTGTCTCATATTTTATTTCACATAAATTATAAACTTAACCCACTTCTAATTTTAGAGCTAGAATTATGGTTATTTACAATTTTAGCTACTGAATCAGATATTGTAGAACAAACATCACCCACAAAATGTTATAAGAAGTCGAAAGCAGTTTCGTGTGCAAAAAGATATTAGTCAATGAAATTTTAAATTGTAACTCATACTCTTAGGTGTTTTTCCTAAACTATTTGCGTTACTCATAGTTTCCTGATACAGAACTTTTTAAAATAGCTGTATGTTGTCTTGCTTACCACTCGATTTTTTGGTGGCAATTTTTCTAAACTAATTTAACTGTATACGAAGTTCTTGCTATACCATATTTTATGTAATACAATATCTTGAATGTCTGTCTTTGTGTTAAATATTTATATTTTTTAACATGATATTTTAGTTTCAGACCAAACAATCTTACTAAGGCATATATGTAATGCTAGCTATTTAAAAATTTAAGTATTTAATAAATTTTATAAAACTAAAATATACAATTAAAAAATAAAATAAATGTGTTAAAATATACGAAACTAAATAATTTTATTTGGTCTGGCAGTACATATGAACAGCATATATATAACCATTTTTGTTTTTTGTAGAAAAGAATTTTTTTTTTTAAATCAATGTAACGTAACAGAAATGCAAAACAAAAAATGTAGAATATAAAGAAGGTGCAATTACGGATCAAAGTGGAAATTGTCGTTTGACGAAATGCGAAATTGAAATATCATCACCATCGTTTTCTGCGGATCAATATCTACATTGTCTCGATAATTCATGGTTGTATTCTTATTAGGAAAGAAATTATTATTACCTAAAACCTACCGAATTGTCGTTGGAGACGTAGGACAGGCTGAACTTTCAAACTGCTCTCCTGAAAATTTGAAAAATGAAAAAATGCGTTTCTCCGTTTTCGCAATAAATAAATAAATTTTAAATATACATAAATATGAATATTATTATTATTTGTAGCAATAATATACAAAATTTCATATTAACTATGCAAACGTTGCATATAAAAGGGAAATACATATTTATGTACGTGCTTCTGTTATGCACTGCAGAAAATCACAAATTTCCATACATACATATGTACATATGTATATGGAAAAATACTTGCAAACATTTTCATTCACAGACGCATGCGCCATATAATAAAGCGAAATGCAAACTTACCCGCCTCAACACTTGCTTCTTCGTTACGGTCGCAAACTAACATGAAAGAAAAACTTAATTCGAGTGGAGCCGAACAATAGATACATGGCTGTTATTTATATATGTATATATAATGCAAAACCAATACGATCTAGAAAGTTTAAGACGGGAAAATGTTAACCTTTAAAAGTAAACCAAATAATATTGGCCTTCATTATAAGTTGATTTTTTTTTATAATGCCATTGAGCACCAGTTTTAAATACTAAACCATCATTACATGATATAAGATCGTTTGGGTGAGCTCCAAAACGTCAGTTGCAAAACAACCATACATCGTTACGCATTCCTAAATGCAGCTGTGCAACCTTGACTAAAATATATCAGTAAAGTTACAACAGTAAAATTTCTTCACTTTTGATTCTTGGCTAGACAGGTCGAGATATCGATTTGCTGAATATGCCGTTATCCGTTAAGAATTCAAAAATGATATAAGCACATATTAGTTATTTCTTAACCGAGTTAATTTTTCGATTACCTTTTATTTACATGCAATTTTATAAAGTAAGGATACGTTTATATGGCGATCAATTTTAATTGCTAGCATATGTCACATTATATGTTGTTTGTATTATGAAAATGCATAAGCCTTGGTATTTTATATTTTGGTGGCACCTTGAAATAAAGCACGACAACTTAATACGCAAATCTTGTATCTGGATGGAATTCCAATTTATCTAAAGCTGGATTGCATGCAAAATTAATCATTGGTGGCGGACCGCACATTAATACCAATGTATCATCTGAAGCAGAGAAAAGATTGTGCTTAATCATATCGTCATTTATGAATCCAACACTGTACGTCCAGCCTATAATAAATAAAATATCAAGTGAGTGATTATATTAAATATTTTAACGCCATATATTAACCATATACATTTCATATAATTTCTCTTTGCTTTATACTTGATAACTAATAACTGTTTTTTTTTCATAAGTACAATATTTAACAACTATTTTACTAGCACTCCTACAATTGAAAATTTAGTAACTGAAACGCATGTCTATGTGATGGCCAATGCGTTCTAAACCGGGGATGCAAGTATAATTAACCATCGGTGGTGGACCGCACAAAAGACAAAGCGTTTCGGAACTCGGCGGAAAGAGATGTGAGCGCATCATTTCATCATTGACGTATCCGACATTATACGACCAGACTTAAGTGTCAATATGTCCAATTGCAGCATTAAAAAAAATATATATATATAGATATATACAATAGAAGTAATAGAAGTAAATAGAATTAGTAGTACCAAAGCAATAGTATTATAATTCTCAAACATCATAGAAAGTAAGTACAGAAAAAAATTAATAAGAGCATGTCACATGTATTTCTTCTTAAGCAATTGTTTTTGAATTATAAAGCGAACTACATTTATTCGTAAGAAGCGGAAACCTGTTTGTATTTGATTTTTTCATAATATCCTAAAATATACTCACCTTCGGATGCTTTATCAACAGTATACCACACCTTTAGTTGATTCGGATACTTTTTAACCAGATCGTCTAATTCATTTCTCAACAAAATGTCGGCCTCACTCTGCGTTTTCGTTATTCAATAAACAGATTCATATTAAAACTATTGGACATTAATATTACCTGATTTGCGAATAACAAAGCAAGTTCAGTTTTGTCCTTATCATTGTGTTTTAGTACGTCGCGTATCAGCTGCAGCATTGGTGTGATACCAGTGCCCCCAGATATCATATTCACCCGCTTTACCTGAACTGTCTTTGGTGGATCTTTTCGAAGCTTTTTTATTTGAAACCGCCCAAGGCCATGGTATTGTAATCGGCCGGATGGGCCGCGAAATGAAATTTTGTCCCCGATGCTCATTTGTTCTAAATATTGTGTCATTTTACCCCCTGCTGGGAATTTGGGGTGTGTATTCTTAAAATATACTTTGACGACCAAATCGACGTAACCAACGTCATCATCACTAGATATAGGAGTGTAAGGACGAATGACCAATTCGTTATCGATAGTTGCGATCAAATGAATGTGTTGTCCCACAGGCAAACCGAGTACATGCTGATTCGAAGGCAAGCCAAAGCGAAAGCGTCGAGTATCATGGCTAAGAACTTCTTTTTCAATTAATGGCAGCTGATATTTGTCGTTCGGATCAACAAGTGTGCGCAGACGTGCAGTGCGATTAGGCTCGGGCCTTGACTTCGACGACTTCTTATTTAGGAGATAATGAATAATGGCAGCTCCGGCCACCACTGCTGCAATTCCCACAACAATCGGAATAAGCTATTGAAAATAAAAAATATAAATAATAAATATTTTATGTTAAATCTTTAACAACAGCTACAAACTATACCGAATTAAAAAAAGCAAAAGCAATATGGTAATAATAAGCCCTTCCGTTAGCACTTCTATTATATTTAAATCTCGTTTAATCCCCACAACACAGAATTCATAACAACATGGAAGGCTTCTCAAGTATTTTGTATACATAAGGGTATAACACGATTACCAACCTGTGTATAACGTCTCGCTATACAAATGTGTTCTTAAATTGCAACTACTTCCACAGCCAAGTTGTATACTAGGCTTGAAACCCCAACATGATATCCATATCTAATGAACAGGTTAAATGTTTTTAGGACACAAACATCCAATTTCGATTACGACCATGGTAGACGTACAATTTTTTTAAACCCTCTCCTGTAGCGTAGCTTTTGAACTACCCCCTCTCACCTCATGCCTATACAAAAATATTCTTATCATGAACAAATATACATATGTATGACTTTATTTCTGTTCATAAATGTCACACGCCGACTTTCGTCCGAGCTCGTGCCCAATTTGTTGTATGCATGTTGATGTTTTCCCAACAAATTGAGAGACCTACAGTTTATAATAGGCCGACGGCTTATGGTTTTATATCAAGACCAAAAATCAGAAGCCAAATACGTGGTAATTATTGTATTTATTCTCCTGCTCTCAGATTTTTGAATCAAAGAAATTGGTAGCATAAAAAAAAAAAAGAAAAATTAAAACTTTTTAAGATAAATGCAATGAATTTATCTCTTTAAATAAGAAAACATCTTGCTCGCTCTTTTTAGTTTTTATTCAAAATTTCTTTCCGCCTGCATATGTATGTACATATGCAAGGTTTATAACATACAAGATTACGACAACCGTTGACGTCACTGAACCAACTTCGTCATATGTACATTGGGCGATTTTATATTATATTATAAAAAGAAATAATTTTTTTTTTTTCAAAATGACTTTGTGAATATGGGAAAAATTTCTTATACAGATTTTAAAGTATTTTATACACATTTTTTTTTTTTGATTTTATGTATTAACGCAGTCACATATTTGGCCACTTTTTTTTATTAAAAGATGACACAAAATATAACGAAAAACAAGATACTACGCAAGTTTTGAACCAAGGTAAGTAAGTAAGTACCATTTTTCAATACTTTTTTAATGCCAGCAAATTTTATCATTAAATTCATAAAATGGTTCAATTAACGAATATTCTACTATTTCGCATGTTTGTTTAAATTTTTCAAAAAATGTTAATTTAAACACGATTATTTCACAAGATATGGATCAACCATTTTCCAAAACCTCGTTATCAGACAACAAAAATATGCGAAAAAACCGATGTTTTATTAAATATTTTGTAATGCGCGCGGAAGTTCGTTTTGAATTTCGATCATTTTTTAAGTTTTTGATATTATTTTCTCATGCCATTCGTATTACATGACTATAGAAATTTTTGTTAAAAAATAATATTAATTTTTATAATTTAAAAATTTTTGAAAACTAAAATACATTCGTTCGACTATTATTAAGACCAAGAGATTATCATAACTTATAAAAATATATGTATAAAAGTAGTGAATACTTTTACACTTTTAGTTTCGAATGGAAAGTCCAATCAGTTCAATTATAGCTGTGCGGTTTGATTTCTCACTATTTCCCTCTTTAAATATTCATGTCCAATTTTTAAGTTAATGGTCGCGCGACGTCGAATCGACCGCTCTCTATATTTTTTCCTTAATAATTATATTTTTGAATTATGTTATTTGATTTTATAGTTGCCTTTTTTCTGAATTTATGTTACTTGGTTTCGACTTTTTTATCCTAAACGCAATGATAATATATTTAAATACAAAAAAATAAACGATTATTAATGAATTAGTTTTATATTTCTCTAATATATCCATAGGTCTTTTCGACTCATTGCGACAGCCGCCATAACAAATGACGGTGCGCCCGCTTGAGGGTTAAAGATAACAATAAAAAAAAGTCACTTACATCCAAGTCAGCCATTCTCTTGAATGTATCCGTATTGTATTATATTCAATATACTTGCGAACTTTAACACCCAAGTTCACCGCGCTTTTGTTAATAAATAACTGAGTTAACTAACTACTTAACGTGCTATGTATTAGATAGGCGACTGGACTCTCACTGTATGAATGTACAGCTCGTCAGAAGCAGAGAAAGCATAATACTCAGCTAAACTTTCCAGCCATAATTCTGCTAATAGTTACTACCACAGCTATCAGTTAATAGCGCGATGAATATATATATGTAAATATATTTAACCATAGTATCCATCCATCAAATTTTGGAAGGTCTGAAATTTTTGTGTGAAAAGGGTGGCCGATCAGTTGCCATAAGCCTAAAGCCATACAGTTCAAAAAAGGTCTATGTCATATATGCTGGAGATTGAAAAAATTCTTGTAAGGAATTAACTATTTTTTTTTCTTTTCAGTGGTTAATTTCTTTTTACAGAAACATGAAAACAATATTATAATTGGAAAAAATAATATATACATATATACATATGTACATTTTAATGTAAACAGGAATGGACTTCAAAACACACAAAACTTTTACGCAACGTTCACGAATTAGATATTTGAAGTAAACAGAACTTAAAACGGCGACGTCCTACAAAAATAGAGTACAAAAATAGAGTTTTAGGACGTCACCGTTTTAAGTTCTGTTCGTTAATCAGATAGGCAGTAACTGGCTATTACAAAATCATAGGCAGTAACAAGGTAGGCAGTAAAAATAGTTTTAAAATATTATTAAAACTTTAATATGAGTGATATACTCCCAAAGAAAGAGCCCAAACATAATTTTACTAAAGAAAATGTAATGGTATTAACGATTCAATCAAATAGTTAAGATACTCATTAAATGGGAATGTGGTAGCAGTGCAGTGGAAACGAATGTTGAAGGCAGAACTAGAATGCATTATTATTTCTTTTGCAACGCAATTTGATTTTTGATTTCTTTATTTTACTAGTTAGCGATCCAAAACGCCGCAAAACAAATTCGAAGCAAAGTTGCTGCTATGGTCACAACGACGATAATGCGTTCTTAAGCTTTCGGGAGCGACGACGATGCATAAAATTAAATATTAAGCGCGTTTAAAAGGGTAAATAAAGCTTTAGCTGCTTTTTTTTTCAAAATCGAAGAAAAAAGTTAAGTTAATATTGCTGGCTTACATTACATTACATTATCCTAAAAATCTAAAACCTAAGCGACAAATTATTGCAAGGCGTCCTTTTGGAGGACTATTACAAAAACCATATTGGTATACTTATTGTTGGAAGGCTATAAAGCATATATACAATAAGTTTTCAATAAAAATAATATATTTAAAATGTTATATAATTGCCAATTTTATTTAAATGCTTTAGAAAATACTTAAAAGCAGTAAAAATATATGAACGCATACAAATTTATGCGCCAAAATAAACAGCTGTTATAAATTCGCTGACTAATTTTTACTGAATCTTGTTTGGTGAAAACTCAATAAATTTTTATCTTTGGGAGAATAAAATATCTTACACTCTCAATTTCGTTACGGGCATTTCTCAACGAACACAGCTTTATTTTCAGTCATGAAATCAAGCGTCAAAAACACATGACAGCTTTAATGCTGGGTTACTTTATACATATGTAAAGATGAATGCACTATATACATATATATGTATGTACATCAATATCAAATTTAGTATAATTTGGTTTGTTAACTTATGGAATGGTCTTTATCTGATCTAAACTTTCAATTCGCCTTGTCATTTATATATGACATTGATATACATATATTTACATGACATAGGGTGTTTTTTAAGGATATGAATTCAAAAACAACTAAAGATAAGGGCCTCCACTACTTGCAGCAATTGGGGCCGTATGTGAGCAACAACGCGCCGAATATTCTTTTCCAAGGCGTCAATCGTCTCGGGCTTATCAAGCGATGAGCCATCACACGATATTCTAGGCGAGATAACGCGCATACCAAAAGTTTCTTTCAATAAATTGATTGTTTCGTTTGTCGTCCAAATTAAAATCCTCCAATTCGGGCACGTTACCTATTGACTGTAATATAATATCATGGCCGGCTTGATTTTCGAAGAAATATGTCTTGTGTTTACGACAATTTTGTTTATTGTGGTATTCAGCCTAAATTGAGCTTCATCGACGAACAATTATTTTATGCTATGCGTCCCACGAACCGAACCATTATTTTGGTAATAAATTTGAACGATTTGCCAACTTTGTTCCGAAGTAAGTCTGTTTATTGTGAAATGGCAATCAAGTAACACTATAAAAAAATTAAAAAAAAAAAAAAAAAAAAAACTCCGAAAAAAGTATTGCCTCATTGAAAACCACATGCCTAAAAAAACGCCCATTACAATCGAGTATAATATTGACAAAATTAATAGCAGTTTTCTTAGAGATATGACGCATGGGTATTGACATGCAAAGCCCAGCAAAAGTTAAGACTACTCCTCTGTATTGCGGCGTGGACCAACTAAGCTCATTGTTACCTGACATTGCTTGTGTTTTCACGATTGCAACCACTATACGCGCATACAAGTGCGCAATAAGTTTTATTTACAAAAAATATAATATTACATATGAAACTGAAATTGAGCCAGTTTCGTTTCGTTGGTGAGATTTGCAAGAGTTTAAGCTGATATATTCCAAATATAACAAATGCGCACATGGAAATATGTATGTTTTATTTCTATTATTATCGTTGTAAATTTGTATAAAAAATATTATGTTTTACCCGCTTTCGAATATAATATTTCGAGATACTTGAAGTTTATTTCTAGCCCAAGACCCCGCAATATGTACCATATATTTTTATGGAATTGTGGTTAGTTTTGGAGTACTCTATTGTCCTCGTGGAGTATATAATTCACATATACATGTATACAGGGAATAGAAACAATATATACTATTGTGTATATACATACACACATATACATATTTAATTTGGAAAATGATAAGACATTTGAATACACATATATATGTATATAAAGAATGATTTGCTTATTCATCATACATACTTACATCATCATTTCATAAAAACTGGGGCTGATCGGCCATTTGGCACTACAATTTAGGTATGAGTAAAAATGCGAATCGCGTTATCAAGTTTTGTGCGACATAGAAATTTTATTGTTATATTCAATTTAACTGAATAAAAAAGAATATATTCGTGAACTTAAAAAACATCCTTGCATATATTTTACCTTTTTTTTTAAGAATACAAATGGATATATGGCGTTTACCTACATATCTTGTTGAGATTGAAAATAATAATTGTACTTGAATAGTACAAAGCAAACACCTACATATTTATGTATGTACATATATATACTAAAAAAGCTTTCTATTGATTTTCATTATGATCAAAACCTGTTTTTACATACTCTGAAACATCTCGCCTTTGAAGTTTTTTTTTTGTAACTAATATTTAACTGAGCTTTACTAGCAAGTATGAAAATTAGTTCATTTGTGATAATATGGTTGCATTTCCGTTAACAAAACGTGAAATTGATTCAAATAATAGGAAAGCACTCGTTAAATGAATATTTGGTGGCAGTGGAGTGGAATCATTCCCACACAACCTTCATTGAGGAATTGAAAATTATAAATATTGGAGGCATAAAAATAAATTATATGATGTATTAGAAATCAGTGACGACCAAATGGACAGCAGAACACTGCGGAGCAAATTCGTTGTTACGGCCACAGGAACGATAATGCATTCTTAAGCTTTTGAAAACGGCGACGGTATACCAAATAAAATGCTAGTCGCATTTGAAGGGGAAAAATAAAGCTCTTTCTATATATGCTTGCATTTTATTCATAAAGAATCCAAGAAATCCTTAAGCGTTCTAGTTCCAGTTAATGCCGAAAAATACCTCCAAACTCATTTTCGGATTCCAATCTCCTTCCCGAAAATCTAATCGACAAATTTTTGCAAATTAAGTGTTACATAAATCTTCGTCCTTTCAGAGAACATCAGAAAAATCATATAAGTAACTTTATGGTTTGATGGCTTTGGAGCATGTAATTAAATCATTGTTACATTACAATAATTTTTGTATAATAAAATTAATAATTTAAAAATGCCATAAAAGTGCCAATTTTATTAAAACACATAAAAGCAGAATACAGTAAACTGTATAAGTGATAGGATTAAAATACCACCGTCAAAATAAACAGCTGTTATACAACCTGCGAGATATTTTATTGAGTAAAAAAAGAGTTGGTTAAATCCCTTGCAACTAATAATCCAGTGAATGAACATCGAGGCGTATGTTGCAATATATACTGGCAACCTAGTACTACAGCGATCACTCAGTAATAAGAGATGATACCTCTGTTCGGTGAGAAGTGTCAGTAAGAAAAGTCAAAATTTCTCTCTTTTTGTGCAAGTTTTACTGGCTTTCACCTAACCGAACGCGGTTAAGTAAAAATTAGTAACAATTACTCTTGCCCATCAGCTCATCGAACAGGCTTTTCTAATCATTTACAACTCTTACGACAGCCGGTTCTACGCATCGGAGTTGACCCGGATTTTATCCGGCAAAGAGTTGTCACCCTTTCGTCGATCTCACCCTTCTTAGGTCAACAAGTAACATTAGTCTAAGGTCACCAATGTAGCAACAAATCGCAGATGGGCTGCTAAAAGTGTTTCTCTCTCGAAACTAACCCTGATCGGACGGATTATTTCTGCTGCGTGTGCCACAAAAGGCGCAACCACTGCAATGGTTGGAGTCGTCTGCAGCTCATAGTCCTCCGCACAGTCTTTTCTGTGTATCAGAGAATAGTGTGTCGAAACACGACCTCAATCAGATGCAACTATTGCTCTGGCTGCATACTTTGCCATGCTGTAGGAGTCTGCCCTCTCATGTATCTACAACAACGCCGCTAACCAACACCAATGTGCGGCACCCAATCCAGCGGCTAGTACAGCAACAACACATTACGTACACACATCACTCTCTCATCTCCGGTATCACGAACGTTCCCCGAGACAGACACGACTGCTAGAGTGCAACTGTGAGGGACACCAGGCGAAGATCGACGAGATAGTCGATTACATGAGCTGGGCTATTGCTGCGATCTAGGAAACGATGTTGACCACCAGCTCAAATTTTCTGAGCAGGGCTGGATACAATATTATCCGCAAGGATCGCGAGCGGGACCATGGTAGGGGCTTACCGTTCGTCCGTACACCGTGCAGTATCGCCTTATAGATGGCGACATAGAATGTCAGGGCAAAGATATCTGGTCAAGCAAAGTCGAGCTCGAGTTATTAAATATATACATTCCTCCAGTTACAAATTGCCCTCTCGGATATAGCCCTGATATAGGTGCACTACTCAGAAGCAAAGACCGTTTGGCGACTTTAACGCGCACCACGATCTATGGCATTCTAGCCTGTCAAATGATCGCAGAAGAACGAAGCTGGCGAAACAGATATACGATAAACCTATCAACTTTGTTTCCGCGGGCCAACAGACACTGGTTAACTTTAATAAAAAGCTAACTAGTCCGACTTAACGGAATTTACTGAGAACGCCTTCAGCGTTCTCCCCACTCCATCAGGCGGCTTTTCTGGTGAACGTTGTCCCGCAGGTTTGTCGTGGCCGCTACCGTCCGCTTCATCCCGGCAGGCCGAATCGCGCAAATCCGCCCCAATTTGCATTCAAAGAGTTGTTAACAACCATAAGTAGAAGAAGTGGGAGGAGCACCTTAGGACCTGCAATCTCTCCCTTGGGGCAACCAAGTTCTTGGCTACAGTCAACCGAGTGGAAATTTAATCCGGTAACCGCGCAGGGAATGTCAACCCCTCCGAGTGTACTCCTCAAAAAAAAAAAGAAGCAAAACCGCAAATTGGAGGAGGAGCTCGATGGGAAATCGTTTCAGCGGTTATAAAGCGCCAATTATATAACCGCGCCTCGTCGGACCCGAAGAGATACGCGAGCTATTATAGTCGACTATTTACATTGACTATTTACATTTGATGGAATAAACATGCTGATGCTAAAATCTTTGGACCATCGCGGGCAAACTTCCTCACCAAGGTCATCAATTTCTCTTTGACCATCCTAATGACACCCGATGTGTGGAAGATGGATAAGGTGGTCCCGCTACTCAAGCCGTGGAGACCAGACAGCAAAGTTGAGTCTTATGGGCCGATAACTCTCCTCTCCCCATTAGCAAAGACGCTGGAGGTCTTGCTGTTCCCAAATTTCTCTCATCATCGCGTCCAGCAGGACATTACCACTGTTTGCGTAAAGTGCACAGTACCACAACAGTACTAAACGCCATAAACAATCAGATGGTCTATGATCTTATCCAAGCCCGACTCTGCGCGAACTGCCCTGGCTGCACATCATCTGTCAAAAGCTTTTGACACCGTCGAACATTCAGTGCTACTATCGGACATTGAGGCATCCTCATTACCGTCGGGTTGCAGAGGTGGATAATTGGCTACCTGAGTGGTCGACAATCATCAGTAATATTTCGATGTGAAACATCGAAACTAATGAAAATTAAACAAGTCGAAACTGCACGTTTCCTGGACCTCTCGTTAGATGACCTGTGACTTAGCTTGATTTCAGCTGTCCCTAAGCGAGGTTAACATTGACGCTAAAACAACTTACTAGCCTTTCCCTTGGCGGGGTTGAAACAACCGCTACAATAATAACAATTAAAACTTAATATTTAAGGACTAAACTAGATACACAGTTTCAACTCGTCTTCGGACCTTTGTTTGTGTCTTGATGCTTTCCGTCAAATAAGTTCCTTTATTTGTGATGATGTTGTTTGACATTCTCCACTACAAGAGAAACGCATTCAGAAAAAAAGTAAATATCTATATACTCGTCGACCCCCGCGAGATATGGGCTGCAATAATGCAGTAGGAGGCGATTAAAATCCAATATTTCCCGAGGCAGTCGGAACTTTAAACCGTAGCGACCCGACTAAAACAGCATGCATACTCCCACATATACCTATACGCATGTAATAGTAAATAATAGAACTTTATCGGTCCAGCTACTGGAGTATATTACTGATATTTATAATTTATATAAACGTTTGCAACTTACATGAGATTCATAAACTGGTCGCGCCATAACTTAATAAATACTTTGAGGAATAGATTTACCCAACAGCAACCCTTGTCACCTACTGTAATAATCGAGTACTGTGAAAATTGCATATTCGTTTTATTTAATTTTACATATGATCTTTGTTTATTCATAACAAAAAGTATTCCTTAATAATGAAAGATTATTCATAACGATCAAAAATTTAAAACACAAGCAAACTTTTTATATTTATTTTGTAAGTCCCGGTTTGAGTTAATTGTGTATATTAACCTACTCGATGAAATGCCGACACACGAGTTATTTTACGAAAAAGGGCAGGCGATTTATTTCGTAATAATGGTAGCAGATGTCCGCGAATAGTTCATAGTTTCTGCTACACAGCTGGCTAAGTTGCGTAGGAGTTTATCTGTCAAATATGATTATATTACTTGAATATTAAGGCGAAAGAGGCATATGTACGTGCATAAATTCTTTCCTATTCATATGTACATATATATCTATGTACTTACCACGAGTCTAATGCACTAATTGAGTGTTGAGTTGAACCATTGTATTTTGTGGTATTTACTATTATATACACTACCTATTTAGAATGTATCAATATTTGTTTAACCACAGATATTTCGAAAGACTGCTGTGTATGAAAATAAAAATATAAAGGTACATAACAAGGCGAATTCAGATATGGTGAATTTGGTGGCATAGCTGTTTTCTTTTTCTATCGAGTGCTATATATCCAAGATGTCAAGTAAAACAGAGGATAATATGTAAAGAGCCCGATGGACTTCAATTTAATATTTCAACAAAATATAAGTATTCGTTAAGGCAAAGTAATTGTATTTATTTTGGTATAGATTTTTATCCTTCTCTCTGCTTGCGCAATCACATTCGGAGACGCCAATTCACCAAGGCAATACACAAAAACACTGTAACAATTTTCATTAAATAATCTCTATGATTTCTCAAATCCTTCTAGTTTAACCACTAGATTTATAAATAAGAAATTGTGTTGCGGGAATGATTATCGGTTCTTAATATACAAAGGAAAATTTGATACATAATTAAAAACAATATTAATAAATTTTCCACTTTGTTGGGACTGACGAGCTAAGAAAAGAAGTAAATCACGAATGGATATCGTTTCTTAACACATGAAAGAAAATTTCATACATATTTCATAACAATATTAATAAGCTTTGCCAATGTAGTTACATAGTGTTGTAGTTAAATACGACAATTTCTCTTTCTGCAATTACAGGTAAATCAGTTGTAGAAATATCTTTCGGGGTACACGGCGAAATTTAAAATTTTTGACAGCAATGTGCTGTCATTACTGTTGGCAAAACTGCTGTCAACAATTGCCGGATATAGAAATTTGTAAATATTTCCTTTCCTCATTCTTTCTGTTATTAGCCGTCATAAGGGGCAGTCATGGCGTAAGTGATTCGTTTTTCTAATTTCTTTTTATCATCCAAACGTTTTAAAGTAATCTTTGATCAATAGTGATGTATATGTATTGCGTTTGCTTTCGTGAATTTTTTGTTAAATTTTTATTTTAATATAATAAATATTATGCAATCAAAAACCAGCTTTTTGGTTTAATCAATAATCTATTGGAGTTTGGAAATGATTGCTAAATTAATTCAAAGTTTTTTGGCATAATTCTAAAATTACTATTGTTTTTAGGATTTCAGCTTAAATTTTGTACATCGTGTGATTTCTGTTATGTTATAAATATGAAAAAGAGCTTTTTTGCAAAAACTATAATGAAGGCAATTTATATTTGCAGGTCAAAAGTATCTCGTGATACTCTTTATGAGTCTGTAAATGCTGTCTTAGAATTCTCTCAAAAGAAGAAGCGTGGTTTTTTGGAGACATGTGAATTGCAGATTGGACTTAAAAACTACGATCCTCAAAAGGACAAGCGTTTTTCCGGCACTGTCAAGTATGTTGGTGAGCACCTGAGTTAAGCGGCATGTGTAGTACGCATAGTTTGCAAGACTCAGGTAGTCGAGTGATGTTTGATGCATATACAAATATCGCTTGGCGGACCTTCACTCAGGGTCTTAAAAGCAAATTGAGCAGGTCTCTTGACCGTATTTTAGATTTAAGATATAAAATCATGTTGAAAAAGCGTAAGTTTAGGCTTTTATCATCTAGTGAAAAGTATTTTGAAATGATGTTCCAATTTATTTTGCATGTATTACCTGAAAATATTGAGAGCCTTTTGGTTTCATTGTGGATATAAATGACTGATCATTATTTATGATTTATGTATTTGTTTAATATTTCAACAAATATCCTTTATTAACTAAAATTCAATTTCTCTTATTGATAGGTTGAAGCATATTCCACGTCCAAAAATGAAGGTTTGCATTCTTGGCGATCAACAGCATTGTGACGAAGCTAAAGCTAACGGAGTCGAATGTATGGATGCAGAAGCTTTAAAGAAGTTGAACAAAAATAAAAAGTTGGTAAAAAAATTGGCCAAGTCTTACGATGCATTCTTGGCTTCTGAATCCTTAATTAAACAGATTCCCCGTCTCTTGGGACCGGGCTTGAATAAGGCCGGCAAGTTTCCTGGTTTATTGTCACATACAGAATCGATGATGGCCAAAATCGAGGAAGTTAAATCAACAATCAAGTTTCAGATGAAGAAGGTATTATGTCTATCAGTTGCTGTCGGTCACGTAGACATGAAACCCGATGAACTTGTTCAAAACATTCATTTATCAATCAATTTTCTGGTGTCGCTTTTAAAAAAGAATTGGCAAAATGTACGTTCGTTGCACATAAAATCGTCAATGGGCCCACCACAACGCCTTTATTAAACTTGCAAAAATGTATTTTTATTTGAAATAAACTTGCATATATACATATATATACGGATATATGAAATAAAACATCTATTGTATTTATTAGCATGTAACAATGGTGTAATTAAAATTGCAATTAGTGCACCTTTGTGTACCATACATAAGTTGGGAGGACAAAATGGAGACCAATAAAATAATCAAATAAATATATTCAGTCTTGTGGTAAATACTACATTTCGGTGGAACTTATTGTACGCCCAAGGAATTCACGTAATTCCGCAGCGTCTTTATCACTACAGGAGTAAGCCTTCTTATTAGAAAATGGTTTAAGATTAGGGCCCAAAGAAAACTCTATATTTTCCAAATCCAGGTTTTTAGACCAGTTCTCATCAAACTTTTCCTCATTTACTTCTAAAAGGTTATGTAATATACAACAGGCGAGAACAATTTTTTCCATCGTAGGTACGTCAATATCGCCAATATAGTTTAAGATGCGCCAGCGTGAAAAAAATCGAATTAATGCGCGGTTTTTAAATACAAGTACATTGTCAATTGCTTCGTTGAAGTCAAATTCATGTGGTTCCACAGGGTATATATATTTATGCATTAGCCATTTCTTTAGTGGATAGGAGGTGTCTGATGTTATAACAAATCGTGGGACAGGATGCCCATCAATTATCTTTGGAGGAATCTAAAAATATAAATAATATACATATAGATATGTTACAAATGTCACTGATTTCCATGTACTTACACTAGTTATGTCGTTAGAGTCTTCCAGAAATAACGTTGGTTGATTAGAATCAAATTTGACCTTTCGAAATCTGCAATTTTTACCTTTATCTTTATGAGATTAATAAATATATAAATATACATACAACAATTTGTCGTCTATAAGCATCTGCATTATGATTTTAGGGCTCTGTGATTCAATTGAAGTGCTAAGTTTCGCCGACTTGGTTGTTAATTCACATATTCCTAACACTCCAATAACCAATTCGGGCATATTTGAAGCCATTGAAAACGAAGAACCAATTTCATCAAACTCATCTGTTGTAATAGGCATTGCTAATAATTTGTTGGCCCATTTCCTTAAGATTACGTCAGCAATGTCTTTTATGATTTCATAAATGGTCGAACGTAATTGAATTTCGAATAAACGTACTAATTTGACATATTCAATTCCATTGGAAAATGCATATAAACCCAATGCAATTTGTTTTTCATGAGAAAGAAAGCCTCGAAAACCAGAACCCTGTTGCAGATTAGGTTTCAACTGATCACAAATCCATTCGAAAGACGCTTTCTTCATGTGAAAACAGCGTAGCCAATGCTCCTCATTTATGAGCCCCATTTCCTCCTCAAAAAATCGACGAGTGGAAATATAGAGTGATAGGCATCGTTCAGGTACCGGACACAATTCAGTTATTTTTCCGCTTTTTCCACAAGCGATTAGTTTTGGAACTGATACGAGCTCCAGAAAAGTAGTTTCTAACTGTATTACCTGCTGCACAAAAAATGAACGAAGCAATGTCTGTCGACGTTGCATTCTTTGTCGCCAACGTCGGCGGTTAAGGAGAATAGATCTCTTAAAGTTAATCAAATGTTTGGCATATATTTCCAAGAGATTGCGACGAGATTTTAAATTTTTCTCATACGCTATACTAATTGATGAAGTTTTGAATTGTGATGAGAAACCATTATTTTCTTTTGTTCCATTAGAAAGGTTAAAAGCTTCGCCATATAAATTTAACTCCAATTCGGACGGTACTGTACCTACAAATTATAATAATTAGAATATACATCTTTGATAGCATATATAATTACCTCCGAGATCCATCATATTCCTTATCAAAGAGAGATATTTTTCCAGAGTTTAACCAGAGAACGTAGAATAGAAAAGGCTTATTTACGTACTCCGCTACTAGCAATAAAAATGAACTCAGCCAAGGTGGATTTGTATTACCTGTTGATAGTAAGCGTTTTGGCAAAATGCATTATACTGTTTACTACTTGTCAGTACAGAATATGGTGCTGAATTGACGGCCGCTCTTAGATATCTGAAGATTTCTGGCATGCGTCTCTAGATGAATTGTGTTTAGCTGTTTTGCTCAATAAAGAATGCGTTTTGTGGAGTTATCGGTCGTATTTGCATTTTCCTCACAATACATTTTTTTAGTCGTTAAAGTGGCTCAAAAGAACTCATGTAAGTTACTTCGTAAAAAGCAAACTTTGAATAGATATAGGTCTGCTAAATTATTTGCATCTTCTATCTTTTTTTCTATTGTAAGATGAAGTGGATAAAATTTACTATGGTGTCAAAATATTTTATAGCTTTCTGTGCCAAATGAAATTGTAAACTTTAACGTAAATAAAATAGTCGCATATGTTTTACATTTCTATGTTCTCAAAAGTTGTGGTTTATTTGTTGACTGCTAAAAATTACAATTTTCACACGAATGTCACACAGCCTCAATTTAAATATCAAAATGCAACACTGGGTTGCTGTTTTACGTTTTCCCCATTCTACGAATATTCGTGGAGTGCGAAGTGTCAATTTAAGTGCTTTCGATACTGTTACGATTTTACTGAATCAACCTCGATTATTTTCTAGATCCTTCGGGTACGATCTCTGGATTGTTAAATAAAAACTCGCCAACTTAGTTTGCAGTTTCTTTCGTTATAAAGATTCTATCTAATGTCCTTTATTTTCTCAGTAATTCACAATTCAATTATACTGCACTTTACTATTTATAATCACTAACATCAACTTTCACAATTTCCTCTACTTAAATGTAATTCCCAACGCGTTCACTTTACGTCTTCACTGATGTTAACGCCAACCAATTTGCTTTGTCACTGCTTGACTTGCAGCTGAGTGTCGCCTTTATATAGCAGTCGGCTGCTCGCAGACGAAAGCGTAGAAGCATCGAATTGTTCGCTATGGAAGGTTCTCGTTTTATCGTACTAGTTATCGGCTTCTCTCTTTCATCTGACATTCGCCTCGCATTTTCGCAACAATACAATTGATTTATGGGACTTTTCTTGTAGTTATCGCTTTGGGTAGACATTGTTATTGTCCGTTGCACATAATTCCGCATACAATGTTAATAGCGAAAAGAATAATTTTCCTTTCTTCTTTTTTGTGAATTAAGTGAAATTGTGGATACATGTAGATATTTTATAGCTTTTATTTTTATATAAGATATTTGCAAAACTCAATATTATTTGAATTGGAGAGCAATGTAATAATGAATGCTGTATAAATATTTCAGCAATAAATGTTGAGTATTGGACCTGTGTATTTGTGAACTACCAAGTAAATCCCATATTGCACTATCAAAGTGAAATAGCAAAAAAAAATAGTCGGATAATGTAAAATTGATTTTCCAAAATAAAAATAAACGAAGAAAACAATTCGAAACCTTTCCATTCCATACCGCTGCGTAATTATTTTAGACAAATATATTACAGTAAATATAATTTTCAATTTCAATGAATATCGTCGGAGATTATGAATTTAGTTCGAAGGATATGCTTGGGCACGGTGCTTTTGCCGTGGTCTATAAAGGACGTCATCGAAAGGTATGTACTATTTACCCCATTTAGACATATATACAAGGTTATGTACTTATGTTTCGCACACTTATGGATGCGCCTGTACAAGTACCTTACGCATATACATGTTTCAGACGCATCCAATGTTATCGGGTATGTATATACGTTTTTTCGGCCTTGTTCCACGTTAGTCTTAAAATTGAACTAGCGACCTCACGAGATAGTTTTCCTTAGGAAGTAGTTTCAAATTGTCTATGTACATATACATGTAAAATAAAACGCAATTATTCTGCCCGAAGAGCGAATGCAACACAACGAAAATAACATAAAAGAGTATAAAAAGCAAATGCGAAAATAAACTGCTATAAAAAATATTAAACAGAATAAAGAAGGTAAAAAGGAACATAATTTCTAGAAGAAAAATATTTAGCAAGCTGAAGGTTTTCATTTACTATATTTCTAGTTTAATGATACCTTTCTTGATTAACTTATTCCTTTTACTTCATTTTCAGAAACATTTCCCTGTGGCTATAAAGTGCATTACTAAAAAGGGTTTGATAAAAACTCAGAATTTGCTGGGGAAAGAAATTAAAATTTTAAAAGAATTGACAGAACTGCATCATGAGAACGTCGTTGCATTATTGGATTGTAAGGAATCGCAAGATTGTGTCAATTTGGTTATGGAGGTAAGTTCCATTCATATTAGCGTATGAATATGGGAAGCCATATATATAATAGGTTTTTTAAAATTATTCGACTAATTCATTGATCGTATGACTACCTACTATAAGTCGATAGTAATTGAAAATACACACATATATAATTCACGCTTTGTAATAGGGTGACCACAAGAACTCGAGCTTCTTTATTGTTGTTGAGTTAATTCTTATTTATCCAGATTTGACTCCGTCATACTCAAAGTTGTTGCTGTAGCATTTCACTAACCCTGTCTGCCACGATCAGTCTGAAACCATTGAGGTCCTCTGAAGAACGGGAAACGAGCTGTTTTGACGGGTTCGTGGCAGAGAGAAGAGGGGGTTAGATGTGTTGGGTTTAGGGGTGCACAAAAAGAGTTGCTTATTAAAAATTTTTTGTAGTGCTCCCTAATTGCTTGTACAGCAAAGTATTATGTTCCTTAAATCTTAGCATATACGCTTCGCTTTTCAAGTGATGCTCTGGCGACAGCAGGAGTTTGCTGTCACAGTCCTGAAGGCAGGGTTTTGGCCGGCTTGTTGCTTATCTCCTCATAAGCGTCTCGCTAGTCCTCGGTTCTACGCACACAGATTTTATCCGCTCAGAAAATAGTTGCAGCTGCAAGGATGCCTGTTGGAATTTTCAATTTGACAATAGCCAGTTTTCAAATTAAAACTTAAACTTAACTATTTCCTAAACTTCAATCCTTATTCTGAATATATTTGACACATTAATCTTATCCCGCATGTGTAGACCCCAATAAAATATAAAAAGTATTAATACTTTCGGTCCCTCTAGGAAAACTTTTATTTTTTAAAGAAATACATTTAACGCTACTATTGGTACTGTCTAATACAGTATTTGTATAACTAATTTGTACACAGCACATTTACCGTTATATTAGTTAATTAAAACATTTTAACATTTGATATGGAACTGCATTCAAATTTTATTTTCATACTAAGTTTGTTAAAAATTGGTATTAATTTATGAACCAAATAAAATAGATAATTGATGCTTTACAAGCGCTTAACTAATTTCCGGCAAAGCTTCTTCTCCGATTTTGTAGTTTTTCCCTCAACGGGACTAACATTCAATGCCGATGAGTGAGAGCATTAGAAAAGCTCTTTAGATGTAGACAACCGCTGTTGTCGACTCTTTTTTACGTTATCTATTATAGATTATATTATTCGCTTTGTACATACATAAATACTAGAATACATTTTCTACATTATGTACTTATTTAGATCCATTATTTGCCTCATGTATAAATAGTAAAAATCTTAGGATTTTAATGCAAATTTATAATAAATCTTAGAAATGCTTTGTATTTAAATAAAATAAAAATAATTTTACATCTAATATGAAAACGACACATTATATAAATTCGTTTAAATGCTCGTAAAGCATATAACTAATTCTGCTCTATAATTTATGTTAACTTATTTAATGGTATTTCCTCGGCAGGATGTGTTTGCTCTTTGGGTTTAGGCTTTCTTGTGCGGCAACATTTGGTTTTAATGCCACCTACATCTTTTCGGCAAATTATGCCAATGATGATTCCAACAATCGCTGTAATAATAATTGCTGCAAAACATTTGGAATATACACGTATATATTAAAAACTCATTTGAGTACATATGAACTTCACAACATACATATGAGCAAAATATTAATCATGTCCTGGGAAATGTGTACTTTATGGCTATTATCAGTACTGAGCGTCGGCAATACAGTGCTGCCGGTGACACTGTGATTTGATACTTCAGTTATGCTGCTTAAAACATTTGATACCAATGCCTTAGAGTCCATATCTTCATCTTCAATTCTCGTAGCAGCTGTAGGTTTGGTTAGATTTGAGATGTCACTTCTGTCCCCCATCTTTCTTTCTAAATCTTATAAATATTTAGATATTATATATGTATAAATGATTTCACTAACCTTCTTTTTTAATTTCCTTTGGTTTCGATGCAATTGAGGTAGCAGTCAATATAGTATGTACGTTTTCTCCTCTTATCGTTTCTTCTTTATTTCCAAATGTGTGAGCTTGCGGAGATTCTTGTTCATCGATTCCTGTTTTCATTAATTCTTTTTGTTGGACGGCCGGATCATTTACTACCGTAACACTCTCATTAAACGATATACCTAGCACTAACTCAAAGCAACTGATTTCGAAGTGTTCAAAGCTTATATTATCAATAGCTGTTAGTAAATTGCACAGCTCGGTCACACTTTGTGGTTTCAAGTCCGGCAGTCGTAATTTAGTAACATTTCGTAGCGGCAAGAAAGCTTTTGTATTGATTTTCTGTCAGAATGACAATAGAATAGAAACGTCAGTTTACATTTGACAGGAGCTTCGAGGTACTTTTAAGCTTTTATTAGTGATGCTTTCTACGATAGATATGATAGCCGTATTAACGCTATAACTAAATTATTCCCAAATGGAATTTTATTTTATTGCAGGTAATACAATATGTTATTGGTATAGTTTCAGTTTTTCTTAAAAATGTGATAACAAAAGTTAATAAATAAAAATCATAAAATTTGATAATAGTAATAATTTGATAACCAAATAGAACTACTTTACTGTCCTCTAAAAATAAAAAAAATTTTAGAAATATATTTATTTGGGAAAACTTAAACTTAAACTTTTCCTAAATTAAGTACTGTAACACAAGGCTTTATTACACCTAAAATCAACATTCTAATCTTGTTATTTTTCTAATGCGATAGTATTTGCTTTTATTAACACATGCATTTTGAAGTTAAAAAATAATGCTTGTATGTAGAGAGAAAAACTAAAAGTATACTCGTTAAGCTAATCCTCACCTTATTAAAATCATTAAAGTCTAGTTTTAGAGACTGCAAACCGGTTAACCCTTTAAACGTGTTATCAAATAGTTTTGTCCAACTGCAATTACGACATGAAAGTTTTAGTAAATTGGGTTGAGAAAGGAATGGTCCAGCATTGTTCAATAATATAGAGTTGTTACTTAAATCTAATTCACTAAGATCATTTATGCCTGAAAATGTGTCTGGCTCAATATGCTTTATCTTATTGTCGTTTAGCCAAAGTCGCTGTAAATGGCTTAAACCAGCAAAAATCTGAAAGAAATTGATGCATATACAAATCTATTAGCTACTGAAATACGTTATAAAATAAATATTACCTCTTTACTTATGCTGCTCAATTGATTGCCACTTAAATTTATTTCGCGGACTTTGGTGATATTTGCGAAGTCCCCAGTTCGCAATTCTGTGATATTGTTTTGACTTAAATCGATTATTAGAGCTGTTGCTGGTAGGTTCCCTGGAACTTCTGTTAAACCAGCTCCATTGCACAGTATATGCTTATAGTTCTCATGACATTGGCAAAATTTAGGACAAGTCGGTTCCATAACAAAATTACTACGTCGATAATTGTTTAACAATATACTAAAAAGCGATTTATTTTGTTTTGTTGTGGGATTTGTATTGATACGTGTATTTTCTGCCACTTTTCCTTTCTCAGGACTAACGGTATTGATAGTGCCGTTATCATAGCCCTGGTCAACTACACTATCGTCGTAATATTCGTCATAATCCGCGGAATAATTCTCATCAGAAGTGTTATGATTTACCGTTTCAGAGGACGCATGATTATAGCGTGTGTTGCTAGTTTGAAAGATGAATAAGATTACATAAGGTTTAAACTAATGAAGATCGTAATACATATATAAGAAGTAAAAGTTCTATTGTTATACAAAGTTTCGAAGTTGGTTAATTGCTGATTTCATCTTAGAACATAAGTTTTCATTCATGAAATTGTACAGATAACCTATCGGGACCTTATACCTTTTCCAAACGAAAGACAGTTCAGAACAAGAAAACTTAACATACAACTTTCTTTGCGGCTAATAGCCAGCTCCTCCTCTAATTTATGTTGCGTCTTCATTTTAAGCTGTCTTCGGACGGCTGATGAATTTTTAATTAATATCAGAAATACAATGTGAAGGGGTTAAGTCACTGCCGAAAATCAACCAGTTACGAAAAATTATTTTTTTTATTTTTTTTTAATAAAATTTATATATTTCCGAATAGGATTCGAACCATGGTAATATGCATTGCTAACCACTAGGTTACTGCGGCTATGCACATTATTTTAGAAATATATTTTAATTATTCATGTACGCATGTATGGGTGTTGATTTTGATCGAATAAAGCTTCGATTATAATATGTTAAAATAGAGAGTATACGTCGGTAACCTAATAATTTAAAAACAAAAGTTAAGTTATCAATAGTCAACAACTTCTTTCGCTTATAATTATGATTAATGTTGGTCAATTCTGTTCTAAACAGGTAGGACAAGAATATTTTTACTCAAATTTTATTATCGTATAAAGTCCATTTCGTTTGTTTTGTAAGAAAAAAACAAATATAATAAATTTTCGAGTATTTTAGGTGTTCTGCTGGTTTTAATCATATTCAGAGAGTACATTGTACTTTGTAACCTTTTTTATTATGCGTTATACTTCTGTTGGTATTTGTGCCTTTATTTAATAAAAGATCAATTAATTGTGTTATATCACAATGGGAACTCGACATATAATTGACTTCGATAACCTTGTTATCAAAGAATATAAAATGGACAGATGCTTTAAAACTTTGATCTGTACTTGCACACTTACATACATACACATATATATATATATATATATATATATATATATATATGTGCAAGTACAGATCATATATATATATATATATATATATGTTATATATGTTATATCCAGGGTTTATAGTCAATATTGCGTACGAATGTATTTGTACTTATACGTGATAACTAGTTTTGATTTATTACTTATTACAAGAAATATAGCAGTAACTTTTACCTTATGCTGAGGATGAATATCAGCAGTAATCCAAACTTATAATAAATGTGCAGTTTGCACATTATGGCCAGCAGGATTACTATAAATACTTTCTGTAAATTATTAGTTGAGTTTCCCGGAAAATTTATTTAATTGAGTAATTCAGCTTTTTTTTCTAGTACATATTATCGTGCTTATATTGATGTTTCGTTGTATTTTCTTTATATTTTCACAATGTAATTCATGTGATATTGCCCGGATTTTTTATATTAAATTCGATGTTTAAATATATTGTTACCCTCGCCACACACTGATTTATCTCGATAAGCCAACATGACGAATATAAAAAATGCCGTCTGCTTCAGTCTGAAGGTTTGTAACTCTAACTATTCCATCCGAATATGCCTCTAAGCTTTGTTAAAGAAAGCAAAACTGTTTTGGTTTACTAGAAAAATGGTCCGAATATATCTTTGCTTTTATTATTATATAGAAGCAGGCGCCATTCTACACTTTGGCTAGTAAGCTGTTGTTCTCCATAATTTCTTGATAGAAAAATTTGTTTGCATTGTCATAATCCACTTGAATATAGCAAAGAAACTTTTGCATTTATTTATGTAGAGTTTTAATAATGTTTTATGTTAATATTGAAAATTTTTATCATAGGATTTTTTACTTTTCAATTTATATGCATGCCTGCATACATGCTTTTTTAAATACATTTTCTCTTGTAATTATTATTTTTGGTTAACATTATTTTGTATTTATACATACTTTCAATTTACTTGCACTTGTTTACGAACATATTTATTGCTATCACGAAGCCGGCAAGAGCAGCAGACGGCATTTACAAGTATATGTATATTATGGAAAAACATGAGTTTCAGCAATTTTTGCATTATTATGATTTTATTTGACTCATATTCAATTGGGCATTTCCTTAGACAGGATAAAGAGCCTTATATTTCTCATACTACTCTAAAACATTTTTTTTTTTTTAAATTTTTCAACTAATTTTTTCATTCACAATATCGAAATATATTTTCAAAAAATTTATCTTTTTTTTAATATATTTGGCCATATAAAAATCTCGACAAGCGAACGTGGAAATGCCCGTTGTATATATAGTATACGCATATGTAATTACAAATCAACGCATGTGTTTGTATTTACATATATATAAATATATATATTTATTTGTATACGATCCAGTTGAGCACTGCTTATATTTATTATCACCATTACGCTGTCGATCACAAAATGTTAACCTTTGAACAATTCAAGTGATTTAACTAAGCTTTGTTTTTTTCTGTTTCCTAGAAGTTTGTATGTACATAGGTACGTAACATATATTTTTCGTATCTTAGCAGTAGCATAATGTAATGTGACCGTCGCTTTTGACAACTGAAATGCACCATTACATATTTATTACTTTTTAATAATTATTTATACCATGTTTTATGAATATTTTTATAAATAAAATTCATGCAGGTACATAAGTATTTTGAAAACTATAAACCCTTTGAATGGAACAAACACCAAACTGCTCATTTAGAACGCAAAGTAGTCACTGAATTTGCCTTAGCTTTTGTATAGAGTTAATTGGAGAAGTGGAAAATTAAGAGAGAGAGTGAGAGAGAGCCTATTGAATGAATAAGAGACCAATTGCTGTCGAGTCTTGTTGAGGTCGAGATTTGTTACTTGGTACATTGTGGAGGAGATTGTGAGAGCAACCGGCGGCTTGTTTTGTTCTGTGGTAATATTTATGTTACTGATAGCTTAAATTCAATTGCACTATCTTTGCAATAGCATTGCAATAAATATTAAGTAATAACGTTGAGGAGCATAACTAAGCAAAAATCCTCTTTTTTGTATCTAAAAACAGTGATATTATTATTTATGGGTTTATTGGGTTTGTGGGTATGAAATAAATAATATAGTTTCAGACTTTGGTCCAAGTTACGATTACGGGTTAGCGACTTGTAGAGGAGCACCTCTCTGCTCCTTTTACTTTTCAATTGCCTATTCAGCCCAAAGTAGCAATTGTTGTCAAGAGCGGTATTGCATTAAATATTAATGCTGGTCCCTAGATAGACGAAATTATCTAACATCTAAGTAATGACCGTAAACTATTTTTTTTTTGATGTTTAGCCTGGAGAACACAGAAATGGTGGGGTGGGGTGGCTGAAAAGGTGTCAATACCATCGACATGCGCCAGCATATTTTAAAATATTGTAAAATATCGTACTGTATCTATTTAGCTCTGCAGCTCTTATTATTCTCCAGAATAAAATTGAAGAATTCACACTATAAAGAATCCTTTTCAATTCTGAAGCTAAGTTTGTTACGGACCTAATATCCGATATTGAGGTGACTTCCCGAATTTTAATATTCTGTACGCACACTATGGAACGAAAATTAAAAATATCAAGATTCGACGACTATGTATAAATGTCTTAAAATTCACTTTTCCGATGTGAAATTCCACTTTTTACTGCTGTTATGTTGGAATATGTATTATATGTATTTGCATACAATTTACATACATACATTTGCTATGATTTACAACTTTAATAGCAAAACGTCTTTTGATAGTTGCAACTAAACATACTTAGTGTTTGGAATTATCTGTCTGAGAGGTCAACGGATGTTTCATTATGAGCGACTGTTCTTTTAAGTCTTTCCTCTTTGAAGTGGCCATCTTTAACCGGTTTAGTTCCCATTGTTGACGCTTGTTAAATTCTCTTTTTACACACTAGATATCATCCCCGAAAATTCCTGTAAAAAGTTCGTTTGAAAAGTATATTTGAAAAAAAAAATAACCACCATACCTAGGCGAATTTATAGAATTTATAGCTTGTTCTTCCTTCCATTTGAACAAATTACACAAACAAAACACATGAGAAATACGAATTGACATTTCGAACTTTTTATTATAACGAACTTCGTTTTTGACTTTTCGAAACTACGGTTACACAAACAAAATACATAGGCCTTTTGTTTTTGTATTGTTGCTACTACTGTGTGTAAATTTGCCTTGCACCATATAAATTTAAAAATTGAAAATTGTAAGTTACAAATGTTAAAGTAGATTCCTACATTTACTCCCAATTATATAGAGAACGACTTATTTAATTAGCTCTATATATATTAAAATTAATTTTAGTATATTTATAAATATTTAATTTTTTAATAAAAAAATTGTTCGTATAAATTTGAAATTGAAAATTATAATTCAGAAAAATGAAAATATTTGAAATTAAAAAATAAGTAACATATAAATTTAAAAATTGAAAATTGTAGGTTACAAATTTTAAAGTAGATTCCTACAAAATATTTTAAAAATGTATGTACTTACATATATTTACATGCGAATCCTTATAAAATTATTTACTTTGATATTTAAATAATTTATGCTATTTGCCATACCCATTGTCTACTCTTTACATCAATTGCAGTACTGCAACGGCGGTGACTTAGCAGATTACCTTACTGTGAAGGGTACTTTAAGTGAAGATACGGTCAGACTCTTTCTTATTCAACTGGGTAAATATTTCCAAAAACCAAATTATTAATTTTAACTTGTTATTATATTATTAATTTTATTTCTAGCGGGTGCCATGAAAGCACTTTATACCAAAGGAATTGTGCACCGTGATCTCAAACCACAAAATATTTTGTTATCGCACAATTTCGGTAAAACGTTGCCTGCACCATCAAAAATTACCCTGAAAATAGGTATAGCTGTAATTAGTCGAGTTTTTATTATCATTTATGTATTTTTTTCAGCGGATTTTGGATTTGCACGTTTTTTGAACGATGGTGTTATGGCGGCCACCCTTTGTGGGTCACCAATGTATATGGTAAATTAAATTTTCCGTGTAAATTTTCATTAATAATTAATTCTCGAATTTTTAGGCACCTGAAGTTATAATGTCCTTGCAATATGATGCTAAAGCTGATCTCTGGTCTTTAGGCACAATTGTGTACCAATGTTTGACTGGCAAAGCACCTTTCTTCGCACAAACCCCTAATGAGCTGAAAGGCTATTACGAAAAAAATGCCAACTTAGCACCAAAGTAAGCTATCTTATTAAGTATGTACATATGTCGCTATATTCATTCATAGAATAGTTTTTTCCTACTAGTAATTTGCTCTCAATTTGTCAGATGCATTTTATTGTTATTTTTGATTCGAAAACCTAACCACACATTATAGAATCCCAAGTGGAGTTTCACCCGACTTGCGAGATCTGCTGTTATGTTTGCTCCGCCGTAATGCTAAGGACAGAATTTCGTTTGAAAGCTTTTTTAATCATAGTTTCTTACAAGGGAAAAGAAATATATCAGCTTCCCCTAGTAAGTAAAATATTTTTTTTGTTTTAAATATTCTGTTGTGTGTATTTAGTGTAGTGATTAATTTGTTAATGTTTTATTTTACTTTCAGCTGATGTACCCCCGCAAATGAGTTTAGATACGACGCCGCCATTGAAAGCGAAAAGTGCTCAGCACCAACTTGCCCACCCGCACCACACTGGAGATGTCGAGGTTGAGGCTGCTGCAGTCCAACATGATGATGATGCAGGTTTGTTTGTAAGGTTATGATTTAAACAAGAATAAAAATGACAATTGAATTTATTGCTTCAGTTTCAATTATGGAAAATCCAGCTATTTGCGCAACCATTACGAACGTTGGTGTGCTTTGTGACAGTGAAAACAACAGTGTTTCATCAGGGTCGCCCGAGGATTCCGATGATTTTGTATTGGTTCCTAATAATCTTCCAGAAGATCCGAACGTCATTGAATATGAGAAAAAGTACGAAACACGTACATATGGTAAATTAAATGAGCCTAAACGTTACTTTCTCCCTCATATCAGGCACACAGCCCCATGTCAAGCTACACAAACTACAAAACAGTCAAGTCCTTTACGGCCAAGTAGTCTACCAATTTCCGAACCAAAGCCTGTACCCGCGCCGGTCCGTCGATTTTCGACAAATGTTGGTGATACTGGAGCTGGAGTAAATATTTCGCCAGTTGGAGCTACTAATGCCGTTAGTGAAAAAACTCAACACTCGAATGTTTGTAATGAGATTGTTGTTGCTACATCGCCGAAACATCCTGGTATTGTCACACAATTTCCACGATCGCAGCCTATAAGTGTAAGGCAACGCGCCGAACATCGAAAGACTAGCGTCAGTAGCGATATTAATTCCATTTCACCGCCAGCGGTTCAGTTCGCCATAGGTACACCGCCCGTGCGTCGTCGTTCCGCTTCTGGTAGTTCACTATCGGAAACACCACCACCAAGTGCACCTTGTACTTGGCAAGTAAGTCCCGGTGCCCAGACTCAGTCTCCTCTACGGCGTTCAGGTCATAGTTCCCCGGTTCTTCCATCTGCATTGGCTAAATTACCGACATTAGGTAGCCCGACATTAATTGTAGGACCAGGTTCCGTTGGTTCGCTTGGGTCTGGATCTGGTGGGTCGGAAAACAATAATCAGCATCCCGTATTGGGTCCGCGTGCATTTACTCTGCCAGAGCTGGGTGCCACAGGAGGCTTGCAAAGTTTATTGGATACGACCAGTAATCGCCCGACTGGTGCAGAGGGTCATCAACTTCATACGTTCCATGCACCTGAACTTTCAGAGGAGACGCTTATGGATCGTGAACATAATGAGACACTTTCCAAGTTGAATTTCGTTTTGGCTCTTACTGATTGTATACAAGAAGTAGCGGATTCCCGTTGTGCGCCTCTTTCGGCGTTAATGCCTGTGGTTGCAACATCAAATGATCTACAGTCTATACCACCTCATGCTCCAGAGCATTGCAAACGTGCTGAGCGGTTGGTGTTATTAGTACGTGCTTTACAACTCCTCTCGAGTGGCTTAAACTTAGCATCTCAACAGCTCCGTAGTGGAAATCTAAAGCCATCTTCAAATGTTAAGAATGGTGAGTTATCATTTAGTGCTTAATGATCAGAAGCAATTTCCTATGTGTGATTTCAAATTTTTTTATTATAGCATTGTTGACAATGAATTCCAAATATCGTACAATCCTATATGAGTCAAAAAAATTGAATGTTTCCGGTTTATTGCAAAAAGCTAATGACTTCAACATTACAGCAGACAAAATCCTTTATGATTATGCTTTAGATATGGTGAGTAACCCAAAAGTGTTTATTATATTTATACGTAATAACGGCGACTTGGTCAATATCTAATATGTGCCAATAGTTATCGATATTTGTATATAACAGTAACAGAAGTTATTATAATAGAAACTCATCGTCCATCCAAGCTAGAAGGTGATTGGATTTTCGTTCACCTTGAAGTGGTCATTAAGGTTGCCTAAATTGATGTAGTGACGTAGATTAAATCCCTATAAATACTTATATACATTTTTTTGACTACTACTTTTAACGAATTTATATAATAAATGATTACATAAGCCATAATATGGATATTAAATCTGTCTATTTGGTTTTTGTAGTGTCAGGCAGCTGCTTTGGATGAATTGCTGAGTAACACAAAAAATTGCTTTGAACGCTACAATACGGCGCACATACTTCTGCATTCATTGGTTCAAAAATGCAATCATCCCCAGGATAAAATGTTATTGAATAAATGTACTTCACTAAAATACTTAAATTTAATATGGTTTCGTTTTTAAATATTTGCTTTCTGATTTTAGACCGTGATGCAGTAGAGAAGCGCCTAAGTATCTTGCAGCAAAGGGGCTACATTTATATGACTGATGAGAACTCTTAAGTTGGATGAAATTGGAAATTTTTTTTACGACAAAATCAGTAAAATTTCCGCTATTTCAGTCGCTTGAATACATATTTAAGTAAATAATATTTGATTTATATTTTCATTTTTCTGTGTGAATATTATTAAATTACGTACTTGCATACAGACATATTACTCATATGTATATCAAACTAAATATATTATCGGTGAAGCCGTTTAATAATAAAAATTAAGTTGGTTTCCATTCGAATTCTGTTGGAGGTTAGCTATTGATGTTTTGAAATTTCATATTTAAGTTCATCTATATATACATAATTGGCGCTTTGTAACCGCTTAAGCGGTGATGTCTTGATGTTTTTCCAACAAATGGTGGGACGGACCTATAGTTTATACTGAAAATTAATATATAAAAATGTTATATATAGTTTCGACGTAAATGTGGTGGATGAGTATTCATATGAAGTTCAGGAGTTGAAAAATTATTAGTCATATGTTCTGCTAATGTGGTGTTGGGGCATGGCACATAATGCGGAGTATTTACATCGGTTAAAAATTCTGATTTTATAGAAAGTTCTGGTTGGGAAGTGTTCAAATAAAATGGCGATATTTCGAAAGGAGTGGTAAACTTTTTAAGCGTATTCCTCAAATTTGGCGATGAAAAGGGAAAATTGTTGGGATTTCCATCGTCAGGAATACGAGGTGTAGGTGGTAGGGACGTTGGTTTTGGTTCTGCGAATGTAAATTGTGGTATTGGATTTGCGACATCGCACAATTGTTGATTTTCAAATGGTCCTAGTCCGGTTGAAGAGTTTTTAGATCTGTACTGAGGAGGAAAATAATGTAAGTTTTGATGAAGGGGATAATATAATGGTTGCTGTAAATCAAGATTATAGACACTATAAGTTTTTTGTGTTTGCAAAACACAGGTAAGTTTTTGTTGTTGTGTATGGTTATAAGGTGAAGTGGGGAAGTCGTAAATTTCTGGTTTTAAGTAATTTTCATATAGTTGGTTAGGAAAGCAATTCATCATGTCCGATGGATGAGTATGTGTTTCTCTATCGAGTGTAAAGGATGAGCTACACACTTCGCTTGGCATAAAACTTGGCAAACACTTTTTACGAAGAGCATTCAATTCCGGAATATATTTGTTTCGTGAATGTAGCTGTGGGTAACGAGAATAAAAATTTACTCGCGTAATATTAGACATCTCTTGTTTGTTTCGTAGACTTGTTGAAAAGAGTGATTCTAAATAAGCATGCTCTTGCATGAAAGAATGATCATGATATTTCGAAACGTAAGATAATTCTTTCTGACAGGGCGTGAAGATTGGTTTTTGATTTGATACGTTGCTGTTATCTTTTAAACTCAAGTCCATAATTTGTTCTTGATTTCTGCAAGTAAAATAATAAGCAAAATAATTTTAATACTAAAAAATAGATGCACCTCTGTGAATAATGCAGCGTGGAGGTTTTCATATTGTCTCCAATGTTCGACTGATTTGTAGGGACTTTTATTTGTGTTTTAAAAACTGTAGCTCTGTTGTTAGCTTTAACGTAACTGTCATGCTTGTCTGGTGTTTTTTCTCCTTCAGCAAAATCTCCTAATATTATTTGTTCATTTGGAAACGGTGAATGCTGTTTGGCATATTTGATTTCAACATGGGCTGGTGTACCATCCATAATTATAACAAAGTTATCGTCACTGTTTATAGTGCTGTAATTTGATAATGGTTTTTGCATCCGTACTTTGTTTTCAATGATGGATGAAGAATCTTCTTCTATTGTAATAGGCAAATCTTTATTCGAATTTTGAGTAGGGTTCAAAGAATTATCGTCAGCAGTATGATTAGTATAAATTGGTGAGGTTAATGTTTGTTCAATCGCTTTACTATCGAAGCTTTTCGTATTTATTACATACTTCTCATCCCGCAGACTTTCAACAACGCAGCGTACATTTTCACTAGAAACCGTTTGCTTTACAATTGGATAGCTGCTAGGATGCTTCAGAACTTGCTGCCTCTTTGCAACAAATGGTATTTGTTTTGATTTCATTCTTTTTATTAAACGTCTTACATTTTTTCGTTTAATCTGCTCTAAATTTCGGCTCTCTCTATTTTTTGCAGTCGTTATACTCTCATTCTCTGCTATAGATGTAGATTTAAGTCGTTGTTCACTTTGAATACGTTCTTTCTGTGAAAAGAGAGAGGATTTGAATTGATGAGAACTTATAGATGCAAACATGTACATACACGTATGTATCACATAAGATATATATATATGTTGTTCGGTGAAAAATGTCAGTATGATTAGCCTGAAACGAAATTGAGAGAGTATATTGCTTTATAGCCTATTTCCACCGGACCTTAAATGCATTTTAGCTTAAATGTATTTAAACATCGCATTTAAATGCGGTAATTCCCATGTGTTTGTTGTTGTATAAAAGTGTGTTAACTCACTTTTCAAAGTGAGTTAACTCACTTTCGGCAATTTAACAGAAAATGTTATGTTAACATTCGATGCTGTCACTAATAATGTAATCATTTCGGAAGTTTCGGTGTACTTCTTGCCAGAGTCGTGTATTTTCGGATTTAATGAGGGGCGAGATTTTTATTTTGCATGGTGAAATTTTTTGTATAAAAATTCCTTTTTTGCATTAGTTTTAACATAAATGCCTATATTAAGTAATTGGCGAAGAGAATGCTTCTCCGCCTTAAAAAAAAAACTATAAGAAACAAACAAAAAACAATTGTGAAATATCAAACGATCCCCTCAACATAAAAATATACGTGGCTCTGGTAACTATCAGCTGATTGCGCAAAATAAATAATTTGAGGGAACAAACGAACAAATATGAAAATGGAAACATGCATAAAAGCATATTCGTTTTAGCAACGTTTGTCCGTGAAGAAATAATCTGCACTTGCAAGTCTTAAGATTGCAGAAATAGCCAAATAAAATGAATGCGGTCTCTTGAATTCATGATTTCTATAGTTGTGGCAAATTTTGTAAACTGCAAATGTAAACAAAAATCAGCGGTTTGAGTTAACTCACTTTCGGTGGAAACGTTTGACATTTCATTTACTTAACAGAGGCCTTAAATGCATTTAAGTGCTTGGTGGAAATAGGCTATTACTCTCCCAAAGAAAGAAATTTACTGAGTTTTCACCGAACAGGGTTCAATAAAAACCAACCAGAAAGTTCTATAACAGCTGTTTGGCCGGTTACATTTGAATTCGTTTATTTATTCGGTTTCTTTTTTTTGCTTCTATTTTCCTAAGGTTAGCATTGCATACTGCTGTTCGGAGGGCCATGGTTCGAGTCCTGGTCCTTCAATTACCCATTGTTGGAAAACATCAACACAAAGACCACAAGTTATAGGAAAAACACAAAAGTGTTGTACGAAAATAATCAAACTCATACAACTCTCAACTTTCTTCTCATTTTAGTAAATTCTATATAGTGACAATCGGTGTTAAAAAGGTGTTATGGCTTGTTTTTTTTTTGCTATGTTTGATTTTTTGCTATATTTGATTTCAACATACATATGAACATATATACTTACTGGGATAAAAATACTAGATGCTACACTTTGGCGACGCTTTTTAGACACTTCACTAAAAATATATCAGATCATTAAAATGTTTTGGCATCTTTTTATAAACATGTGTAATTATGCATTGAAAGGTAATACATATGTATTTGGACCACTGGTATGTCAAATTGAATGCAACCACTTACAGGCAAATAGAGTGTCTCCTTTCTAATAGTAACTCTTTGACTCTTGGCTCAAAATTGGCCGCATTCGTATTAAGCATATTTCTGAAATTTGAAATTTAGGAAATATGAGAATAATGTACTTTTTGCGAATAACCCACACATATGTATGTACGAATGTGAATAAAAAAATAGAGAAAAATAGAGAATGGAATAGATAAATTTAACTCAAATCTTCGAGCTTTCAAAAAAAAAATATATATATATATTATTGATAGTAACCATTTGTTCCATTGCGAATATTTTCTTGTCCAAAGTATATAAAGATATAAAGATTGCTTACGACAACCAAAAAGGAGGTGTTACAATGTGTGTTCCATTTTCAAGATGATTTGAAAACCTCTTTAAAAAATTATATTTTATATACTCGCAGAAGCGATTTTCCACCGAGCTTCTCCTCAAATTTGTGGTATGCGTCTTGATGTTTTCTGACAAATGGAGGGATCTACTAAGCCGATGTGGCTGATTGTTTTTTTATTTCATGTTAGAAATTTTTATTATTCTTGACTTATGCATCACATTTTCGAACTAACAATTATGTACATACATATTTGGTAATAACGTTCGGTTTATTTTTTGTTATAAATATACATAGTACATACATGTATTTATATTTTTACCAATAAGAACACCATCCGATGTAACCGCTATCAGTGACAATTTCTAACTGGTCATACCGTCTCATTGGTCAGAGGAACATATGAGTATTAACATTAAATTCTTAAGATTGTATCTATGTATGTACATATGTACATAATTATTTTTTGTTTGTTTACAACCTAAGGCTTATATTTCAGTGGGAAATTCTATCGTCGTCACATAACAGTGACCAAAACGAGCTAAAAAAGGCATTCTACTGATAGGTATGCTTATTTATATTTTGGTAGTAGCATCAAAGCCAGGATAGTCGCTGGTTCATTCAAAATGCTTCAGCTTTAATAACGCAATATATTGCAGTGCCGACGTGCTACATCCTATCGAGTGAGTCTGTACTGATAAAACTTACAATTGACTTTAAAAGTGACACCCAATTGTTCTGTGGAACTGATACTAACGTCAACATTCCTCATTTTGTCAAATTGTATTGTATTAATGTATAAAATAATTGCGACAAATAAATTTACAAAAATGTTACCTGCAACCTGGGTTCCACTTATACCGTTAGTCAAATTGCGATTGGTAGACACTTATGTAATATACATTAATATGTATGTATATTGCATGTGTATATAATATATTCTACGTATTTTACTCTAAGCCAAATATAATTTTTGTGATTTTTTTTAATTATTAATTTTTGTATTACGTTATTAATAAAGTTGAAACTGAAATTGTTTGCAATAATAAATACAATATTAATTTTGTTTTCCTCCAATATCGGTAACCATCTTCAGGGTAACTAATGAATAACATAAGCAAAAACAATAAATTATATTATTTAATCAATTTTATGGCACCAGCAGTAGCCGAGTGGTTAGCATTGCGTACTGCCATTATGTATAATTATTTTTATTAATAAATATGATAAAGATTTAAATGTGAAAGAAAGCTGAAATTAAATCTAATATTTAAAATTCAGTGTTCAAAATAGCATCAGTATTTCTCATGCTCCTGTTATTTTTATTTACTATTTATATTATAAAGTATTATTTCAAAACTTATTTTTCTGCTAGTGGTTCACAGAACTCGATTTTAAATTACAGAATGATTTTTTTAATTAACATTCACGTTTTACATAATTGTACGCTTGTTCATACGTGTATGAATTATACCCCTACGATTTAAAAATCAGAGAAAGCTAAAAACACCTAAAACGTAATACTTTTCCAATTTTCGTCCGCTTTGCAAGTGGAAAGCTATCAATTAGGTTAGTATTTTTACGAATGGGCACAAACCCCCTTTTTCCGGCGGAAATACGCATCTAAACATTCATATGTGTTTAACATAAACATACATATGTACACACGCATGTACATCGGTAGGTAGATAGGTATACGAATTCTCAAATATCACTGAAACAATCTACAGTTAAGTACGTTTACGTTGAAGGATATATTTATACATGTTTACATAGAAAATTAAAATAGTAATAAAGTATAACAAACAAAGTGATCGCTTGTGTTATACACTATGTTAAGGTGAATAATAAGTAAGATGAATAACAAATAAAGTAAATTGCATTGATAACTCACCTATGAATAACTTTTTTAAGCGCTTTCTGCAGTACTTTTATACACAATCAACCCAATTTTTATTATATTGGGACAAGTAGGTAAGAATCTAACAAAAGTTTTTGTTTTATAATAAATATACAGCGAACAACTTTTTGTTTTTGATATTAAGAATTTTTCAAACTCGTGTTCAGGGCAGACATAATAAATATTTTAAAGCTGTTATAAATAATACCGTCAAATAAAAGAACGTATATAATCATAACTGCATAGTAAGCAGTGGTACGGATACTAGCACTTCCCTTAGATCTAGTTCAAAAAAAAAAGAACACGTCATGGTAAGTACTATAGCAACCACTTTGTGCATACCTAAGCATGTAGGCGTATTGAATTTGCAGAAATTCGTAGTTTTACTTGGTTTTAAATTAGTTTGATTTTATTTTTAAGTAGGAATTATTTAATTTTTGCGATAAGGTTAAGAAACCCGTTAGAAGGTTCGCTTCGCATGCTTAAAACTATAGATCATATAACCAATCTCTATAAAATAAAATTCTGATACCGTTAATTAAGTAGTACCATTATAAATTAATTTTTTGAAAAGGAAGTATTTTTATCTTGGAAAAAGAATAGGGATTGTTCCAAAACGACGTGATCACATTTGAGGCATAAAATCTTTTATTAATTAAAAATATTTTAGTTTGAACAACTATTTATAATAATAATAATATATTTGTATGACCATTATTTATTATGGCACTCTAATAACTTACAATAAATATTTATTTCATGTTGAGCAAACTACGTAGCTTTGTTCTTACCTAGAGCGCCTACAGCGAATGTTCGTTATCGATAACAGTCAAACAGAACTTTGTAGAAGTATATATGAGTTGCGGCCAACACCGCAGCGAATTTAATAGAGCAAAAGCATTCGGAAGTGACAACACCGGTAATTTGTGTTTCCAATAAAGAAGCTAAACAACGAAGGAAATGATTTAGGAAATCATCGAGGTTTATTTAGCAAAAATGTTTATAACTTTAATATGGCTACACTGTTCAACAGCTGAGGCCGAAGTCATCTTATTTTTGGAAAAAGTTTTATGGAACAAATAATTCTTTAATATAATGGATAAATTAACAACAATTAGCGCTACGTTATTTCTTGCAGCGGATGTATTTGCTATAGTTAGCTTGGCGATGCCGGACTGGATTGTAACCGAAGAAGCAGGTAAGGTTAGTGGAAAATGTTACAAGAATAAAAGTTATTTAGAGGTATCTACGACCATTGTGTTCTTTCAGGTGATATCCGCCTTGGCTTAATGTGGACATGTATGACGTTGTATAATCGTTCACAGGTCTGCTATACACCCGAGCTTCAGCCGGAGTGGTTAGTAGCTCTTGTATGTATATTTATTGGTTGTATTTGCATTACCACAACTGTAATACTTCTGGCATCAAGCAGTTGGGATCGAAATGTCATTCCGTATGCTCGTTGGGTAGGATTTACGGCTATGGTATTGTTTTGCCTAGCTGCGGTAGTTCTACCATTAGGTTTTCATATCGAAGAAATAGGCGGTCAAGCTTACCAACTTCCTAATACGTACAAAATTGGCATTTCCTACATTTTGTTTGTTTTGGCTCTATGGATAACAGTTGTTTCTGAGTTGTTTGCAGGAAAAGTTTGTTTGCCACACTTTTAATAGGAAGATGTTAAACTACATAGGAATTTTGCGAATAGTGAAAAAGCTGTTTTAAAATTTCTTCAAATACATTTTTAATAAGTTGTGATATTTTGTGCTGCAGTTGGGGATACAGTGGATTTTACATTCAGCCTATACTCTTATATTTCTTGTTTTTTTAGGACACCATAAATGCAGCACTGAAATGTTTTGCTTGAAACGGCAGATAAAAAGATTTTTAGTTGATTTAATGAGGTTATAGCCACATAAGTTTATTACAAAAACTTGATAAATAGATAAGCTAAATTTAAATATTAAAATAATGAAATTTTTATGCTCACATTACTTTGAATAAATAAATGTGTCATTGTGAACTAACTTAATTCTTTTAATCTGCACTTATATGTGTCATTTTTTTATTTTAGGTAACACTTGTCAGTAGGCGTAATTATATTACTTCCTTGTACTTTCTAAAAACATAGCTGATTTTCTAAAATTAGCATAAAATTAAAGTTTCGTCATTAGTGGTTCATGACCTGATCTATAAGGGGCTAGGTCGCCGGACCGTAACTGGAAACCTTCTGAAGACGCCTGAGCATTACTTGCACAGCATTAGCATCTTACTAGATGCCAAACCGCCACTTAGCACATCAGAAAGGGAGTACTTGACATTAAGAACTGCATCCAGTATCACTTACAACAACCGCTGGACAGAACGGCATGCGCACCCGTGAATCAGCTCGCTTTCTGTATCTCCCGTTAGGGGACCTCGATGACTTAGACTGATCTTGCTTGTCACTAAGCGGGGCTAGAGAGCCGCTACAACAAATAACAGCATGTGGTCCTTGAATTTTCGCAAAGAAAAATATTTCGAAAAAAATTTTGTTGAAAACCATTTTACAATTCTTACACACCTATTAGCGTTAAGAGCTTTAAGAATTTAGAAGAGTTGAAATATGCTTCTTGAAATGGGCACGATTCAGTGGTAGTTTGATAATTCATTAGAAGTTAAAGCTTTATTAGATCGTCTGAGACACGATTTCAGCTACTCACTTCGTGAGGGAGCGTTCATGTATGAGGTCACCCAGTGGGAGGTCCAGGAATCGAGCTTTTCGGCGGGGTTGGACCAGAGGAAGGGGGGGGGGGTTAGATGAGTTGGTTTGAGAGGGCATGTGAAAAGGTAGTTAGTGTCGTGCGGAGACTCCCCACATGCAGAGCATACGCTGGGTATGCTGGGGTCTGGTCTGGATAAGTAGGAGTTTAAACTGCTACAATATCCAGACCTAAGTTGTGTCAGGATCACGCGGGTCTCTCGAGTCAGCTCGAGCTCGTTATTTGCTATAGGTGGTGGTTTTTCTCCGAGTACACCATTCACTGGAAGGGAGTCCTTGAAGGTGTTGACTGACTCCCGTTAAATGGCGTTCAGTGCTTATCTGTACGCCGTACTGTCCAGCGGTTGTTGTACATGTCCTTTAAGTCTAGTACTACCTTATGCTCCTTAACTCGTAGCATAGATGCTTCGCTGTGCAAGTGATACTCCGGCGACATCAGGAGGTTTCCTGTCGCGGTCCTGAGGGCGGTGTTCTGGCAAGCCTGTAGCTTTTTCATCTATATAATATATTTGTAATTGGAGAAAAATTAAGATTGAGAGAAAATTAATTGTAGTATATATACTTACTTAGTAAAAAAGGATATATTTAATATCATATATCTTTAATAACATTTGTATGATACTACAATTTATTAAAATTTTTTAGTGAAATACAATGCGGTCTGGGCATAGTAAACTTAAATAATTAATGTAAGATCGAGACGGGCTTTTTGTTCTTTAAAATTAATTGCATCATAACTGAATTACATATTACGAGTGAAACTATATATGTATCAATATAAACATACAAGTGTTTTTGTATTCTGTATGCGATTGTGGTAGAACTATGTATCGACAGCTTCAGCAGTTGCCATCGAGTTCCCTGATGAATGATTTTTGCCATTAATGGCATTCAGGAGACAATGATCATAACAATCATATTGCCATGATTTTGCTTCATTATGGTTGTCGTATGTACATATTAACTTATGAAATTCATTTCTCAAACACGATAACAGAGCTTGTTTTTTCGTTAAACTTACATCTACATATTTCAAGCTTATAATAGTAACAAACGAATTAAAAAAAAACTTTACAAATTACTTTACACATATTGCAATTTATTTTTCATTACTTATGCATGTACATACATACATATATACATATTTTAAAGTTAAAAAGCAATCCTTGATGCTTGTTATCCTCATTTATATTCTATTTTATTTAAGTCCTAAGCACATAGGTATTCTAATTTGTTGTTTTCTGGGGTTTGATCTCCTTTTGATTTCTTATAGTTTTCCATCGAACTGTGTTTTAACAAAATATGTGACTAGATTTCCTTTTCCTTTGACATAAGTCATACCTCGACACTCGCACTCATATCCTGCAGCCATGAGAATTTTCGCTGTGTGCTCCGTCGTCTGATACAAAAAATGGAAATAATTAAAAATAAACAATTGTGAATGATAAAACTACGTGATTCTTTTACCTGTAGTCTTCCCATTACACCACAGGAGTCCATTCGTGAAGCCACATTCACCGTATTACTCCAAATGTCATATTGTGGTTTTTGTGCACCAATAACTCCTGCTATCACCGGTCCATGATTAAGCCCAATACGCAGTCGAAATCGTTGAAACGATTCACGATTAATTGAATCCAATATTGACATGAGAGCAATAGCAAATTCAACTAGAATAGTAACATTGTGCTCCTCGGTTCTCTTTTCATCCTACAAAATAAGTAATTGCTTTCGTTATACGCTGGAAGGTTTATGTTAAGGAAAAATTACGCAAAAAGATGATTTATAATAAAAGAGTGTATATATCAAAGTGTGCCAGACATGTTAATTTTTTGATGTTCTGAATTATGAATAAACAATTGCAAATTTGATCCCTTTTGCTCTCGAGTTGTTACATTAAAATCGACAAGACAAATGCAATTTGAAACTTACGGCAAAATTTCGCATCAGCTGCATTCAAGACACAAAAGTGGAAATTTAAAAATTAATAAGCCTTGAAAAGCAATCTACTATTAACTTTATATGAGGCATCTTCCAATGAAAAAATATTTAAATTGGTTTGATCTACGAGCACCTACTTACCATAGCACCGTCTTCCTTTCCTGGCCTTAGACCAGATGCACACATGTAAGTGCTTGCAATAGTCTTGATTTTTTCAATTCCACTAAACTTAGGTTTTAACAGTAACTGTGAAAAATAAATTAAAAAAAATTTAAAACTAAAATGTATTAGCCATAACAACCTTGTCAAAATCGCAAATAATTTCGTTTAGAAGTCGCAGACATTCAAGGCCTTGTTTATTGACATCAGTTTCATCATAAAATTCTTTGTAATTTGGTATTGATGCAAACATCACAGCTACACAAGAATAGCTTTCATGATATAACTCAGTTGAACGCTCTTGGTGGAGAAAATGTGTGGCCACATGAGCAGGCAAAATATTTTCAAGAAGAATCTGTAATGTACCAATACATTATACCAAAAACATATTTTCTCGTTGTTGTATATTAGTCTCTTTTACTTTATTGATGCCTCGCATTGTTTCTACTTCTTCCTGTTCCACTTTTAGTTTAGCTTTCCATAGAAAGTCTGTGCGGGCTACATATTCACCTTGACGATCCAGTGTGTGTAAAACTGCTATCACCAGAAGTAATAAAAGGAAACCTTTATATTCTATTAATATACTAAAAAATTGGATTTACGTTTCGTTATATAACGAAGATCTGGAAGTTCGTATTAACTCACGCATTTCGATGGTATAAATTGAACACTTCATAAAGGTCACTGAATCCCAACACGACTATCTGGCAAACGAGTGTTACAATCATGGTAAGTAGTTTGAGAATGAATCCGGAACGTAAAAAACCAGATACTGCTGCAAGGCTGATAGCACAGCAGAACATAAAAATTGGGGCGTTTTCGGTTTGATTTAAATTATCTGAAGTAGCGCGTAAATTAGTATATATAACGTCTGGCAAAGTCGTTTCATTGGTAGTCGATAATGATGTGTAGTTCAAAGTATTCTCCGCATTTCTCGATTCGATATCCACGTTGCTTACAAAGTTTATCTGGTAATGTAAATATCACATTAGTAAGAATATGTACATATGTATGTATAAATAGTTGAATATAAGACTTACTACACTAAAAACTGCAGACGATGATATTAATATATTCACTATAATGAAAATAGCAAGGCGAAGATATCGACTACTGGCCACCACTTGGCCGGGACCGTTGCGATCTGTCATTGATGCATTAACTTCGGGTACCTGGATATTGCTTAGGTACAAGAAAAGAGCGAGCGAAATAAAGCATGCCGCTAATGATCCAATTAAAGCAATGTTTCTAAAAATGACGAAACAATTGATCATTTTATGTAGACGATGGATATCATGTAACCTACTTTTCAATTACAATAAGTTGAATAAGGGCTATTGAGAGGAAAAGTATAAATGCACAAATTAAGTCGAAACGAAAATGTGTGTCGGGTTGTGCCCGATACATGGCCTCTCGGGGAGTATTTCGGTACCACATCGTTAATGGTTTTAGCTCAGTTGGAGGTCCTAAGAAATTAAAATTAAAACATTTGCGCTCCGGCGGCAGCAGATTGGATTCAATCATGGCAATGCTCTAAAGAGAGAAAAATATTTAGTAAAAACTATGGAAATGTTATAAATTAATTAACAAACTAGTAAATGATTTGTATGGTAAATGGTACAGTATGGAAAATCTGAGGTTGTAAACTATTTTTATCTTTTAGAAATAGCATTCTAATTGATTTTTTTCCATTTAAGTTAACTGCTTTCAAAAAGAGTGATGTATTGAATATACACGTGTGTATGTGTGTATGCATGTATGTATGTATGCACCATATATGAATAGGACAATAATTTGGAACTATATGTTAGACTGGATGGTATTCTGAAAGTAGTCTTCAAGAAACGAGCGAAACTTCAAGGCCAAGTCTGTAACTTCTTAGATATTACAAAAAAAAAAGAAGAGAAGCATCGTCAGGCACTAGAAAATTTGGACAACGCCGAAAACATGACGTAGTTAAAGTTTCATTTCAATATTAAAGCTCTTTCTTTGTGACACGATGGTACAAGGAAGCAATTTTAGAAATGATTATAAAAATCGTACTTACTGCTAATCCTATATTTTTTACTAATTTTGATTCGGCAATGTTAGCAAAAGGTTTATCTGCACCCCAGCACTCTACATATTTAGTCATTTTGGATGATGGGCGATTGCGCGTAACGTGACCTGAAATACATAAAATTAGTCGTCAAATGACTGTGATGCATTCCTATTTCTGGATGATTTCCTACAAATGGAGGACATACAGTCTATTCCAAGCCGCCTCCGAACGGCCGATGGATTTTTATGAGGAACTGATATTTCATGTCAAAAATACAATCAGAGGGCTTGAAAATTTTGAAAATTTAATTTTCTGTATATTTGGATGTTAGTCTAACCAGCACTCAATATTGCGGCCGCCCATTTCTATATTGAATCTTAAGTCCAAGAGATTGGAGAATAAACCACATCTAATTTCCCCAGCATTAGGCATTAGTTTTTTGCTTCCTGTCATTTGGGGTACTTATGAATATATGCATGCACGTGAGTACATATGTGCATATGATTGCATGCTTATATGCATAAGTGCAAATCTCAAGTGAACAGTGAAGCAATGAACTTAAAGTGTTTATTAGATTCTAAACTCAGGGTCCTTAGATGATATTCGATAGTTTGCATTATTGACATCTTGACTTACAAAGCCCCGAGAGCACCCTCTCGCTCCACAAATTTCGAATAGCCAAAGAGCTTTATAAATTCTCGACGTAACAAATGTAATGGTCTTGCCGCACCATATCCAGTGGGATTCACACCCGAACTCCATTAAGAGTCAAACGGCTCTATTAATATATTTAAGGGTATTATTAACCATTACGTTCCCTACTCCTAAACATCCTCTTCCTCTTACCCACAAGCTAAGACAATATTTTATAACTTACCGACATGACTGCGGAAACTCTCACCACTGTGGATGGATAACTTTCGGCCTTCCATAAAGGCGCCAGAAGAACGTCTTCTATCAGCGAACGAAATAAGACCTAGATACAAGCAAAACAAACGTGAAATACATACTAATTTTGAATTTAAATTAGGGCAAAATATTAATAAAAATATTGTCAGCATCCATTTTTCTACATAGTAATAGTAGTCAATATATACCGTTGAAGCGACTTTCGGTAAAGCTCATCCTCCAATTTGTGGTATGCTTTTTGACGTTTTTTCCACAAATGGAGGACCTACAGTTTATACTAAGTCGCCTCTGAACGGCTGATGTTTGTTTCATGGGGAGCATTTATTTCATGTCAGAAGTACAACTGGGGGGGGGGGGGAGGTGGATGCTTGACATTTCCTGCCGAGGGGAGAGCGCAATTACAAAATTTAACTTAATTCGAATTATATTTATTCAAATTAATTTTCTATAATTTTCGATGTTGGTTGAACCAGAAATTGAACCCTGGCCTTCTAAATGGAAGCTTGCAGTTGTAACCACTCGGCCATTGCGGCCGCGGGATGGTTAATACATAAGTTTATATTCACCTTGTACCGAGAGTTTTCTCCGGATCTTCTCTGAACCTTCGGCGATTGCTACGTTATTAGTTATCGCTACTATTTGAGCTGCTGAGTTAGTCGAAGTGCTGCTGTTAACATTGGCACAAACATCACTTCCAACATCCAGTTTACTGCCATCTTTAGTACTCGATGTAATTACATCTTCGTTTGGTAATGATAACATAGACTTTGCGCCCATAATTTGAGTGTCATGGGTTATTGTATTTGAGTCAGAACTGCCACGATGAAAATTTCTTTCCGGCTGATTAGATGATAGTGCTATTGTACTCGTATCGTCTTCATCTTCTTCTAACAGTTCCTTGATGGACATTGAGGTTGCCATCATCGGATCTTGACTGTTTGTTGATGATGGAGAGAGTTTTCCACGGTCATTGTAAAAAGTTCCGCCACTTATTCCGCTAATGGCTCCAGTAGAAATCGAATCTTCTTGATAAGAATTTTTCTGCCCACTTGCCAGAGCTATGCACACGTTGGAGATGCTATTGGGTGTAGGGTTGGGTAAAAGGTGATCAGTAACATCGCACTCATTAAGTTGAGGCTCTGAAGATGTTCTGATCTCGATCACTTGCGGCACATTATGCGGGTAGGTAACTTTCTGTCAAACAAAAAGAAATAATTTAAATTGTGGGAAGCTAACTAGGGCTGATCAAATTGGATTCAAATGTTGAAAGTAGCAAAAAAAAGTACGAGTATATGTTAAGGATTCATACCTAGGCTAATCCGCGTAAAACATAACTAAAAGGAAGAATTAAAACAATATAAATTTGCTGGGTACCTTTGGTGGCACAATGAGGTATGTTTCGATTTTATGATCAGCCAGATAACTGTCTCGGCTCGCACCATTTCCCTCTTCCACTTCAAATTTGTTATCAAGGAATTCTAACGTCTGCTTGGTAATATGAACTCGGCTATAATAAAGATAATATATATATTGAAAATATTTTTCGAAATAATATTAATTTTTTTAAAATTTAAGAAACTTCGTGTTTTATTATATTTGTGTGCATAATAATTTATAACCACATAAACGATTTTCGGCCGCGCTCCTCCACCGCTTTATTGTATGCGTCTTAATGTAGTTCTTGAGATATTTGAACCAAACATATAGATACACTGTTACATTTAAACGACAAGCTATCGGAACCGGCCAGATCGGACCACTATAACATATGTATGCCCGATTTTTTTAATTTGAGATTTTGGATGAAAAATCCAACAAAAGAGTATCTGAGAGCGTGAAACTAAGTATTCTACATAAGTATGTATGAACAAAAAAATTATGTAAGTTTTCGAAATCGGAAGACTATATAATATGTCCTTACACAACCGATTTGTACAGATATGAGGTCTTGCGTAAAAAATCGTCAAAATAGCATCTAAAGTGTGAAAATTGGTGTTCTACATCCTTATAGATGCATGCATATAGAAATACACATTGATACCGAAAATCAACGACGTCAGAAAACTTTATTATTGTACATAGCCTCCTCTTACCGATTCCCAGATATGAGAATTAATATTTAATCTTCAAATGATATACTATGAATTTAAAATCGTCATGAAGGGATGAATATTTCGACATGGGCAGCAGCTCTACTTTCCTGTTAAAATTAATTATCTATTATTTTGTATGTGTGCTTGGCCAGGGTTCAAATCCAAACTGTTTATGATTTTTTTGATTCTCCAAGTTGTTCTAATATATTATACATATTTATTTGTCTGGTTCTAAATTGAAAACATATAAAAATTTGGGAAAATCCCTCCTGGAAAAAACTATTATTTTATTAAATAATTCGGACCTTGGTGAACTACCTGGAGAGAAAAGTTGTCAGAGGAGCTCAGCTAAAAATACTGTGACGCGAGAATTACATACATAAATATAGATATATGAAAATATCGATATTGGGTTATTCAATGTTTTAAAAATTGTGTATAAAGCGAAGAAATATAAATGATTGACAGTCTCACATTTCCTCCGCACCAGAGGTAAGGACTTAAAGTAACGTTGCTTTTAATACTGGTATGTAGGGTACTTTTCGGGAATCACTTACCCTGCTACACCGCCACTTTCCATATGGTTCGCCAGCGTGACATCATCGCTCCAAACGTCAAATTGCCATTTACGCAAGCCAAGGACACCGCAGAGCACATTGCCAGTATGAATACCTATTCGCATGTCAACGTTAATTCCCGTTGCTTCGCGGACATGTCTGGTTGAATGAATTCGTAAAAGATACAGGGGAAGATTAGGATTCTAAAAATAAATGTTCATATGAGCTTTGCTTTAAAGCCAACAAATTACAAATGTAAACTAATTTTTTATAATTTTAGTATTTTGGTCTGGTCAGGAATCGAACCCATGACTTCCGACCTGGCTGCATACACAGCTATCCACTAGACTACTACGGCGAAATTAAGATTCACATTATATACTAGTGCAAAATTAATTTTATGTGGTGGCGGGAGCTACATAAGTACTTAAGTTTTTTTTTTTTTTAAACCAGCTTATCAAAATATTGTATTTTTCTTAAACATTTTTTTGATCTTTTTTTTACATTTCTTCAAATTCTAATAAACTTATCGAATCACTAAAGAACACACAAAATTCACCTTATGGCATCGATCATCTGTAGACCCATATTTACACAATTGGCAGCGTGTTGCGGCCTTGATATGGGCAGTCCAGATACACAGTAATAACAGTCACCAAGGATTTTAATACGTAAGCACTGATTTTCCTGTAAATGAAGAGTACAAAGAGATAAAATTTGCCGTATAAGATACAAACAAAATGTTTTCAACAGAGAAATAATTCCATTAAGAAAAATTTCCCGTAAATTAAAAATTGTTGAAATTTAAAAGCCTATTTTTACCTCATGAAAAATTCAAATATACGTGTATATATACATACATATGTTCATGTGCTTCATGAATCAACATCATCTAAAGTCTAAATAACACATCCTCAAAAAAAAACATCAGCCATTCGGAGGCGGCTTAATATAATCTGTACTTCTCTCCAATTGATGGAAAAACATCGAGAGGCATACTACAAATTGGAGGAAGAGCTCGGTTGAAAATCACTTCAGCGGTTTTTAATATACGAGGTGTGTTCAAAAAATATCGCGAATTTCGTGTTTTTTCAAAAATTATTTATTTATTCATGAATATCTATTTTGTCCCCTTCAAAGTAATCCCCATTATATATTATACACTTGTGCCAACGGTTTTTCCAATCTTCGAAGCACTTCGAAAAATCATTTTTTTATCTTGTTCAGCTCCTCCTTCGATGCCGTCTTTATCTCGTCAATCGTAGCGTAACGTCGTCCTTTCATGGGCCTCTTAAGTTTAGGGAACAAGAAAAAGTCACAGGGGCCAGATCTGGGGAATACGGTGGCTGCGGCATCGTTAGTGTGTTGTTTTTGGCCAAATCCGCGCACAAGCAACGATGTGCGAGCAGGGGCGTTATTGTGGTGCAAAAGCTAATTTTTGTTCTTCCACAAATTCGGGCGTTTATGGCGGATTGCTTCGCGCAAATTGCGCATAACTTGCAGGTAATACTCCTTATTGACCGTTTTACCCTGTGGCAAGAATTCATAATGCAACACCCCCCTGCAATTAATTTTTTCGTCTGTTGTTGAAGTGCTCGGGCGTCCCGCACGCTCTTCGTCGTTCACAACTTCTCGGCCTTCTGAGAACATTTTGTACCACCGATAAACGTTGCTTTGGTCCAAGGTAGCTTCTCTGTATGCCACAGTCAACATTCGGAAAGCATCCACGCACTTAATTTCGTTTTTCACACAAAATTTTGATCCATTTTTTTTGAATAGGTAAAAATCGAAGACCATCCAAAGCAAGCAAAGCAGCTGTCAACAATTAAGTGAGCATTCAAAATGGCCGAGCTAGTCGGCATAAGTGACAGACATGAGTACCAACATAACGTCACAAAAAAATTGAAATTCGATTATACGTTGCCCGCGAAAATTCAAAATTCGCGATACTTTTTGAACACTCCTCGTATATATATATATATTTATATTTATATATATACTTATACATATTTCCATGGAAAAACTTTTATTTCTTAATTTTATATATCAAGTATAAAAAGAGTTCGTAACTATTGTATATATTTTTTATGCCAGATAGTGTGAGTTCTTTGTCTAATTAGTAATGGCACCATCGGCTATTAGAAAATATTTTAGACTTATCGAAATGGAAAATAAAAAGGCCAATATTTAGAAAAAAAATAATAATTTATGTAGCTCACCTTCCATAAAACGGACTAACCAACTCGGCAATAAATATAAAAAAGCATTAACCGACATGAACAATTGCTTCGGTCCAGCTTTACCTGAGCTTTGTCCTCCAAATTTGCATTCAAAACAAGTTATTAAGGAACCTGTTATTTTTTTCATTCCCTGTACTTTATGACAAAGTCTTAATACTCTATACTTACGCCTGCAATTTGATCAAAGCGACCAAAAAGATCGTTTAATGTTTTTACTAAGTCGCTGGCGGAAAGTTGCTCTGATAGTGGTGTAAAATTGACAATGTCTGCATACAAAATTGAGACATTATTGTGACGTTGCACATGCAATTCGTGAAAGCGTGTTGCGGATGTAGTTGTCTGACCTCCGGCTCTTTGGCAGGCATCAGCCATTTTTAACATAATGCTTCTCTTCACCTGTGGTTGTAATATCACTTGTTATATACTTGACACAAGTTATTTGCAATCATATATATGCATGCAGAATACATATAAGGTGCACAACTTTGCTTCCGCCGTTTTTTTTCCAAAATTAAAAGCTTTATTGCGAAGAAGTGCTTACAGATATATTATTCAAAGTATTGTCCTTCGCTAACGACAACTTCCTCCCATCTTTCCGGCAATTTTTGGATCCCGGCTCGAAAAAAGGAGTCCTCTTTTGACGCTATCCATGAAGCAATTCATTTTTCCAATTCTTCGAAGGTTTAAAAATTTTGATCTGCCAGGCCGTGTGCCATCGAACGGAATAGGTGGAAGTCAGAAGGGCCAACATCTGGGGAATACGGCGGGTGGGGTAAGACTTCCCATTTCAGCGTTTCCAGGTACTTTTTGACCACTTTTGCCACGTGAGGCCGAGCATTGTCGTGTTGGAGGATGACTTTGTCATGTCGCTCTTGATATTGTGGCCGGTTTTCTTTTAGCGCGCGACTAAGGCGCATCAGTTGCATTCGGTAGCGATCTCCTGTGACGGTTTCACCCGGTTTTAAGAGCTCGTAGTAAATGACACCGAGCTGATCCTACCAAATACAAATCATAACCTTGTTTGTCTTCGACATCGAAATCACCAATTTTAAAACGTTGAAACCACTCCCGACACGTTCTTTCACTCAGAGCAGCATCACCGTAAGTTTCTGAGAGCATTCGATGCGCTTCAGCTGGATTTTTTTTCCGAATTAATTTAACAGAAAAGTGAAACTTCCTGCAAATGGCGAGAATTAGGCACAGAAACGGACATTTTCGAGCGTGAATAATTCGAAAACAAGAACAACTGTCACTGAAACGGCGATGACAATTCGTTAGGCACTATCTATGTATTTCAACCAGCCTCAGCCGGTACAGCCACCTATCGGAAAACGGCGGAAGCAAAGTTGTACACCTGATACATATATGTGTAAATATTTATTCTTGTACAAATATATTTTATAAAAAAATTAATATAATCTTCCACTCACCTCTGCAGCTATATATGCGGGTATGACACTTAGAAGCAGTTGTTCTTGCTGTTCACGCTCACACTCCAGTTTGACTCGTTGCTCAATACCTGTGCGCGTGCCATCTACAGTACGATTGTGCGCTGCATCTGACATAATACGATAATACAGACCAGAAACTGAGGCTGAGACTAGCATAATAATTTCTCCTAATAGCTGCAATAATTGAAATATGTAATTTTATATGTATGATATGTGTAAATAATTAGTGTATTCGGTGAGCTGATGGGCAGTAGCAATTGTTACCAATTTTTACTGAACCACGTTAAATGAAGCTACATTTTAAGAATTCGTTACTGGCTAATTTTTACTGACATTTCTTAGCGAACAGAGCTAATGCCAGCTGCTGTCGTGTTAGTACGCATATGTGTAGCCATATCCATATGAACATTCTTCTTGACCGACGCAGACACTTCTGCTACTTAAACTTTAAGGTCCTACCAATTTTCATCCAGTTTTTATTTCGTTCCCGCATTTTGTAGTTAAATAAAGCTGTCATATATAAATTTTTACATATATTATTACCATATATTACTATACATGGAAATTTAATATTTAAAAATATTTGTTCTAAACACATAAACAATTTTTTTTTTACGCAACATATGTTTACTTCAACAAAACGTATATTCCAGTATTCAATACGGATTTCCCACCACGTTGAAAAAAATCTTTTGTCCAAAATGTCCTTACGATGGCTGAATCATTGTTTTTATTGAAATAATATTTCTGGTTTTTAACAAAAATCTGTTTTTACTCATTTTCACACCACATGCACACCCGATCGCGAACAGAAATAATAAATTGATTATTAGGTCTGACGCCGCAGTATTATTTAATTATTCATTTTATATAATTCTGAGAAGTTTAAGTGACAAGATAAATATCTTTCAGTACTTACCAGCGGTATATTATGTCTATAATCCTCGCTTATTCGGCATATAACATGAATTGTAGTCATAAAGAACGCCAGTACCATGGATACAGGCCAGGATATAGGCAGCATTGTATGTATGCCCTAATAAAATTGATTAAAATTGATAAGTTAAGTCGTAATTATATTCAAATTAAAAAATAGAGTAGAGAATATTTTAGTATAGATGGTGAGATTAGATATACAGCGAGTTAAGGCTCTTAAGCCAACCAGGGAACAAGAGCAAAGAGCCCTCATCTTACCAATTACGCCCATATTCGATTTATTCTCTAGAGATCATAAAATATACATATCTTTCACAGTACCTTCCGATCTAAACATCCTTCTTTGTCCGATCTAGTCGGTTCCGTTAGAAGTCAAAGAGCCAATCTCTAATTCGTATTGAGAAAAATTGTCGAAATTTTCGTGAAGTACATAATTTGTAAGAGAGCGTTACTGAAAAATTTTATTTTTTAAGTTTACATTATATGTAACACAGTGTATTCAAATTTTCTTCAGATATGTTCCAGCGGACAGAAATGTACTATTATGAAAATCCCAAACGAGCGCACGCGTATTTATACCCATCGGTATGGGTATAATTATGTATGTTTGTACAAATATTCATGTCCTTCGCAGATTATTTCTCTTTCCCCATTGTGCGTTTAGACCGAGTTCTATTACAACTTTCTGTATTGGATGAGTGCATAAGTTCGTGCCCGATTTCAAGTGCAAACTAAAATTGAAATTTTTTGAAGAAAGCGCTTTTATTAATCAATTATGTATTCGCCATCATGTTCAGCGAACCACTCCCAACGTTCATCCAATTTACGGATGCCTGATTCATAGAAATCGCGCGGTTTCTCGTTGAAAAAGGTGTCAAGGTGGTTTTTGACGTCTTCCACATTTTTAAATTTTATTCCATTCAAATTGTTCTGCAGCGATCGAAACAAATGATAATCAGAAGGTGCAATGTCGGGTGAATATGGGGGATGCGGCATGATTTCCCAATTCATCTCCTTCAGTTTGGCCAGGGTCGGTTTTGCTACATGTGGCCTGGCGTTGTCATAATGGAAAATAACTCCTTTGCGATTGGCGAAAATCGGACGTTTTTCATCGATTACTTTCTTCAATTCGACCAATTGCTGACAATACTTATTGGCAGTGATCGTTTCTCCAGCTGGCAAGAGCTCAAAATAGATCACGCCTCGGATATCCCACCAAATGCACAGCAGTACCTTCATCGGATGCAATCCACCTTTCGACATCGGTTCCGCCCCTTCGTGTGCCTGTTTCCATGTTCTTTTGCGTTGAACATTGTTGTACAGGATCCAAAAAAGGTTCGTTTTTGATCCGTCGAAGCAAAGAAATTGCTGTTGACATACGGTTCACTTTGTTTTTTTCACTCAACTGATGTGGCACCCATGTATCGAGCTTCAAAGTGTACCCAACCTTTTTTTAACGACGAAACGCAGTTGATTTGTTGACGTTCAATTCACTGGCAACCTGTTCCGTCGAAATACGTGAGTTATTCGCAACTAAAGTCCTTAGAACATCGTCATCAATCTCAGAAGGCCGTCCACTGCGAGGTTGATCTTCGAGGTTAAAATCTCCAGAATGAAATTTCGCAAACCGTTTCTTTACTGTGCGGAGTGCTGGAGCACGGTCCAAATAAACTTCGCGAATATCTTTAGTTGCAGCGCCTACTGTTTTTCCTTTGCGGAATTCGTGTAACATAATATGATTATATGATCTTTTTCGTTGTCCATCTTCCATACGTCTTTTCACTAAGCAACTCAAATCAAAATGAAGTTATTTTATGCTTGATTTACAGTTCGGACTGTCACCTTTCCAAGGATATATAATATGTATATATTTCTTTCACGAGCGCCACTCTCAAACGATTAGAACGGCATCCAGCGGAATCGGGCACGAACTTATGCACTCATCCAATATATTTAGTCCAGTCGTTAGCGCTGCGTCATACATTACTTACCCATTGAATGGCATCTTTAAAAAGTGATACTTACTAAAAAAACAGCAAATAATGGTATTGGAGCTAGTTTTCCACCGATGATTGCTGCTATCGTTCCGAGCGTGAAAGTTGTTACAATAGCAAACGCCAATGCGGCTACCGGTGAGCTAAGCACCGCTGGGAATTGGAGAGCCGTTAATATGATTGTTGATATTATAGCAGCTAGACCTAGTAGACATGTATGTATAGAATTCTGAAAAATATCATCAAAAAATGTGTACAATCTAAGAACGAATGGACTGTGTATGGCAATATATATATTTATTTTATGTGAGCGATACTAACTTGACTGTAAGTAATGACGATAATCATGGAGACTACACAGGCCAGCAATGATATCATTAAGCCAGATCTAAAAAGTGACTTGCGCAGTCGCTGACGGTATCGTGTGTACAAATCGTCCAAGTGAACATTTTCAGCTGAAGAATTAAGAAATAATTCGAAATTTTATAATGAAAGAATAACGTTTATACATATGCTTATGTAGGTTATACAATATAATTGTCGCTTTGTAACCACTGAAGCGATTTTCGGTCGAGCTCCTCCTCCAATTTGTGGTTTTGCGTAATGATGGTTTTAATTAATTTTTTATAGGTTTTTCGATTTTAGTACGACCTCAGGATTTAAACACGAGTCTTCCGAATGGCAGTACACAATGCTAACCAATCGGCTACCGCTGCCGATTATGTAAGTTGCGCCAACATCAAATCAAAACAAAGTTTGTACTCTAGGCGAATTGTAACGAAATAAACTTAAAGTTGATATACATTTAAAATATCATTTTTTTTAATAGAACCGTACACTTTTCCTAAGAAATAGTTGAAAAAGTGGAAAATTCTTTTTTTCAATTTTTATTGTTTTTTTTATATATATTTTTTTTATTTGCAGCTCCAAATCATTAAAGTACATGAGCCAGGTTTATGAATAAATTCTAAAATAACCTCAATCATAGCCGGACACTTGCTATGGCTCAAATCCCCTGCTGGACAGTCCCAAACTCTAAAAAATTGAACTAGGAGAAAAGGAATAGTCGTAGACTTATTACATTATATGATAATGATAATGAAAACCAAATTAAACTGTTTTACTTCTTTGATCAAACTTTATACATAGCGGCCATAGCAGCCGAGTTCTAAGCATTACTTATTGCCATTTTGATAACGAAAGATAAATTTTTATAATTGCTATGCTCCTCTTCAGGAAATGTCAAGCCTTCCGAATGTATTTCCGACATGAACTCAATGCTCCTTATGAAAAGTCATCGGCCGTTCGGAGGCGGCTTAGAAATAACTCTAGGTACCTATTTGTTGAGAAAACATCAAAACAGACGCACACAAATTGGAGGAGGAACCTGGCTGAAATCGTTTCAGCGGATACAAAGCTTCAATTATATATTTTTATATATGTATATGACCAACGTATATATGTATATGAAGAGTGAATGAAGAAACCCTTATTGATTTAGTTATAAAACTGTGAAATATATTTGAGTTATATGTATGTAAAAAATTAAAAATAAAGTCCAAAAATACAATTACTCGCATTATCTGAAAGGTGGGGACGGGGAACCGAAGGGGACACTGGGTAGCGTGCAAGGGCGGTCCGCTTCCTGTCTATGTCAATGGATTATACAATACTTTACTTGTTAAGTTAATAAAACAATTGACACTAGTCTCGTTGGTATTGTTACCTGTCGCCCCATTCTAACTGACAAATAAGGTGATAGGTAATAAGATTAACGGATTGTGTCGATTGATATTATTATATTTTCATAGGTGAAATATAATCAATTGATTTTATTTTTTTTCATAAGCGAAATAAAATACGTTGACTTTATTACACGAACAAACATTTAATTTCGATAGCTGCAAAGCGACTCGCGCTCAGGCGCTATTCCCTGCCAAAAGGCGACCATAATTATAAAAATTAACTTAATTTCTTTTATTTAAATTAATTTTCAACAATTTAGGATGTTGCACAGACCAGGAATAAAATCCATGATCTTCCGCGTGGTAGTACGTACTGCTGACCACGGGTTTTTTGCAGCCGCGGTGGATTACAGTGAATGAGAATTTTAATAAAATTGGGGTGAGTAATTCCTGTTAACATTACTTAGAAAAATATAAAAACACACTTTACAAGATAAATGACACTAGTATATAGGACGCTAAGGACGCCACAGAAAAGGCACGTGCAGTGAATTTAGTGTGTTCGCGTTACCACCGCAAAAATTTACATAAATATTATATGAGAATTGATATGGTTAACTCTATGCCAGGAATTGCGTGCTTTCACTCGACATAAAAAATCGATGGTAGATCAATACAACTCTTTCTTATTTTGCTGTTCATATTTATACTACAATATTAATATTTTTGACGGTCTTAAAATACTTATCGAAGCATGTTCGAATACGAATACACACAGCGTATTTTTATTTTGTGTATAAGTACAGTTATCCACAGAAGTATATTGCACGTATTTACAAAAAATGTATTATTCCAAGTAGAAGTCAAAGTTGCTAACAATGAGTGATAGTAAAGAGACTTTCTATTACTAAAAACGAATGGAAATATTTTACCATTGGGTTGGACCAATCTCTTATGATATATACTTATAAATTACTGAGATTTTGGTATGAGAATGGGACGAACACCCATTGAAGGAGTTGAAAAACTAATTATAATAGAAAACATATTGTTAAGGCATATTCCTTCGTCAATCTTAAACAAAAAGTTACATTTCAGGGCTGAAAATTACCTATTTACATATAGTAAAAATTTATCAATGTTTTTCATGGTGCTCGTATAAAATACCTTTCAAAATGTTAATTTTTGCAAAAGCTTATGGAATCTATTCCAGAGCAATTCGATAGTGTTTTCCATAGTAATTGTTACCATAAAAATATATATGTGTATAAAAGAAACAAAAAACGTTACTGTATATACATATGTACATGTATAAATTCCCAGTATAAATTGTATTGATACGACATCGATGTATGTAAGATGCAGGAACAATAATTAATAATTGCATACACGACACTACATAGGCAAATATTTATACGAAAAATGTTACGTATACGCCGTGACAAGTAATTTACACTTCCCATAAAGTAATAATTCAAAATGATTTTGATAGAACATAGTAAAATGCTTCTGAAAAACCGTTGCACCGCCTCCCTCCTAGTGCGAAGTTTTTCTTAATTTAATATACTTTTAATAAAACTTTCAATTGGATGAAATAAGTTTTTCAGGGCCCAGATCCGTTACTAAAAGCCAAAAATTTGCAATATTTTGTCACAGGATTATTAAGCGAATTTTCTGGAACCCATAAATATTTTTAAAGTGCCATGTGAAATTACATTTAACAGATTTTAAGCCACAAAACGAATGTTTTCACAATCTAAAGGCAGCTTGTTTTCTCTCCATTGCAGTTCGCCATTACTCATCAACTGAATTTCCGACAGTGCCGAAAAGCAATTGTTTCCATAGTACTTTACGTAGGTACGTAAGGTACGTAGAGAACTTGAAATGCTGTCCCAAAGTTAACTTATATCGTGCTGCTAATGAATGCTCTCAGAAATTGGTATTTTATAACCACTGAAGCTATTTCTTGTCAATATTAGTTTTTCTGATAAACATCGATCCTATTCATATTCCCATACCAATTAAAAAAAATTTTGTCCTTTCCCGCACGTCTCCGCCATCTTGGCTCAATTATGACTGACTTACCGTAAAGAAATTGCCTTCTGCTAGAAATAACTTGAAAACAAAATTAAAATCTAATTGAATTATCTATGTTGCTTTTCGTGCATTTAGAGATATGTGCTTGTTGTTGCTGACTGGTCGCATGGAGATTGAAATATACATGACAGGACAGCAGATATTTAATTAAAAACAAATTTCCAAATAAGTAACTTTTATTAACTGATAGGTTGATATAGATATGTATGTGTTAAATCACACTACAGTCCTCTCTGATCACAAGTATACATGCAAGAGTGTATGCCTACATGAAATCTGAAAGGTATTGGGTTTAGAAATGCATTTTTGTAAAATACATATTCAGTGTTATTTTCGATATATAAGTTTTTTTGCCGTTTCAAGCAAGTCATTGATCGATCTACTCGAAATTTTAAATAGGTGAAATTTTGCTTATATTAATGGGAACACTAATTTTTTTCTTTAAAGTAGACCAATTGTCTATCCGAAAACCAACATATTTATGTTTTTATTTACTTCAATTTTCATATTAATTATTCTATTTGGTTGAATTTTTGTTAGTGTATTTATTTCTCATTTGTTTTCCGGGAGCAAACCAGATGTTAAGCTTGATTTGCACCAATTTTGGCTCATATGCAGCTATTCACATACATTAACATATATAATAAAGGGGATCAAAGATCGACACAAATTTATATTATTTGAACACCAGCATAGCTCGTGCGCAGGCTAGCAATTTGTTTTAGGTTACCAGACGGTTGCAAACTATCCTTTTACGTTTAACCTCATTGTGCCAAAACGGATATCAAAGTACTGACGTTAGACTCACTTTAAGGCTAAGGTATTCATATTTTTAAGGAAGACTTTGAATAGTGAAAAAACGATTAATCTCGAACTATATCTAATTTGCACCAATTAAAAATATAACTCAGCTGCATTATAATGCACACAAATATAATATAAGGAAGATTAATAATACCAGAATAAATTGATTATTTTGCATTAGGTGAAATTTACTTAAAATTTCGTCATTCTTTAAACATCTAATTGTAACAAACTACAACAATTTTTTCTCAGCCGACTTCCTCCTCGGAGATGTGATAAATTTTTATGAGGAGCTTTTATTTCACACCGAAAAGATACTCGGAGGGGCTGACATTTCCTGCGAGGAGCGAACGAATTAGAAAAATTAATATTTTACAAATTTTTGGATATTGGTCGAGCCCTAGTCTTCCGAATGTTAACACACACTAATATTGGAGTACTGAAAGAATAATCCTTGATGACCTTTATTGGTATAAATAATTTATGAGTATAAAAAATGTTTTTCCAAAACGCAAATAACGTTGGATATATAGGAATTTATTTTATTTGTTGTTTAATACATTCACTTAATAAAATATGATGTTGTATTTTATTATGTTTTAAATAAAAGGCTCTTGTGTGTACTCTTATGTGAAGCATCACATAGAATGGACCAACAATTTTTGCCGTGTAGTGTGAATAGCCTTTTTGTTGTATTCATACAAACCTATGGATTAAGCGTAGTGGGTGTAGAGTGGGGTAGAGTAAATGGAATATTGTAAACAATTAAAATCGATTTAAAAGGTTAAATGGGAAAAAGCAATCAAGTTATCTACACTTCTGCACTTTAATTTGCTTCATTCTATTTTGCATTATTTACGTCATGTTGGTTGTTTTGTTCCCTCCAGGGATATACTCGTAGTAGACTAGTATGCAACAATTAAAGGTAAATGTTATATGAAATCATACCAGTTCGCTATTTGTTAGCAGTTTGCCAGTAGTGGTAATAATAATAGTTTCCACTACCATGCTATGTTATGATATTTTCTACCACTCCACCGATATATTATATTCTCGGTTAAGCGCTCTTTGACGTTCTTTATCATATATTCGTCTATACCAATGTTGAGAACGAAAATTGTTCCTTGCAGGCTTATAGTCGCATTAGGTGGCTTTATTGTATGCAAAGCTGTGCTAGTTACAGAATTTCCATTAATGTTCAGAATAGACAAAGAGTATGAATTTGATATTTGTCTCAAACAAGAGACATTTACAATATTGACATTTCATTCCGAGTAGTTTTCATAAAAGTATCTTCAACTTACGTGTACATATGCAACGTAATAAGTGCATGAAAATTTATTTTTTATAAAATTGATATATCTATATTCGATATATCTTTTGTGTTCAGATTATTAATAGTGTTGATGTGCTTTTTTGGCGAGCAGTAAGTTACGCCCTTAACATGGACCTGTTGATTGTTTTCACAGCCAAGCAAACATTTTTGTGCGCGGCTTCGCTGTGTACACAACTTGTTTTCACTTTGTATTCTTACTGCCTGTAACAGTAGGAAATAATCGAGAATGTTTCATGAAAATGTACTACTCGAATGACGTATGACGTCACGAATTCATTTAGCTACGTCTGAATAAGTTTTAGCACTTTTGAATAGCCTGATGTCTACAAGTTAACCAATAGATGAAATTCTTCCGAAGTTTCTAACTTAAAGCCATAAATATTTGCCAAACATATGTGAACTGCCAATAAATAATCAAGGAAGTTAGAACTATGTTACTATCCATTACTAAAAATTATGGAGTTTTTTGATGATCACCTATCAAATTTCATACAGATAATTTGATTTATAAAATATTTTATATTTTAATTTTAGACCGAATCCATTTATGTTTATATAAATGATCTTCAAATATGAAACACAAAATAAGATATGTTTTTGCTTACCAGTAACAGCATCTTCCCTGTCCACAATAGACATATGACGTGATTTGCTTGGAGTGCGTAAGGGCGATGGAGTTGGTGTGATAGAAACATTCGCGATATTGGCACCCTCACCAATCATACCAGCACCGTTTTTTAGTTTGACAATTTCAGAGCTGGGAACGGCCATGTTGCAGAGCTATTGAAAAGCATAACTGCTATTACGCAAAATATACAGTTTAATTATTTTATCTGAAAAAAAAAAGACTTAAGTCATTGAAATTGGTCGTTTAGGCTAGTAAAAATAATATTATCAGGCCTATTCTCACGGTAAAGTAAATTTTGTTACTTTTTTAGCACCCGAAATTGATATATTGTTGACAAAACTATGACAGCACTGCTTTTTTTCGACCATGTCAAATTAAACTTCCCAGTTGGATGGAAATGGATGACAGTACGCAACAAAATAAATAAGTTTTATTTATTTGTTTATTAAATCATAAATACTTTAACCTAATTATGGAAAATATGCCTGGACGACAAAAATAAAGCTGAATTAAAACGCTTTCTTCTAAAATAAATAGTAAACAGTGAACTCAAAATACGAAATTGTAACAAAATTTACTGAATGGTAAATTTTAAACCCAAAGTAAATTTTATTACCTCGACAGAATATAGGCCTGTATGTATAATTCCCTGAATCAGCTCGCGCTTGCGTTTGCATGTTTTGAAACTGTGTTTTGGAATTAAAAATTTAAATGAAATGAAACAATGCATACATGAGTTCCGAACTCACATTTCAAAAAACTAAATCGTTATTCCCAAAACAATAGAACAGGTCAACTCAAGCTGTAAGCCCAATATATATGTACATACATATGTATGTACTGTTAGTTTCGGTCATATTTAGGACTATAAAGATGTATATATAAATAGCTGTCATGTACATACATATATTTTCTTTATATGTATAAAATATGCATTTTCTAAAAAATGTTCACGTGGTTGGATTTATTTTTAAGCTTAAACAATTTATTGCGTTTTTATTATGCATGTGAAAAAAACTGTTGTATTCTTATTTGTTCTTCATCTTTTATCTTGATGTGGATTTAGATCTAAATAACAATGCTACTCACAAAGGAACAAATTCTTTTTGCGGAGTTTTATATGGATGAGGGCGAAAAGGTAACAGTGTTTAGAAAAATCAACCTTGCTGTTACAATAGAACCTAATCGTGTAAAAAGTGTTTTAAATCTATGCCAAAATTATTATTTATGTAGTTAAATCTATGGTAGATATGTAATCCTCAATATTAAACTTAAATTCTACTCTGAAGTCAAAATGTGGATCTTTTGGAATTTTTTATTAAATTCAGCTCATGTGTAGAATTCCGTTATATTGTTACGGGGCAAGTTAGAGTAATTTCATTATAAATACTTACATAGAAATTGATTATATTACGTATACGCCATGTCTCTTAGGTTTGCTGAATAATTTTAAAGAAAACGATTAATTAGAGAAAATGGCGACTTAAAAATAATTTTTCTTATCTTCTTGAAATGCTTTTACTCTATTGTGTTACATTTTTCTCACTATTTTAAAAATTGCCTTAATTCTCAAAAAAACTTGCCGAATCTGCTGCTTTCAGCTCATGGCAATGTTTTTGTATACATTGGTAAAAGCAATTGGGTTGGAATTATGCTAATTATACTACACACATTTTTATACATTTTAATATATAAATACGCTTTCCTTATTGTGGTCTTCTATAAGTTGACAAATTGTGATAAAACATTCTTGCAATAGATCGGAGCACTATATGTTTTTATGCATGTAAAAGCAGGCATATGTACATTCATACATATGGAACACTTTTAAAAATATCTTAGATACACTACACTTGCACTGTACTACATATACATGATTTCGATGTGTGGAAAAGTGGGTTTTCCAGCAAAAAATGTTTCAAAAATCGCTCTCTTTAAATAATTAGATAGACATGTATTTACATATATACTCATATGATATTGGTACCAGATGTGTGACGACATTATTATGCGCATACGAGTATATATATCTATGTAAATATGTACTTAAACATATATTCATTTGTAAGTAAAGTGATTTATTTAAGCACTTTTGCAGCCGATATTTTTGTTTTTCTTTTTCTTGCTGTATTTTGTTTTCTTTTATGTCAAGATCTCACTATTTACTCAATTTTACATATGAACTTTGTTCCTCTCGCTTTATTAGTTTGTTTAAAATTTGATGAACAGGTACAGCCCAAACGTTCGTAATAATAACGAGATTTATCAACGTCCTTATTTAATTTCCTTATAAAAATAAAGTAAATAATAATATCGCTTTACGGAAAATCTTTCAAATGTTTGACTAAGTAGCTAACCCAGTCTCACAATAACAATATTAATAACAACATCATAATTTTGAAATTTTTGCAAGCATATAAATTTTTTCAATTCGCTTTTTTTTTTGCTTATATATTGTACTTTTCGGAATGTTATTTTTTTCAACAATTCTGTCTTAAAATGTCTATCTCCAGTTCATTGAATGCAATGCGTTTTCTATATTAATATTTGCTATACTATTTCATTTTCAGTTTGTCACTTTTGGTTCCCCTTTTTTAAAATCCAAATTCGTTTCGCGGTCAGTACACTTACATACATACACTTATAATACAAATATGAAAGATTAGAGCGGAAAATACCTCGTCAAGTGGTAATGAAAAAAATAATTCGCAATTGTATACATAGGAATAAAAAAAATGGCAGAATGAAAAGAATGAGAAGAGAATGTAGTTTAAAGAGCAGATGTACATATACACATAGAGTGCTCAGATGCAAATATGCATTAACAGGTGAAGAAATTGCATAAAACGAACGCGCCAATGCAAATTTAGAAGATGATCTGAAAATGCGGAAAGTGCAAAAAAATTATTATTGACTTTGCAAGCTTATGTACAATCTTTATTCTGAAATAAAAATAAAGCTTTTCATAAACTTAACTTTAGCTATAACAGTTCTGCAAATGGTATTTACAGAAGCAGAAATGTAGAAAAATAGCATCACCCATGCATATGTATAATCAATTTTCTTGAACAGCACGTACTCGATAACTGCAACTAAAGCCGACTTAATTGCCTTGATCCTTTATTTGAGAGCTAAGTTAAAAACTGAAAATAAGTCCTTCTTCTTATGCGATTTTTAACTAAAAGATGGTGCCGAAAATTCTTCTGCACAAAGGAATTATGTTAGTCTTAGCCAATGCTTGTCCGACCAAGGTTATTACAAACTAATGACGCCAATACATAAATACTCTACTGTTGCTTTTGTATGTTATTATAGGGTTAAACTTGATTTTGTTGGTGTTTGCCACTTGAACTAAATCTTCACTCACTAAGTATTCTTTTGAAATGCCTTCGCTAATAAAAAATACTTGACTCAAGACAATTGAATACTTTTTAATTCATTTAACGCGAATGTGTGTAAATATATGACAATCACATTCATATGTACATATATGTATTCACAACAATTTTGCAAGCTATATAAACTTGTAGTTAATGAAATTTACTTTTCATAGTTGTGCTTCTAAAGGTGCATGTTGGGTCTACAGGGTACGCGCTTTATATCCATACATTCATATATACTTATGTATATGTGAGGTGATATTAATTATGGCTGTGGGCATAATTAATTATTATTGTAGATTGCTAGCTGAATATTACTTTGGTCACTAAAAATGTGTGTGCCTTTACTGTTGTTTGTTAAATTAACCCACACACGCATGCTTTCTTAATAGAAAACACCCGAAATAATTTGAACATATACATAAAAGTCGACAAATTTTATTGCCACAACAGAGCGCGCAATATTTCTACATTAGTATTTTATTAAAAAAAAAAATTAAATGAAATAAAATATTAAAGACGACAGTTTAAAAATACATACGACATATCCATTGAAAGTAGTAGCACAGGACAGAGGCTGTCTTGTTTCTGAACGCAACATATGCATAAGCACACACTGCGAATAAATATTGTGCACACTTGAGTATTCGTTAATCTTGAAATATTAGCGATGGAATTTAAGTTTTGTTAAAAAAGTATTGAACGCGCTTCTGTGTCACTGTCGCTCCCAAAACTTTTATTATTGTTCTGCCTTTTTATTTAATAATATTAATTTTTCTACAGTAGTACATACATACATGCATATATATGTACACAAGTGTAAATATGTTTTATTTAATGTGGTATCGTTATTGTTATTTTTTCCTATCACACTTTACTCTAAACCATACACATTAGTATATATGTATATTCACAGTCTTGATTACGTCTATTAGTATTTGTTGCTGTAATTTAATATATTTAAATTTATCCATTAGCAAATGTGCTCGCCTATCGCCGCCTTCTCCGGCGAAGTCAACGTCAGCGGTTGCACCTACCAAATGTAAGCGTCAGCGCTGAAGGCTTTAGATACAATTAACACGCATCAAAAAGTTAAACTCTAATTGGTTTGTCACACTTCCGAACTTTATGAGCTGACCCGTTGGTGGTTGAGCACGAGTCTATGAGGGTGTAGTAAATAAAATTTACTTATTTACTAATATATACGCACAGGAGTTGAAACACATTTGAGCAGTATATTTGTATGTAGCTATCCGGATTTGTACATATGGATATGTGCATAACTTAGGAGAATTTTGTCCATCCCTTGAATACTGTCGTCGTTGCTACTAGAAATAACATGTATGTATGTATATCTGCTGTTGACATGTAAACATACATATATAGGCATAATGACGACTCACCTAATACAATTTAATCATCAGAAAATGTAAAGTCGATTCATAAACATATCTAATAAACACACTCATTCGTCACATTTAACAAACTTCATGCTCCGAGTACGCCGTGTTGTTTCGATTCGATGTGTGAAAATGCATTGCATATACAATTCGCCGATTCGTCTGAATCTAATTGTCACTGCCCGACTGAACTTCTGCCGACTGGTTTTTCGCGGCTAACAAACTATGGCAAGTAAATAGCAGCAGCAATACTGATCTGCACCGGAGGACGTCGCCGGCCAAACTGTTTTGTACCCACAACGTACCGGCTGTGCTTTTCCCAATATAACAAATGAATAAAATCACACATTGAAATAGTTAAACAGCTACACGAACACATTCTACAACGAAGATATGCGCGCGCGTCCCAAAACGTCACCCCGAATGTTGCTCTATCTAATAACCGACGTGTGGCATGTATAGCCACGCATTATTACACAGATACTAGCACCTACATACAGATGTTCATATGTACGTAGATAAGTAATAATATATATCCCCAGTAGAAAATTTTTGAAGGCCTGAATTTCGATAACAAATACTTACCTGGTATTGATTTTCAAAATGAAAAAAGCCAAACTTTTTCTACTCTGTATTCTGTATCTTTGTCATGACATTAAAATACACACAATCCAGTGCAGTATGGTAACTGTAAACAATGTAAAAAACTATTTATAGTATGCACTAACACAATAAAGCATTTACATTTTCAACTGCCACGGCCTCACAGTCTACTGCTGGGTTTGGCTACAACGCCTCTCCAAGCTGTTAATGAAGTTGATGAAGATGAAGTTTAGTTATTATAATGACGATTAAATTAAGCTCGTAAATTTCATGTTCATTTTTTAGGTCAGTATCTCTTTAAGGATGATAGTTACCCAGTCATGTGAGAAAAGGTTCTTCAGTCGTAGATTATTTTATGACTACTTGCGTTAACAATCGGTGTAGAGAATACCGCGGAGCGTATGAGTAATAATTTTTATACTCATAGTTTGCTTTGTCAACATATATTAAAGTTATAAATTTTAATTTTACCGATATTGTTTCAGGATTTTTGGAAGTAGTTGAACTGAAAGAGTGGTTCAAAGTACACAGAGAATAAAACTGCATACTACACATGCCCTTTTTCTCTTTGCTTGGACTTATTTCCTTTTGTTTTTGGACAATTTTGTATGCGAATATTTTCTCTAAGCAATATTATTATAAGTTTCAAAATATAATATAAAGCAAAATTTAATTGTTTTTTATAGATTTTTTTACTAAACACACACATTATTTTTGCTCTTTATTATTTTGCCCAAAATATCGATCAAACTCTGATAACTCATTTCCCAAGTACAACTTTATAAGTTGTTCACCGTAAAAATAAAAAAAAAATGGAATTATTCAAGTTAAAAACGTTATTTTAAGTTAAAAAATAACAACAAATTGAAGTCGCCATTGCAGCTACATAATTCGAAATTTATTGAATAATCGTCAGGCCAGCTGCGTTAGCGATATAAATAAAGTAGTACTCCATCATTAGTCGGTATATTGAAGTATATTGACAAACTTATTAAAAAATAACCGTATTTATTATAACAAATTTTCTCTTGGTCTCCCATTATATAAAGGACACTTTCTTGAGAAACGGAAAAAATTGTTTTTATTTTTTCCAATTGATATTTAAATTGTATTAAATTATATTTTGGCTAGGAAAAACTAAATTTATTTTATTCAGCCGACTGTTTTCAAATTTTAGTTATTGATATTTAAATTGTATTAAATTATATTTTGGCTAGGAAAAACTAAATTTATTTTATTCAGCCGACTGTTTTCAAATTTTAGTTATTGAGTGTACGTGCAAACATTTATTATATTTATTTATGGAACTTGGCATGCAAAGGATACTTCAGTCAATGGATAGGCCCGACCAAAAAAAAAAAGAAAAAAATGTTGAAACTTAATTAAGTAACTTTTCCGAAATTTATTTCCTAATAAATCGGAAATTACTTACATGTTCTAGAAGCCAGGAAACAATCAAAAATTAAAACGTAAAATTTATAGTTTTTTCAAAAATGCTTATTATTATTATATCTTTGTAAAAATTACAAATATAAAGTAATTTTTTGGTAGACAATAATTTTTGATGTTATTAATTAATGCACACATTTTTAAATGTTTTTTTAAATTATCAGCACAGATTTCCCATTGATTTAAGTTTGCTACAATGAGCATTGCTTTAATAAGTTAGAATTTATTTGCCTTTTCCAGTTATTATTTCAAGTTTTTCAACATTGTTTTGGATTTGTGTATGTAGATATTAATTATATATGATATACATCACATACATTTGTATGTATGTATGTATCAAGACTCTCACAAAAAAAATTAATCCTTATTTTTAAATCCACAGTTCTTTTATGGCAAACTATTTTATATCTTCCCAATTGAAGTTTGGCTTTCAATATCATACTAGAGGAAGCAATAAATAAAAGTTAGATAATGTGTGTGCATGCATATCGATACAGAATATTCATTTACAAATGATAATTTATGATTTTTAATGTTGACTTTATTAACAGAACTCCAAGCCTTTTTAGAAATATATACTATAAAAGTTATTGTCTTAATTCAAATTGATGAATTAACTAACAATGAAATAAGAGGTATTTCATAAATACTTCCTAATATTGCTTGTTAAAGAAATAAACATATATTTTTATTGTTGGACATTTACAATTTAAACGAAATTTGATACAAGACTGGCGACAAACTAAATGATAATCATTATTTTTTAAATACACATTTCAAAATACTTTTTGTAGTGTTCGCTTTAATTTTTTTTCTTAAATTAAGGAAAATGTTTTGTAGAGGTAGCGTAATATAATAATTTCTTTAGAACATGAAGTTAGAAGAACATTTCAACTAAAATATATCATTGACTTTTGACCTGATTAGATTATGATAATTACATTTTTCGGCCTTGTTTTACTCCCAATCTTTTTTGATTTCAAAAGTCCAATCCCACTTGAGGTGTATATGCTTGTCGTCGTCGGTGAACAGGGATGCCACTGAATATGTACCACGTGCCATCATCCCTGATGGAGCTTCTTCAGATGGGGTTAAATAGAATTGAATTTCCTTTTTTGGTGGATATGAGCCTACCATATGAGTCATCTTATCAACTAAAAAGTAAAGTAACATTTTAAAAACTAATTTGAAAATCGAAGGATGTCTTACCAACAACTTTCAAATTTAATTCGTTGTTAGAAAAACATGGGTTCATCAGAATACAAGAAGTAGTGGAAATTTTAATTATAATATTTACAAATCCACAGCGAGCAGCGAGAATAAAATATGTTTGTTTCGATTATTGCCTATGAAGCATAACAAATAGCAGTTAACAAAGGAAATTCTTTCATCAATGATGAACGCAACTTTTGCAAACAAATGGATTGTATGTATTGCCAGTTGGGATTCGAGTAAAGGAAGTGAATATGTACCTACAGTTTGCCTTGTGAGTGAGGAGTTCCAAATAAACTCCCTTAACTATGAAAATAAATAAAAATCACGATTTGATATTTTTTCAAAAACAGTTTAAATCGTTTGGCTGCATTTGTACGAAAGAGCATCTACATAAATATGTATTTAATAAACTAACATGAGGCCATTCACAAATTATATTTCTAATATATAGTTAATGACTCATCATCTGGACTGCGAAACCGAGTATATGAAAATTAACTTGTCAGGTTGATATCGATATAAATTGAAAACTATTTATGTACCTATATCTTCAATTTATGGCGCATACCTCAGTCTTTTACCAGCTGATATCAAAAATAATATGCAATACATTAATCTCACAATTACAAATTTGTGGTGTGTGTTTTAATATTTTTTTTTAAACCAATGGTGAGACCTACAGTTTATACAAAGCCACCGAATATTTTTATTTAGATTAATCTTCTATAATTTTGGTTGTTAGTCGGACCAAGACTCGAACTCGTGACCGTCCATTGCGGCCGAGTTCTAATGCGAAATATATATTATTATTGGCGCTTTGTAACTGCTGAAGCGATTTTCAGGCGAGCTACTCCTCCAATTTGTGGTATTCGTCTTGATATTTTTCCAACAAATGGAAGGACCTACAGTTCATTCTAACCCGCCTCCGAACGGCTGATGGGTTTTTCATGAGGCCGTTTTTTTCATGTCAGTAATTCACTCGAAGGGTTTGACATTCTCTGCCGATGGGCGACCGCATATAGAAAATTTAACTTAGTTTTTTTTTAAGTATTCTTCTATAATTTTTGGATGTTGGACGTACTAGAATTTGAACCATGGCGTTCCGAATTAGAGTATGCAATGCTAACCACTCGGCTACCGCTGCCGGATTTAGATTGTTATGATTTGAGATCACTGATATTAAATGGAGGGGATTTAATAAAAATTATATGTTGCAAAATGTTTGTTCTTGTTTAAAAAGAAAAGTAGTATAAAGATTTTTCAGTGGGTAACTTCTACTAAAATTCTGCAAAGTGTAATTTCTCTTTACCTGGTACACCCAACCTATAAGTCTTTTGTACATATTTAAGGCCATGAACGATTTCTCTTTGAACAATAAAGTCTATGCGCACTTTATAATGAACTCCCTCTTTGATAACGAATACCTGGAAAGATTTATAAAGAATAAATATATATAAAAACATACAACAATTTGTTTTATAAACTTTACATAACTATTCCCAAATTTTTTCAAAGAAAGTGTTAAAATATAAAAAGATTATCACCTGTTTTTTTAGTTGACTTAAATCACCAGTCAAATCCAGTTCCATATCATCACGCCCTTCAACAACCAATGCCAATTTCTTAACGATCACTTTCCGCTGATCATTAGCATCTGCAACGAATTTATAAAAATTTTTTTAGTCGTAATTAATATAAACCTGGTATGTTCTTTTATGTAAACAATAACCTACCGACAATAATTTTTTCAGCTTGTGCAGCCCCCAATAAAGCTTCTTTATATCGGCGTAAACTTTCATCTTCTTTGTCAACAGACATTATTTCCTCAATAGTTTTTTCTGGTGGAGGCTGATAAGTGCTGTCGTGAATGTCTTCATCTTGAATAGTGTGGTCAGTATGCGAATCAGCAGACATATTGTTTTATTTTTGAAGAAGAGAAGTTAATATTCGGCAGCTAATTTCAAATTGAAAAAGTAACGAATCCTGTTAGTACTATTTTTACCAGTTAGTAACTAAGAAATTGAGGTCTTATGTCCATATGATATTTTATCATGCAATGTTTCATCAGTTATCATAAAGAGAATTTGCAATTTTTGCATTGGATACCCCCAAAACTGAACAAGCCTTTGAAACATCAGAATTCTCTTTATTGACCGTGGAACCATTATTATATATGCGCGTATGAATCACACATACGAAGGAAATATACACACGAACGATTAATTATTTCCATGCTACGACGATATTCATATATACATGCATAAAGTAAATGTAGTCATACATATATGTATATCTTTGGTCGTTAACAATGTTTTAATACCGTGCACTCATTTAAAGGATTATTGTATGGAGCACAAGCGACCATCGGACCCTCATACGCTACCAATAAGAAATTATTGAAATAGCAAGAGCCCGATTACAACCATCTGCCTGCCCTTTTTATTATCATTTCCCACGAAATAATTCCTGTCGATCAATAATTAATATTTGCTAGTAATATATTAAAGATTATGAATTTAATTTATCGCATTAATTTAATTTCTACTTACATTTTACAACCTTAGTATTTAAACAAGTTAACAGATATTATAGTTAATTTAGTAATTAAATTGTATATAATATGTGAGCTAATAAATAAGTTAAGAAATGACTTTAACAGAAAATATAAATCGCAGCAGAAGTAGCCTAAATATTCCAATAAGCTCAAATGGACACTTCAGTCAGTATCGATAAAGAAGTGCTTGCTTTACCATGTGTGACTCGTTCGTTACAAAACGAAATAGATACGAAATAACTCTTCTATAGGGTTGCCTTACACTTAATTGGTATTCTCACGGTAGTTTTGATACACATTTGTGAGCGAACCTAGTCTTTATTTCTTAATTTTTAATGACAGCTGATATTGTTTAAAATTTAGTTTACTCATAAATTGAGTATATGATATTATAAGCTTCTTTTTTGAAAACTTGCAGAATTTTTCTAATATTCCATGTATTCGACATATTAAGCTACATGTATTTCATCTTGATCACATATATTATTTGTAAAAAAAAAAAGCTGAGACAGAAAACTAAAGATACGCGCGTTTGTGAGCAGAGCTTCGTGACAGTTCAATTTTGAAGTATTTTGAGGCCTATTCTCACTGCTACCGGTAAAGTAAATTTTGTTACTATTTCTCAACACCCGTAATTGAATTTGGTATTCTGACGAACTGTATACAATATTTGAAAAAACTTTGGCAGCACTGCTTTTCTCGTACTTGTCAAATTTCATTAGCCAGTTGGTAAAGTAAAAAAGAAGATTATTCTAATCGAAATGGAACTCGGTGCACAACAAAATATATAAGTTTTATTTATTTGTTTATTAAATCAGAAATATTTGAATTTTATTTTGGAAAATATGCCTAAACAGCAAGAACCATTTTTTTCGCAAACTTCTTGGCATACGCCTCTTTACACTTTTTTCTTCATCTTCAGAGAATTCCTGGCCTAAAACATGCCTACCCATTTTGGTTTTATTTTTTCGCTAACAAACAACCCACAATCAAACAGCAGATTTTTTTTGTTACTTACTATTTCGCTGGTAACAAAATTTACAGGGTGACAGTGAACTCAGAATACGAACTAGTAACAAAATTTGCTGAATAGTAAATTTTGTTACCTCGACAGAATGGGCCTGTTAATGAAAACTTTAAACTAGTTCAATCTTTCTGCTAACTCTTGCATCCTTATGGTTTATTTTTCAACAATTTATCAAAAATCTTCTTTCAGAATACTCCAATACCCTGGCAGTGGTTTATAGAGAATAATTTGTTAACAGCGAAATACGTGAAGGAAATTTGCTTCGTTTAACGCACCTTAAAGCTAGAAATTTGACATTTTCAAATTCTATCTGGTAGCATAGAGTGCAGTAAAAATTTATTGTTTTCTATACTTTTCTCATCTTACTTTAAAGTTTCTAATTTTCTTTTATTTTTTATATAAATTTCAGCAGAAAGTTGTCTGTACATATGTTGTAGGCATATTCAAAAGCAGTGCATCTTAGAATTGATAAATATTGCAACTGTTTGGGAAAATAAATACTGATATATAATACGCCCCCTGCATAAGGCGTGTAATCAAATATTAATAGAACGCACTTAGCCTAATTAAGGGGAATGCACGGGATTAAAGAGAAAAAATTTAGTACTAAGGCCTTAACGGGGCAACAAGCTCAAAAATCTAATATACAAGCGCTGAATACAAGTTCTACAGATGCAAGCAAAATGTTGGAAGCAGCGCTTCAGCAAATGGACGGCATAATATCTGGAAATAATAAAGGAAATTATGGTATAAATAATGAAGCTCCAAGAAATCCATGTTCAGTAAATACAAATGTACTTCCGGAAAGGAACTTAATTTCGGCAAATAACGTAATTTCAACTGCTAAAACATTGGCTCTGGCCTTACAACAGGTGAGAGTATTTATTTCCGAGTAAATGAAAATATATATTTGCATCAATTTATTAGGTAGGACTTGTTGCACCTGCACCAGACCCAGAGACTGCATCGGTGATAAGTAATTGGTTAGAAGCACATATACCTCGTCAAGATGCTGATGAACGACTACTGAGACTACAGCGTGAAAAGGAATCACTAGCTATAGAATATCAATTACTTGCTGACCGCCTTTCTGAACAGACTGATAAAATTTTAGAATTCGAAGGATTACTTAATGAAAGAACGCAATTGTTGAGTGATCGAGATGAGCAATTACAACGACTCATGCTTTCGAGGTCCACATTAGAAACACAAAAATTAGAGCTAATGTCAGCCCTCAGTGAATTGAAATTGCATCGAGCAACTTTAGAGAGGGAAAATGTAGAATTGCGAGCCTCGGAAAAGAAAGTGAATAACATAAGCACTAATGAAGCTATAATGGCACGTAAACGACCACCTTTCGGTAGTATGGGTAATTTGAATCAAACAAATTTCAGCAGTAGCGGCTGTGTAGGATCTCCTAAAACGCCTCCTGCTTCATTACAACATCAGATACATCCGCAATACCATAGCTTACCGCGAGCTCATAATCTCAAACATAATAACAATTTAGAAAACCATCGTCAGTTGGACGGAAATGCAAATATGCAACGACAACGTAATGTTGCATTTGCTTCTAATGAAAAAATACTTATTGATGATTCAAAAAATACATTTTCTGGAACAGAAATCGATGCAATAGATTGTCGAGAAGATTTAATGAATACCAGCTATATTTCATCGCCAAACTTTCGAGAAAGATCGACTAGGGGACTAAAAGGCATCTTTGGTAAGTTAAGGCGGAGTAACAGCGGAAACTTGGAATTACCATCACTGGAAAATACCGAAGCAGAGTTTAAAAGGGGGGGCTTTACACGTGCTACCGCAGGCGGGCGTATTGAATGGGCAACACCATCTTCTCAGCTTTCAACATTTTTCAAAGGTTACAAAGAATGGTCGCCACAAGAAGTTTGCAATTGGCTAACTGATCTAGGGTTAGGAGTTTATTCTGATGATTGTAGGCAAGTACTGTTAAATATTGAGTTTATTTATTTTTAACAGATTTTGTATATGACCAGGAAGTGGTTAAAAAACACCACAAGCGTATGTTTTTTCACAGCCTCTCCGGTAGATATTGAACGAGAGTTAAATTTAAAGACAACCTTACATCGGAAGAAAATACAACTAGCAATTAACGAACTCACAGGAAAAGAAGATGATCCTCTAGCTATAAAAGCTGCACACCTTGATATTAGTTGGGTTATGCGTTGGCTAGATGATATTGGCTTACCACAATATAAAGACCCTTTCATGATGGCTAAAATTGATGGACGTATGCTTCATCGTTTAACAATGGAAGATTTGTCGCAGTTGCATGTGTACTCTTGCTTACATATAGCCTCATTACGTTGCGGCATCCAATGTATGCGTGAGAATGAATGGAATGCTGAGTGTCTAATACGGCGCTCAGCTCGATCAACAGGGCCACCTTTAGAATCGGATGATCATTCTTTGGAAGGAGATGAAAAAACTCCCGAAGAAAATGTAGAAAAGATTTCATTATGGACGGCACATCGAGTGATGGAATGGTTACGGGTTGCTGATTTATCAGAGTATGCACCCAACTTGCGTGGTGCTGGCGTACACGGTGCACTAATGCTTTATGAACCAAGATTTACTGCCGATCTATTGGCAGATTTGTTAAGTATTCCTCCAACTAAAACTTTGTTAAGGAGGTAAGGACAAAATAATGACAATAACTATAATGTGTGATATCTTAATAGCTACTTGTATTTGATTTCAGACATTTGGCAACACATTTTAAGGAATTACTAGGTCGAGATATCATTCAAAACAAGCGTGACACCCAATCGACTCCAGGATATCAACCTTTAGCAATAACTTCTAAAATAAAGCCACCAAAGAAGACACAATTTTCTTTAAAGCGAAGGAAAAGCAACAAAGGTAATGGGGATGTCGACTGGACCGATTACGTGTGCCCCATGATGACTTCGTGTCTTAGTAATAAGGAGCAAAGTAAAGCTGCATCTCCAAGCAATTCCAACAGCTCAACAGTTGATATGCCCTATACTGGCAATTCAAACAATCCTAAGGAACATAGTTATGGCAATATTACCCAATAACTAACCAAATGTATACATATATGTACATACATACATAGATGTTGAAAATATTAATATTTTTATTTATTGACTATAAAATTTTCGGTATTTAACATTTATTAATAATTTTGATTTCTCCACTATATTTACTTCCGCTACATGGTATGTATATCTTGAAGATATACAATAATTTGAAAACACCATCACACATTTAATTCTTTAATGTAGCAATTTATGCAGTAAAGTAAATATGGACATATGGCAATCTTTACCTTTTTTAAAGTTACCACTTTTAGAACTCATTTTTAAAAAAGTACAATGTCTTCCAAATAAATGTGCATAATATATTGTAAATTAAACGATAGGCGTAAAATATTGTATTCGACATTGAATGCAATCCCATGGACATTTATTAAATATTAATCTTTCGAAAAGATTCAAACTGACCTTATGAAAAAGCTTTTAATTCACCAAATGTATAAATAACATACTTAAGTTATTGCCTTAAAAATATTATTTTTTAATAAAATTCATAAATTGAAAAATGAGTGTTTTATTATTTATTTAACTTATTAAAATATGCGTCGAATGAACGTTTTTTATAAAAATCAAACCAGCGTCTTCTTAAAAAGCACTTATTTTAAATATAGTCTGTTAAACTAAAAACAAATTATTATATTATAATATATATATATGTATGTATGTATGTATGTATGTACATATATATAATATTACCAGTGCCACATCAAGTTACATAAAATTTTACGAGGTAAAAGAATTTGTGATCATATAATATAGAGGTTTAGGTTTTTAAATAAAACAAGTTGTGTATCCGTCAGGATTTGGGAGGACTTCTCCGAGACGTTCGATACCAAACGAGGTTTCAGGCAGGGTGATTCCTTACCGAGTTACTTTTTTAATTTATTGATGGAGAAATAAATACGAGCTGCAGAGCTGAATAGAGAAGGTACAATCTTCTATAAGAGTGTGCAGCTGCTGGCGTACGCCGATGATATTGACATTTTTGGAATCAACAACCGTGCCGTGAGTTCTGCTTTCTCCAGACAGGATAAGGGAGTCTGGTAGTAAACGAGGACTGACCGAAATATCTCTTCGCCATCAAACAAACAGTCATCGCGTTCGCGGCTTTCACGTGACTTTAGACAGTCATAACTTTGAAGACGTAAATAGCTTCGTCTATTTAGGAACCAGTATTAACACCAACAACAATGTCAGCCTGGAAATCCAACACAGAATCACTCTTGCCAACAGGTGCTACTTTAAACTGAGTAGGCAATTGAAAAGTAAAATCCTCTCTCGGCGAACGAAAAGCAAATTTTACAAGACGCTTGTCCTTTCCGCCCTGCCTGTGATGAGTAGGCTTTGGGAGTTTTCGAGAGAACGGTTTTGCCTAAGCTTTATGGTCCTCTACGAGTTGGGAACGGCGAATACCGCAGTCGATGGAGCGATAAACTGTATTAGGTATACGGCGATGTTGATACACTTCAGCAAATGAGGAAACAGCGGCTGCATTGGCAGGGTCATGTGGTCCGGATGGATAAGAAACTTCCGTTTAGAAAGTTTTCAATGTGGTATCTGCCGATGGCAGCAGAGGAAGGGAAGACCTTCACTCCGATGGAAAGATTTATGTTGTGCCATGGTATTTTATACATAACTTCATCATTTGTTAGTCATACATCCCTGCAAGAAGGCTTCCGATCATTTGAGCCAACATATGTCAGAAATGCATGACGGCATATCCCGTCAGCTCGTAGAACGATTTTTCTATCACTTTCTTAAAACCGAAATGACAAACGTGATGTTTACATTTGTCATACAAACACAACATAGGGAGCTGTTGGACCTGAACAGCTGCGTCACAATTAAATACTTCTGTATATGCGGTTTTACTCAAAAATTTTTTGCAGATTTTAAAAAGGAATTTATTGTTGTATTGTTATTTCTTTTGTATGCTATGTAAACCATGTACATGATATACATATGTTAAATATTGAATTAATGACTGAATCTTAATATTATTTGTAAGCATGTATATATGTATGTAGGAAAATTTTTTGTCAAAGCTAATTTCCTTCGTCATCAATGCTGTCGCTCATATGGATTCGTCTTGTACGGCACTGCTCCTGTTTTTTACGTCAATATTGTTTTCTTTTGGTATGAATGCTGTTGCTCAGCTGTGTTCTGTTTTTCAGACAAGAATGGCGAAAATGCACAAGGAAACGAAGAGAGAAACATCACATCATTTCGAACTTTATTCCTGACATATGTTGGCTCAAATGATCGGATGTCTTCTTGCGGGAGGGCCACTTCAAAACTGGGCTGACCTACGGTCTTATAATCCGAAATATTTGAAACCTCTGATGCACACGTATGTATATATTTTTGGTAAAAAGAAGTTTAATATTTGATATGGGGAATAAAGCATATTAAAAAGGTTCTCTCACTGAATTAACATGATCTACATATAAGAAATATATCAATGAAATAAATATGAAACGATTCACATTTTTATAATAACTTTAATGTTTAATTGATTTAAATATAGTTAAGGTCTAATTATTCTTTGGCAGTGTTAATAATTCAATAGCAAAATATATGTATAATTTTTCAGTCATTTAAGAGTTTACGCAAACATAATATTTCTAATGTGTCTCCGGATTTTATCATTTAATTTGATTATGTTTCCACTAAGTTTTGGGTGGACAACAGTGTCTGCTTACTGCTTTTGGGGCATAGATTTCCGGTTTCCAGAAATCCATGGCGCTCCAAAATGCTCTCAATAGCTAATTGCTCTGTCAGGCAATCCGTTATATCTGATTCTTTCTTCACTTCTTCCTCTATATTGGGCTGATGAATGACAACTGTTCCCACTGACGTATTTTCCTGGTACACTTCCTCTGGCAGATAATCCTTCCAATTCCTGAATAAGTAACGTGTAAACCTTTTCAATTGTCGAAATTTACAGTAAGTAGCTCCTTCAGCGGATTCTAGTTGCTGTGTTTGGATAAGAAATCCCTTTTCTTTAAATGTCTTCTCTAGTTTCTCCCGCTGGGATGATTTACCAGCTTTTTTTTTTCTTTGCGTCGGATTGCATGGTGTTAATACTTCCACTTCCGCCACTGAGTTAATAAATTGATTTTTTGTGGAAGAGATACTCTTAACAGACAGAGCATTGTCGCATTTTGAATCTACTATTATTTGAATGTTGGATGTTTGTTGCTGGATTGGGAGAGCTGGGGAACTGGAATAGGAGTCTGGCGATCTAGTTAACGGAGATGGTGATGATGGTTTCGGTAATGAAACTGTTGGTGGTAATAATAACGTTGCAGTCGGGGATTCAGGAATTTGCAAAATTTCATTACTAAGTTCTGCGGATGGAGGTGGTATGTCACTGGTTGAGTATTCGTTTTCATTATTGGCACACGATATTGAACAACTCACTCCCGGTAAGAATCCAGCGGCATTTTGCAGACTTTTACGCGGGAAAAATTCATAACCACGAGTGGACTTGTCGCCCGTACCGCTATAGTATCGAAAATTACCTCCAGAATCTACAGAAAGCATTTTCTTCTCTTGCAAGGAAGGCTTTACGCCACCAGTAAATTTAAATTTGCATATGCTCACCTCCGTGGCTGGGTTTGAGGTATATTCTGTCGGGATTGGCGGTATAAATATTGCAGAACGTTTTCGCTTCTGTGGTGTAATAATTTGCTGGCCTGTAGCGTTCACTGTTGCTGTGGGCGTTTTAGCGCTCATTGTTGTTCTTGTGGTTGTATTTGAGCTTTCTGATTTAAAAGAAGATGGCGTTGATATATTATCAGGATAATCGATAGTTTGGCTACTTATACTCAAATTCGATGTAATTTTCTCGGATTTGGGAATTCGAAGCAAGCCATTTGGTATAGGTATTTTTAAAGTCAATTGATTGTCCTTTTCTATAGTTTCGATGGGCAGTCCGAATGGCTGATTTTGTCTGTTCAATAGAGAGTTTGAAAGTAATTGATGGTAGTAGAGATTTAAGGGGTGCAATACGATATCATTTGGCTTATTATTATTAGATATTTTCGGTGTATTTGTGTTTAATGAAGATGTTGTAGAGGTAGATCTGGCCTTACCAATACTCGACTCCACTTTCAGAATAACAGAAGGCTTTCTATTATTTGAGATTGGGAGCTCATTTCTAAGTTTAGACTGTGAGGGGCGTTCGTCATTGGATTTTGGTGTAGCAATACGTTCTATCAATTCATCATTCAATAAACTCACATTCGCTAGTCCAGATGCATTCTGACTATCTTCGCTTGATATCGAATAGTGGTCGCATTGTTGGTCACGCATACAAAGATTTAATGGTAACTCATCTGTTATTCGGAGGTTTTCTTCGTTTTGGATAGTACCTTTTATCACGTCTGCTGTTGGTTGCACATTTTTAGGTGTTTCAGGAAATATTGTTCCATAGTTTTTATATATAAGATGGCAGATGTCAGCTTTTTTTGGTTTTCGTCCACGACGTGGACGTGAATTGTCCAGGGTTATTTCTCCCATGTATGGTAAGTCAGTAAATGTAAAACTCTTTTTCTTGGATTTTAAATAATTGGGAGCTATTGTTGTAGTGTTCAATGAAGCTGAACTTGATGAAGGTGACTGCTTAACAATCGTATTTATATCGAACCTATTATCGCGAGGAAGTGAATCCGCAGATTTTTGAGAATTAAACGAATGTTCGGAAAATTGCACTCGATTCATTTGATAATTATTGTTGGTATCGGTAGAAGTTTCATGCTTGAGTAATTTCGTATTCGTTCTATGTTGATCTACTATTTTCACTGATGTGTTAGGATTGCTCTCTGATCGCTGCGCTGATCGGTGTATAGCGGCAATTTTTTGTAACCAACTACGAACATTTTCATGTGAGGTTTTCACTGGTGGCAATTTTGGAGTATGCATCGATTTTACTGAACTAGTATCTAAAAATTTCGGTTTGAAATACCCCTGTGTAGCTTCATAGTGACTAAGGTACTCTGCTGGCAGTGCTTGGTGGTGAAATCGTAACTTTAAGACTCCTTTCCTCGAGTCAGTAGTTTTCTTATTGCTCTGAACGACGGAAGCCGGTTGTTGTCCGCTTCGTTTTAGCTCATTGGCAGCACGATTTTGCGCACTCATTAAACTAGCCTTAACTTTAAGTTGCTGTTTCGTTAGGGGGCTGCAGCCATTTTGTTTCATTTTTTTCGGTTGTTGTGCACTCGTTGAAATGGATAAGAATGATTGAATATTCGCAGTTGAGGAAATAGAATGCGAGCCGAACGTTCGATCGGTTCGATTGCTCTTACTATTATCTTCATTTGGTGACAAGGATATAATAAGCTGGTTGTCATCATCGGCTGTCACTACATTATTAGCGCCATGAGATATTAAAGGATCATCTGAGTTTTGTAGCAATAATTTACTGGTACTCAAGCTTAAGCGATGCTGATGCCGATCTTCTAGTCGCTGCTGGTGCCGATGTTGATATCGATGATGAGCATGTTGCTCGCTATTTATTGGATGCTGTTGCCACGTTGAGGATTGCGTTGGAAATAGATCTTTTGAGGCCGCAACTTCTGTTTTTATATCACTTAGCAAATTTGTGGGGGCTGCTGCATTTATATAATTATTGTCAACATTTTCAGGTGAGCGCACTAACTGATGATCTACTGGAGTACCAGGATGTATAGATGCTTGGAGATTTATTTGATGTACTGCTAAACACATACCCTTTTCATAAATAGAGCTCGCACCACCCAACAAGTCAAATTCCTCAGTCGCAGCTTCATGCATGCTATCTGAATTTGAAAAAAAATTTAAAATCATATTTGAATGAAATACGTAAATATATATACACATAAAATAATTATTTAAATTACACAACAAAACGAAAAGTTTAGAAAAAAATATACGAAATAAATTTAAATCTTAAAATAAATTGCATGATTAGTAAACATTAATAAATAAAAAGTAAAAATAAAAAAATAATTATCGGTAAATTTTTAATTTTTCATAGTGTCTCATTTCTTCATTTCTACTAAATTTTTTTTTTAAATGTAGCAACTTTAAATATATAGCTCGTGATTTTTAAACGATAAAAAAATACTTCCTGTTCATATTTTTATTAGCGTTTTTACATACTCGTACGTCAACAGGTTTCTTTAAGTTTTCAGTTTAATCAAACGAAATTCAATTCTGAGAGAATTTTAATGCGAGAATCTAGGTTTCGCATTCATAATTACCGGCAAACAAGAGGTGTAGTAATATTTCCCCAAAAATGCTTATTTCTCTTATCGACCGAACTAAAAATAAACAACGTAAACTCCACAGTACTGTAGAGTACATACATACATACATAATGTGATCGTTCACAAAGCTAACGAACGCCGCTTTCGCTCAGAGAAACGCATTTCAAAATTTTAATTTATTTTTATTTTAGCCTTTTACGTTTTTAGTTTATTATTGGCAATATTCGTGTCGCGCTCTGGTTTTACTCTCAATTTTTTTTTTGTATATGCGCACACTTTCTTTGCGATGCGAGTCTTCAAGAAAATTTCAAATGTTTTTCTTTTTTTTTGTGAAATTTGATTCCCTTTATGCGAAAATTGCCATATACGGCATATGTGCATTTTTTCACTTTCATTTTTATCATATTTATCGTAGCTTAGTATTTACACCACAGTTGGATGCAATCAGTTAAATGTAAGCAGTATTTGTATTCCATTAGGTAGGCATTATTTACAATAGTTGTCAAAAAATAATTTAATTTTGTTAATAACACGTGTTGAAATGAAAAACCAATATAATAAGTTTCACACATATGTACATATGTATTTATATTTTATATGAACATAAAAAAACTCTGGTTTAGAAAAATATTTTGTAAGTGCTTTTGAACGGATATGACTTCAAACAACTTTTACCACTAACTTCCTTTTCCGTTTCGTTTCACTCAGAGTAACTGTTATCTGTTTATTTGTTCAAAATCGTTATAGGCTTATTCACGCGTGATCATGGTGGCATCCAAATCGCAACTAAAATGAATGAAAAGAATTTTCCTAAAATCCACCTTAGTTAGTCGTCACGCTAACCACATATATGTACATATGCATATACATATGTATGTACATATGAATGAATATAATCACATACGCACATATCTGCGTTTGAATATAAGCACGACACTATCCATAACGTATTGGAAGGCATTTCTTTGACTACGAATCTACCGGGTGAGTGCATATTCTCGCTAAGATCGCAATTGTTACCTCGCTTTTATTCAATTCATTTGCTGCAATTTCGTGCGCACCTTTGTTGTTGCTTATGTACTCTCCTGTGGTTCGGCTTTACCATTTCATAATCAGGTGGGTTGCTTTTCTAAACGAAATCGGAAATTTCATGTACTTAAATGTATCTTAATTATCATCATTATCACTTTCTGTCATTTTTAACATATTGAGTTTTAGTTTCAGATAAGCCTAAACTCCATAAGTCATCATAAATGGAAATTCGAAGTACAAGGTGATAGGCTAGAGGCGATTTGCATAAGGAAACACATAACATATTGCAATATATATGTACATAACTGTAAAGTATTTATAAATGTATTATGTTATGCATATGAGGTTATCTATCTAGCATATGAGTTTTTCTTAATGTAAATCTTTTTGATATACAAATGAACGATGTACATACATATCTGTTGGCATTCACATAAAAAACTTTAAGTAAGTACATACATATATGTATGAAAATAATCAAAGTTTTTACTCGGTTGACCCAAATATTTAAGTTATAAATAGGTAAAAAAAAGGTTCATTTCCCTAATAAATGCCGCGCCTCGGCGGGGAATGATGACAAGCCCTCCGAGTGATTTTTGTCAGAAAAATACATGAAATCTTTATTTGAATCGATATTACGGTCTATATACATATATTTGATGATTATTTAATGCAAATGTTAACCGTGACTGCTCCTCAAATGTTCCATCCGCTTAGTCCAATTTTGGCATAGTCTTTCCAACATTTCGGCCGGTATTTCATGAATAAATGTTCAATGCTGTCCTCCAATGTGTCAATTGAAGCGGGCTTATCTGTATAGGCACTCGATTTGACATAATCCCACAAAAAAGTCTAAAGGTGTTAAATCGCACGATCTAGGCGGTCAGTTGACCGCTCCCGAACGTGAAATATAATGTTCACCGAGCTCGCCTCTCAAATAGTCCATTGTTACGCGTGCTGTGTGGCATGCGGCACCGTCGTGTTGAAATCACATGTCATGCAAGTCAAGCACATTGCATGATTAGCAGGGACCAACCTATTCGGAACATTCTTAGTACTTCGAGGTATTCATTTACACATTTTCTTGGAAGACTTTGATAATCGAAGAAGCGACTAACCTCTGACTATATGTATTTAATACTCAGGGCAACGAGTGGGTAAAATGTAAATAAGTCACTGTAATAGTTATTTAAACACCATGGTTTAAATACACATAATTTATGTTGTTCGATCAATAATTAAATATTTTGCACTAGTTGAAGCTTATTTATAACTTTTCGTTAATTTTTACTTAACAGTTTCTTTGGAGTGCGGGTGATGATAAAAAATCTAAATGAATAGCTACAACAACGTGCAACCAGGTCTTTTTGTATTCTATATTTTAAAATTGTAATAGAAAATATAGGCGGCCGCAAAACCACAAATTGGAGGAGGAGCTCGGCGGAAAATCGCTTCAGCGGTTACAAAGCGTCAATTATTATAGAAAATATAAATTTACAAAGCTGGGTGAAAAAAAAGTTAATCAAATCAGTTTAAGGTTTTATTTTTTTGTATGTATGAACTAAACCTGACATGCTATTTAGTTTCGAAGTAGTTTTTTCACAGCAGGGGTATTTTGTATTTTTCACAAGAAGAAAATATACAGATGCACATACATAAGTATACGTACGAAGAGGTATACATATGAATGAAAAGAAACAGAAAACATGCCCAAAACATATGAACCCAAAAAAGACTTCTACCAGTCAAGCTGCCCAAAAAGTCTAACTAACTACAAAACCGTACCGAACTGTAATCCACTCTACAGACACAACAACAATGAAATCCCAATTTTCCCCATTTATAGCGTATATGTACGTCCATAAATGCAAAACTTCCACCTATAATTGTAAACAACAAATATTGCAATTCAATTTTTGGTTATTGAATAGCTGCTAGCTGTTGGTTGTGCCTCTCCATTCGACGATGTGACAATATTTGCAGCGGACCTTGCGATGGTAATCATCACATAAATCGAATAAAACTTATTTAGTGTGTATGTATGTATGTATGTACGTGTTTAAATATTTATTTATATGCATCTATATATGCTTATTTGCATACATACATATATATATATATATATATATATATAATTGCTGCTTTGTAACCGCTGAAGCGATTTTCGGCCGAGCTCCTCCTCCAATTTGCAGTTTTGGGTCAAATGGAGGGATCTACATACAGTTTATACTAAGTCGCCTCCGAACGGCTGATGGTTTTCTTACGACGAGCCTTTATTTGAAGTCCGAAATACACTCGGGAGGCTGCCATTCCCTGCTGAGTGGAGATTGCAATTAGAAAATTTAACATATTTTTTTATTTAAATAAAATTTCCATAATTTTTGGATGACGGTGGCACCGGGATATGAACCCGGGCCTTCCAAATGTCAGTACGCAGTGCTAACTACTCGGCTACCGCGACCGCTAAATATATATACATATAAAAATATTTGCTTATACGACTAAACTTTTGAAAATTCATTCTAATTAAAGAAAATATGAATTTCAACATTAATAGATATATAATATTAATTACATGGAAGAGTAAACTAAAACATTTTTTATCTATATTACATAAATGTTTAACTGAAAGCTTATATTTATACCCATATATGTCTCATAGAAGATCAGGAATTATATTATATAAAAAATATTTGCATATTTCTCTCATTATTCTGTTGATTAAGTGATTAACTGATAAATATATCCGCAAAATGTGAATTTTGTTATGAACCCAATGTTGATGTTTTCGTCCGGAAAGTTTTCATTTTTTTATATATGCGCATGTGAAATTGCAATAAATTCGCTTTTAACAGGCAGGTGAGAATCATATGTGAAGGCAAAAAGAACTCATTTTTAAAAATTTGTATCCTGCAATCCATTTCCACATACCTATATGCACATAAATATGCATACAAATATGTACTGTTATACACATTTTAATACTATGTGATCACCCAAAAAAACCGTAACTTTTGTGAAAATAAGATAAAGCTTTAATTGCGAGCTTTCTGTATTTGGTTAAAATCACTTCAAGCGCCTCCACATAGAATTTGATTCATCAATACGTTTATGGTAACCAAGAATATACAAATATGAATGTAAATAGAGATATTTTTGTATTCGTTCTTACTAAGAAACAGAAAAATCATTTTGACTGCTATTTTCTAAATGCATGCCTGATTGCAACTTCTGATAGTCATAGTGGGTGTTCAACTGAGATTTGAGGCATTTTACAAAGTAGTAAAGCTAAAGCTAAGAGAAATAATCGAAAATATGACTACTGTGATGTAATGCAAAATGTATGTAAGTCATTTATTGACCTTCGGTGTGATTATCATGTAAGATTGTTATTACTTGCTAAATTATAATTTTTGGTTTAATATTAATGCTGTTCGGTAACCTGATGGTTAGTACTGGGTAATGCATTTTACTGAACCGCGTTCAGTGAATCAAAAAGCCAGTAAAATCAAGTTTCACATAAAGCTTTGTCCTTTCAGAGGGCTATAAGAAAAAACAATAAATACAAAATCACACTATTATTATTTATTTCCATATATGTGTATGTATATGCCTGGGTAGAGAGATAAGTCACTATTTTCAAGATACACTCTCTACAGTATTAGTCTGTATCATGATATGACATTATAGCTATCGCCCACGGGCCGAAATGACAAAAAGGCTAAAAAATTCATGAATAATGAAATTTTAGAACTAAAATTATTACCTACATATATTCCGCACACAAATTAGATGGTTTAATAATTATTTTTGAAATCAAAACATGTTAGTTGTGCATGTGGCATATTGTTTTTTTGTAAATATCACAGTCATGTATTAAAAACACTTTCAATTAACATTTATTATTGTATGATACCGAAATGTGAATTCATTCTAAGCTTATGCATTTGCACATTTGAAAAGTATGATACGCGCGTTTTAGGTAACCGGGGTTTTAGAACTTGTCATTTCGTACTTCCAGACGTAACAGAGCGCGCTTAATTAACAAATCTTGTCAACTGAAATTACAAATCGATACTAAAAGTGAGCTAGCCAAACTCATTTAAAAAAATAAGTTCGTGGCTCGCTCTTATGAGCAAAATTACCATAATGAAATTGATTTCAAACATATGCGCGTACTGACTCTCATTTGAAGCCGGCTTTCCATTAAAAGAGTATTGGAGTAGAGTACGCTTCCGGAAGAAGGTAATACGAGATAATGTTAATATAACGCTATATACATAATTTTTAATTTTTTACTTATGATTGTAATTTGCGATTCCCATGAGAAAAACAATGACAAAAACATGCTGAAAGGAAATATTTAACAAAATTTCGAAGCCTATCGTCCCTGAACTTTTTCCTTTTTTTATTTTTTATTTAATTTAAATATGTTTAGATTAGATTTAATTAAAATTAGTGTTAGTTTACTTATACATACATTACATAAAAATGCATGCAAAGAGACTAATTACGGCACTCTATACAAGCTGAGTCCGTAATCGCTTTTACGCAAGCCACTTTATGGGTCGCGCCTTCGCTTTCGACGAGTCCGCCAATGGGCATGCATTTAAAAACAATGAATATTTTTACCTAACCTCTGTTGCTACATAACATTATTATACGTTTTCTATACTTACCACAAAAGTTGTCAGAATTTCGTTGCCAGAGAACGTATAACATATACAATATATTGTTGCGATTTTGCTAAATCAACGTCGATGATTTTCTGAATCCTTCGGGTACGATCTCTGGATTGTTAAATAAAAACTCGCCAACTTAATTTGCAGTTTCTTTCGTTATGAAGAATTTATCTAAGGTCCTTTATTTACTCAGTAATTCACAATTTACTTTACTTAAATGTAATTTCCAACGCGTTTACTCCGCTATACTCTATGTCAACGCCAACGAGTTCACTTTGTAACTAACTTGATTTGGCAGCTGAGTGTCGNGATGCGAGAAGAATTGGGAAGGTAACGTCTACCGATCTCGAGGAAGAGCTAAGATAGGTGCATGCTCTTGTGAGACAACGAACTCAAATTATGAGTGACAAAATGAAGGCCAGGTATGACAAGGCAATGAACACCGAAGGTTTCCAAAATGGAGATTTGGTGTTGCTTTACAATCCACAACGGAAGAGGGGTTTGTCCCCAAAACTTCAATGTAATTGTGAAGGTCCATACAAGATAATCAAACGACTAAACGACGCAGTGTATCGAATCCAAACCGTTGGGAGTCCAGGAAACAAGATGAAAGTGGTCCACCTTGAGAGGCTTGCTGAGTTTGGAACAGCGAATGTCTCTGATCGGGACGACCAGACTTAGGCGGAGGGCAGTGTTGCGAAAATGCGAGGCGAATGTCAGATGAAAGAGAGAAGCCGATAACTAGTACATTCTAGAACGATTAAACGAGAACTTTCGATAGCGAACAACTCGATGTTTCTACACTTTCGTCTGCGAGCAGCCGACTGCTATATAAGGGCGACACTCAGCTGCCAAATCAAGTTAGTTACAAAGTGAACTCGTTGTCGAGAACATCAGTGTAGAGTCGTAAAATAAACGCGTTGGAGATTACATTTAAGTAAAGTAAATTGTGAAAGTCTATGCAAGTGATTGTAGCTAGTAAAGTGCATTGTAATTGAATGGTGAATTACTGAGTAAATAAAGGACATTAGATAAATTCGTTATAACGAAAGAAACTGCAAATTAAGTTGGCGAGTTTTCATTTAACAATCCAGAGATCGCACTCGAAGGACTCAGGAAATAATTGAGGTTGATTTAGCAAAATCGTAACAATATATACAATCTACGTTCTCTGTCATTGTTCGCTGTCAAAATTTACAAATTTCTATCAATTGACACACAGCCAGAGAACGTAATGTAAACAATTTACGTTCTCTGTCTCTGTCTGCTGTCAATAATTTGCTTACATATCTTTTTTTCATATAAGTGATATATGTTTTCATGTTTAGTGAATTGCTTTGAGCAGAAAATAATGTCTTCGAAGTTGTCTGCGAAAAAGTTTAAATGGGCACTGGATTTTAACAATGGGTAGTTCACGACAAAAAGGAAACATTCGAAACAGAGATTTTATCAATTTTTTTTTATTTTCTTAGCAAAAATGCTGACTTGACCTCTCCTCCCGGTTATAATCCATCCGTGTTAGTTAATCACACGGAGGTCGTGAGGGATCAACGTCTAGTTATCAAGAAATCTTGGGATCTAGCTCTTGGTCCTTTGAAGCAGGTACACTAACTTTATAAAGCCAATGCTCATTTTTGTATATAAGAAGTTATTAACCTACTATATCCTACTATAGATACCAATGAACTTGTTCATTATGTACATGTCCGGAAGTTCAATATCGATATTCCCAATAATGATGGTTGGTATGATGTTGATTAGACCACTAAAAGCTATGTTTTCAACCGCAGTGACTTCTAAGATGGCAGACGGTGCACAAGGAAGCGGTCAAAAGCTTGTATATATTCTCGGGAATTTAGCAAACGTAGCTGTGGCGTTATATAAATGTCATAGCATGGGTCTTTTGCCTACACATGCATCCGATTGGTTAGCATTCGTGGAGCCGCAAACACGTATTGAGTACTATGGCGGAGGGGTATCATATGTATAAGATAAAAAATGGGTGAAATTAATAAATATTTTTCATTTTGTTTTCTTCAATCAGTAAATTGAAGTAGAGCAAACCGATTTCATTTATATAATAAAAATTTATCTCAACTAATTCCAAATAATGTGAAGGATCAGTCAACAATTTTTTTGTGCTTTTCTAAACATTATGAATAACTTCCTTTGCTAAAAATATATACATATTTACTGTTAAAATAGATGCCGTCAAATATTTTATCATTTTTTTCCTTTTTTTTTTGTTAGTTTAATTCTATTGATTTAAAGAAAATTAATTTTATTGTTCCCCAATAATTTTAAATACTTGCCAGTTAAATGAGTTTATAGCTTAAATGATTTTAAAAGAAATCGGCGAAATGTGGGTATAACTTTTGGATATAGACAGAAACCTGAACCATGACTATAAAATAAATTTTCCAAAAACATTTTCCACCGCTATCATTAAGTTAGATGCCGTAAAAATCCTATTCATATTTAAAAAAGGAGAGTATATATGTATGATTTCTCTGTTTTGAAAAATTTCGGAGTTTCGGGTTTTGTTGTATCAAGTTCTTGTTTTATTGAAGTGATTTTAATAAAGTACAATTAGTTTCGATTTGAATTCATTACTTTTTCCGATGCTCGTCAGCGAATTCCTTTATTTTATCGACCAGCTTGCCAGGTTCATCGACACGGGGGACCTAAAATACTTATAGTTTTAACTATTTTAGAGTAAAAAATGTTCTTCAACAACCTCATAATTTTGACTTATGTATATTCCAGTGTATATACCAGCACCGAATGTTATCTGAAATATGAATTACACATACATTATTACAGAAAAAATAAATTTTTGGGTGTAAAATTAATATTAATATACAACTAGATATTTTCTTTATTTTTTCACAATTTAGTAACTACACGGGAACAACTATCCGCTTCGCCAATACAAATGAATGTGTTCTCAATGATGTGCACGCATATTACTTCGTGGTTCATGCCCGTTACTTATATTAAAAAATTTTTCTTACGTTATTTCCATATAATTGTAATTAATAACACAAAAATGTAGAAGCTCACCAAAAACTTCAACATGTCGGAAAAATCAAACGCCACTTTAAAGAGTTACCAAAAACTGAGCCCCGAATGAAACGAAATAAATGACAGCAGTAAAATTTTTTCTCCGACGGTTCGGCAAGACAAAAGAAATTTGTTGGTCTTAGCGGTGGAGATCGTTTGGTTCTATTTGTTAGATAATCACTGATTAAATGAATTGAATGTTTTTGCTTAGGAAATATAACTCTTAAATATAAAAAGAGAAACAAAACCACATACTAATTAGTAACTATATACGTATGTATGTTTAATGGAATCATCTGAAATTAAATAGTAAGGTATATTTTGCCCGTAAGCTATTTCTTTTTGTTAATCACTTCCAAAAATCCCCAAAACATCCCCAAATAGCGAAAATAGTACACAAAGGCGAGAGAAGATAGAACAAGGTGACGATTGGCAAATTCTCACAATTTAAGAACCGCCTTGGTAGCTATAATAATAGCAACAATATGACATTTCAAATTTGGGCTTTTGGGAAAACTTTAGGCTCTATGTGGTTTACCCTTATGAAATGATCAGGAATGGAAGTGGTAGGTCTACAATAATTAAAAATATAAATTTTATCTCGTCAAGGGAGGCGCTGCCACCCCGAAAAAGAACTACAGGCTCCAAACTAAAGTTAACCCAAATTTTACATTGTTACGATTTTGCTTAATTAACCTTGATGATTTTCTGAATCCTTCGGGTACGATCTCTGGATTGTTAAATAAAATATCGCCAACTTAATATGCAGTTTCTTTCGTTATAAAGAATTTATCTAATGTCCTTTATTTACTCAGTAATTCACAATTCAATTATTCAATCACTTGCATAAACTTTCACAATTAAATGTAAATAAATGTAATTAAATGTAATCTCTAACGCGTTTACTTTACGACTCTCTACTGATGTTGTCGCCAACGAGTTCACTTTGTAACTAACTTCCTTGGCAGCTGAGTGTCGCCCTTATATAGCAGTCGGCTGCTCGTGGACGAAAGTGTAGAATAATCTAGTTTGTTCGATATTGAAGGTTCTCGTTTAATCGCTCTGTAATGTACTAGTTATCGGATTCTCTCTTTCGTCTGACATTCGCCTCGCATTTTCGCATAGAACGTAAATATAACAAGCCTACAAAAACTTCGTTATCTGAAGCTAACATAAACAATGTTAGTTGCAGACAGATCAGTACATTGCTGAGCATTTTTAATTTTGCCACGCTCAGTAATGTTATGCATCAATAGCAAACTCTGTTAGTTTCTGGCGGCCTGTGGTGAAATACATCCATTGTAACTTGGCAGCTTTTGACAGTTTACACGCTGGTCCGCAATTGAACCAGAGAATGTAAATACAACGAGAAGGTTCAATCAGAGAACGTATTTACGTTCTCTGGTTTAGTTTTTTTAATTACAATATTTTTTGTTCATTTCGTAACTTTTAAGGTACTGTTTTTTATGTAAGTGTGTACATATATTTATATATATTGCATGAATAAAAAAACTAATTAAAGTAATTATTATTATTTAGGATTTTCGAATCTATCGCAATTATTGCATAAATGAATACGAAAATTCCAATAGTTCAAATTTACCTATGGAAAATTTAAATGAAGATTGTTTGTTCAGTATTTTTAGGCATATCGCGGAACTACAAGATCAAATACAGGTTGCGAGAACTTGTAAAAAATTTGAGATGATATTTAAGCGATTGTGGGCCAATCAGAAACGGTATCAAGTATTTAATTATCTGGAGTGGCAAAGTTGGTTGCCGCAAGAGAACGATCTTTCATATTTTTTCCATATTAGACGCGACGCGGTAACATCAATAATTATGGTTCATCAGACGATAAATGAATTTCTGAAAAAAATGCAAAAGCTCCTTAAAACAAACAACAACAAAACACTTTCTAAAAACAAATACTTATGCTTAGAGGCAGTGAAACATTTCGTAGATGAGGAAAAATCATTGGGTATTTTACTTAAAGATAGTGATATCAAACTGTTAGTGCAAATTATCCCAAATATTGTATCACTTCACGTAAAGGAACCTCTCAGCGGAAAATATATATGGGATTTTCACAAATTAGAGGAGTTATATCTCTACGTCCCATCGCAAACTTCTTTTGAGATAGAGAACGTTCACTTTGAGAACATTTTTCAGCGACTAACATATTTGCGAATATTAGATATACGCTTATATGATGGCATGAGTCGTCTGGACTTAAAACCACTGTTAAATTGTCGCAATTTATGTATTCTTAAAGTGAATTTAAACCCACTTAAGAATTATATATGTGAAGTACTTCTGTTGCCTGAATTGGCTTGCATTAATGTTATGCTGGATTGGGATATTGACATCCAAAGCATAGGGAATGTAGATTTATACGACTTCAAAATATATCAGACGAATGAATTTTATCATATATTAAAATCTCAAAGTGAGCGTATAATTGGTTTGGCTATAGATCTTCTGTTTTTACCCCTGCAAGCGAATTTGTCTTCAGAAATACTTCTTTGGCAGGGTGGCAGCATGTTAAAAAAACTGGCCATTTGCAACTGCAATTTTTCACCCGATACGTTAATTGATTTTGTCAATGAAATGAAACGGTTGCAAATCCTTTCTTGTCGCTGTTGGGAAAATTTAAGGAATGAACACGTTCTACATTTCGTAAAGCAATGTAAAGAACTAGAGCACTTAGATGTTAGTTTTTCTAGTAACATCAATGGAAAGTTACTTTATGAAATACTGGGTGTATTCAAAAACCAGAACAGGGAACATCCTATAAGGATTTATTACCAAAACAGTGGCCTAGAAGTGGAAGTGGAAAAGGTGGTAAATGCATGGTATTAGATAGATGTTTTATTAGAAACTTGCATTTGGTTCTCTAATTCATAGAATCCAAAGTTTTGGCAACGTCAACGTTTGATAAAATTATTTGCGGAATTTCCCCCTGGTTCAGAAGAGGGATTGAGCTACGTGTATCGAGGATTCGAATTTGACTTCAATCATATATAATCATTTATAATTTTAAATGTATTACAATATTTAAAAGATGTTAATTACTTTGCAACGGATTTTTGAACATTGAGAATAATAAGTAATTTCTGTACATACTCGAACTTCTCTTTGTATTACAGTTTTGGCTAAGTAGTAGTAGTTCGCCGAACACACTAGATATCATAAACACTTTATTTATTATGTATATAAAAGAATTTGTCCTTTTTCTCAACTTGGAGGTATCACGGAGACATACGTCAAGAGGGGATTTTGCGGTAATCCCTTCCGATCTATTCGAATAATTGGAATATTTTTCGAATTTTTCTTTCAGGGAAGTATTCGGAATCCGATTAGAGCTCAATTTGGTTGATATTTAGATAAAAAATTGGGTTTATCTTATATGTATTGAAACATTTCAAGAAAATACTTTATATGTTATAATAAAATAAATATCTTAAAATCGAACTAAAAATCTGAAGAACATGTGCTTCGTACAAAATACGACTTGTAAAAATTTTAAAATAGAATTGGTTGGGGAAAAATACTATAATTTTTTATTTCTACCTAAAACGCCCGCACGAAGACGGAGATGTGCAATAAGAAACCTGCCAATCAGGCGAGCCTCGGCGATTACACAGAGTTCGTCATAAAACAGATATTTTTTTAGTTGAAATATGTACATTTTCAATTAATATATTAATTTATTATGAAAAAACTCTGAAAACTGTCGATAGAAAGAAATGTACGCATACTGAATTTACTAAGGAACTGAGAAATATTTTACAAAAGTATTTATTTACAAAAATTTCCACTCTTTGTCGATCTAGAATTAATTAAAATTTGAATTGACATCAAATGTTTCCAGTTAATAGTCCAGTCTCTGACAAACCAGTATTCAAGATTATAAAGAAAATTTCATTGTAATCACCCTCTTGTCTAAATATATTTTTGTACAGAAATATCCTTACGTCGAGAGAATCATCCTAGGACAAAAGACTGTGAATATTCTTATTTTTATTGTTATTTCATTTTCCAAGTTTTAAAAATTAAAATCATTTAAGTTGGTACACTTCATATGTTCGATTTAAATGCCAATCAAATATACATGAACTATTTGGCAATAATGGCGGCCGCGGTAGACGAGTGGTTAGTACTGCGAACTGCCATTCGGAAGGCTCGTGTTCAAATCCTGGTGTCGTACTAACATCCAAAAGAAAATAATTTAAATAAAAAATTAAGTTAAATTTTCTAATTACAGTCGACCCTCGGCAGGGAAAGGCGGCCTAATATAAAATCTATGTCCCTTTATTTGTTGAAAAAACATCAAGACGCAAAACCACAAATTAGAAGAGGAGCTCGGCCGAAAAATTGCTTTAGCTCATTCCTACAAAACATACACACACATCGAGCGTTTGGTTCCACTCGCTACGTTCCCACTCAGTGCATAAAGCACAAACTAAGATAGTACGGCGGCAGCGTCGTAAAGCTTTTTATACCGTAAAATAAGCAACTTAAATTCAGAAACCATTTTAATTCTAACGTTTCCTCATTTTGTTTCAGGAGAGTATATATCCTCAACTAAATTATAATTTTGGATTCATACAAAGAAAGCACCAGCACCTGTCAAAACTTGAATAGTAATTTATTTTAAAATTAGTAGGTCTTATCCTTTATTAGTTATTCCCTAAATATAAATATTTAGATGTCTAAGTTGCTTGATTTAAACGACGATTGTCTGTACAGTATATGCACTTGTTTGGATTTGAATGACTTGTTATCACTGAAAAAATCATGTAGACGCATGGAAACAATTGTTTTGTACTTATGGAGACATCGATATAGGAGGCTTTCACTAACAAGGAACCAAATGGGTTCATTTACTGATAAAAGTATATTTGTTGATCTAATGTCAAGTGTTTGTGATATATTGGAGGAACTTACTATTGCCAGTATTGACAGTTCACAAATTAAATGGATTGCCCATTTGCGGTTTCATAAACTACATTATTTAGAATGTAATATTAATCATAATTTTAATGAGAGCTGTGATGGGAATACGCTTTTATTAACTAAAATGTGCGCATACATTACCAAATTGACACTATTAAGTAGTACAACAGGAAAATACATAAAGGACTTTAATCATCTCATTGATTTAGATTTGAGCTGTTGCAATTATCTTGATACAGAATACATTGCAGAAATCTGTAGCTCATTAAAATTGCAAAAAATTGCCATACTATATTATGGCTATAACACAGTCATCGAGATGTCTGCCATTACGAACTGCCGTACGCTCGAAGAGCTGAAAATCGACGATCATCACTTAATGCTGTTCATTGACGGAATATTGTCACTGCCGCACCTCCGTAAGATCAGTTGCTATACACGTGATTATGGTGTTTACTTGGTGGATAAAATCGCTCTCACGCGTGGACCAAGCATACATACAATGATTTTTAATAGTGTTCTTTGGTCAAATGATCGCCATATTCAAAATCTCATTCAAATGTCGTACTTAAAATATCTAATATTGGTAGACGATGACGTTGAAGACGAACAACTTATGAAACTATCTCAGCAATTGACGCAACTACTTGAATTTCATTGTATAAACAGTCGTTTAGAAAGTGATGATGGGATTTTAGAAATTATAAAACGATGCGAAAAGTTGGAAGTGCTAAATTTAACAAAGTCAAATATTAGTGCCGACTTCTTGAAGAGTCTTCAGTGCGTAGAAAATCAAATCGAACGAGTTGTACCCTTGAAATTATATTGCGGCCAAACATCGATTGAAGACAAACCATTAATAGAGGTGATTAATTATTCAATATATTTTTTATATTTACACTATGCTATATAGTTATCTTTCCATCCAATTTTAGAATGGAAAGTTGGTCATGTCAAATAAAACATTAAATTTAGATTTGCCGAGTGGACGTTGTTTTCAATGCGAATGGTAAAAAAAATGTTCCTAACTTCCTACTAAGGAAGATTATTGTTACGCAAAAGGACTAAAAGTTAAAAGAAAATAAAAGGCTAAAAGAAACTAAAAAATAAATAAAATATTACTGTTAATACAAAAGTTTGTCTTTTCTTTTTCTGTTTTTCAAATTTTTATTTAATTGTCTATAAAACAAGGTAAAATTTGCACAAACTTAATTTTTCATAAAACGATTAAGAGTTTTATGTAAAAGTCTGCATTTTAAATATAAAAACTTGCATTTAGCGTGTTTAAGTAAAAACAATGTTCTAGTCCCTTAGAATACATACATATGCAATGTATATGAGTTTACAATATGTCTAAAATCTTACGAGTAAATAATAAAATTAGTAAAAATTATAATGTTCCTTATTTGATTATTTGTTCTCTCTGTATTATAAAGTCCCAAGTATCTTTCCATCGCAAATTGATTACTTCATCCGAGGACAACTTTTTTATGCCGTATGTAAGTGGTAAAAACTTGAAAAATACCCACAGAACTGCCACAAACCATAATATAATGCCAAGTCGATAACTCCGAACTAACCAGATTAGCTTTGGTCGTACAGTTTTCTTTGCAGAGTCTTTATCTTTTGTAGAACAATGCAGTTGTAGCAGATAATCGATGTGCTCTATGATGTAACACAAAAGCAAAAGTTTGAATATAAAAGCTGGAAGGTAATTGTGTAGAAATAGCGCGCGATCCATCGTGAAATACGGTAAATAATGCATTAAATAAGCTACTAAAAATATGTCGCCAGCATAGCGAAATCGTTTCCATTCACTTTCCGGGATATCGAAATGGAGGCGACGTCGACGTAGTACATAAAATATATTTAGCACTATATATAACAGAAGCGCTCCCGTGCCAGTATACCAAGTAATTATGTTACCAAGCAAATGTATCTGGCTATTCGTTTTAGAGTCCACCCAATAAGCTATGCCTTTATCCAACAATGGCCATTCCAACGGTGATGAACTATACATGTGAGCAGTTAACGTTTTTGTGTTCCAAAGCATTTTGGTTTGCAATTCATAGAATTTCTGAAGAAAACTCAGTTTTGTTTTTTTCGTGGGAATCATTTCAGCTTTAAGTAGTTGACGTTCACGTTCCCGATGGTCTTGTGCTGTGCGGAAAAAGAACTTTATTTTCATAAAATCATTTTCAGTAAAGATTCGGATTTACTTTTTGTGTAACGATGTTCTTCAACATTCCAAATTGCGTCTTTATGTTCCACAGCTCGATCTGCCACCACTTCGTGTTGATTGAAACCCCAATCTGGAAGTTGACGTCCACTAAAACGCAATGCCGCACCCGTGGTTTGATGAATAAGTCGCACCTCTGACTTAATAGCATGCCAAATATGCCCTTCCTAACAACACAATAGTGAATAGCATAGGCTGAGTATACATATCCATATGTATCTATGTATGTAAGTATGTATGTATAGTAACGAATGTAGGCCCAATTACATATACATATATGTATATGAACCACAAACGCGTCTCTAATTAACAGCAGGATTCAGCAAAATATAGTCAGGAGTTAAAAATCAATCAACATCCTCCGGAGTTAAATTATATTAATTCATCTTTATAACCAAGCATGTGTAATGTCGATTAATGGTTTAATGAAAATTTTTACCGGTTTCTTAAGTACTTCACATTGAAAAATTATTTCTAAATTTGTAGATTAAAGCCGCATATGCAGTACCACAAGCCAACGAAAATATTTCTATATACGTTTTTATGGAATATTTACATGGCAACAGTTAACAACACTGATTAAAAAACATAATTAGAAAAAATTATTATGCAAATAAATAAATGTATAACCGCTATGTGTTGTGATCGAGCTGTTTTTGTATACATATGTATGTCAGTTTTATTTGTACTTGTCATCCAATATTTTTTGGTAGCACAGAAAAAAGTTGAGTACTCATTAGATTCGTATATTCATAAATTGATTACCTACCGTATCGCGATTTAAGATCTCCACGCGCCATAGTAATTCACCACGCATTTTGATTTCATAATCAATGTAGCATGATACTTCTTGACATTGTGGTGTCATTGGCGCAGCAACATCGTGAGAGTTAAGCCCACGACTTGTGATTCCATGGACCAATTGAATAATATCTCCATGGCGTATAACATCCAACTCATCCCCAACGACCAAATCTTCTCTTTCTGGTCGCTTAACGATCCACCAGTTGTTTACGTCTTTAAATGAATAGCACGTGACCTGTTGCTGATGTGAAGAACCACGTTTATCCGGATAACGGACCGGATAGACATGAGTATGCGAATGTAACCAACAAGTACGCCCATGAGTGTGTCGTAGAGTTATCTGCGAACCATGTACAACTTTGAGCGGTTGGCCTTTAGTAATCGATGCTAGACCACCATCAAGAGAAGCTTGAAAGGCACTTGTCATTGCACTGTCATGCGGCCCAGCGCGAAACAACACTTGCAAATGGATATAGAATATTCCCATATATAGGGTCACAGGCACAATGGTAAATATAAAAATGCGGGCAAGAGTTTGTAGCGTTATATGTAGATCTATAAAAAAAATTCTTTAAATAACAACAGGAAAGTTTAGTTTCATTTGTAACTTGCTTGATAGTGTGGCATCGTATAGCTTGTCCCAAAGGAATTGGCATGATATATATCCTGCCATACTGTAAGTTAAGAATCCAACATACTTTGTAGTAGCCGCGAAAGTGAAACATGTTGCAGCCATGAGTCCAAACAGTAGCCAAATAATACTTCCGAAACGACTACGTTGAAAGCATAACATATAATAGAGACCACAAGTAGTAAAGAATATGAGCATGGACTCCATCAATATAAAGCGAGATTGCGTTAATAAGGCATTGTCGAAAATAACAAGCAAGCCCCCCAGAAAAGCAGACCACACGGAGCACTGCGCCTCCATAAGAAGCTTGTAGACGACAGGAGCTAAAGCGCTCCCACTTAACGCTGGCAGAAAACGTAACCAGAAGACGGGTACATTGTCGCTATATTCCGCACCAATATGTGGAAAAGTGTAATTACCGTCGTAACCGTTGGCGACATGCGCAACTGCAGCTATGAGTTGCTTACCCAGGGGTGGATGTTGGTCGAAGAAAAAGATGTTACGCATGTAGTAGGATATGTACTTGCCGTAATGTATCTCATCAAAGCTGAGAAAATAAGAATGTTAATGATGCTTTTTTTTATTAAAGAAACACAGATATGTTTATATTAGTACGTACACAACGTGGCGTGGTGTTGATAACTTATAGAAGCGTGTACATAACGCTAGAATGAATAATAGCCAAGTACACAAGTCCAGTTGCAGATGTACTGTGAAGTGTCGTCCCAGCGGAGGTAGAGCGATATTCACTGGAGGCATTTCAGTGGGTACTGTTGCCTTATTAGCTTCAATTCCGACACCAGAATCCGGCGAACTATCCCGCAAAGCTCTTGTTTGTTCGATAGGTGGAGTAGTTTTTGTGACGCTCTCCCTCAAACTGGTCGCAGTAGAACTCCGACTGCGTCTACTGCTCTGCGAACGTGAATCAGAAGACACTGCAGAGGCATTTGAAGATATCGATACCCGCTGTATCTTTTGCTGGTATTCTTGTTGATTGGCAAACACTGCAAAACGTTCGTTCATGGCATTCAGACTGCAGTTGACATCGTGGCAACAGGCAATAGACCTATTACATAGTTTTGACGGTGTTCCGCGCAAAACTAAGGTGGAGGAGGGACAGGGAGTGCTACTGTTGCTAGCGTTGGCTTGTTTTGCTGTTTTTGATCTCCACATTATAACAGCGAGTATGTCGCCTAATGAGTAGCGTTGAAGTCTTTTGTTTAAAGAAGTGGGCTCTAGCATTGACGCGTTGTATGGATCGTTTATTTTAGAATTTTTAGTAGATGTTGCTCCCGTTGTTGTTGTTGCAGCCGATGAAGAATTAACGTATACAGAACTTGTACTCACTGCAGCATATTTTGATTTCGGTTTAGTTATTAATGCTTTGCGCCGTTTCACACTGCTGCCATTGCCGAACATAACGATATGTATGTATATGTTTGAATATATAAGCAATATATTAACAATAATTCCTATACTTTTAACGCAATTACATGCATACGTAATGTATGCCCAAAAAAATTAATTTATTAGTTTACGAGAAAATATTTTCCTTATAAACCCAATATTCAGCTTCCAAACTATGTACTAACGTATGTATAACATATACCGTATTTCCGCCGCTTACTCTTATTTCAAACTGAATATAAATTATTAACCCACACCTTTATTTAGCATAATCTTAATATCTTAAAATATGCTTATATGTATGTTATATTTAGCTTTCACTCTTGTTCAACAACAACGCAAAGTTGATTTTTATTACACTTGGTGCAAATTTGTTGCAGTTTTTTAAACGATCCCTTTATAAAATCTTGAAAATGAAATTGTTTATGTAGTCTGAATATACGATTGCATATATGATGTGTAATATTTAACACAGAAAATGTGAGCATGCGCAACAAGTCACTTGGAATGTTGTCGGATTTTCACCACTGATGCGTACATACATATGTATGAAAACCAAACACAGATTAAAAGCATCACGATCACAACCGTCGCCACGTATTCTGGTTTGATAACTAAACACAAGAAGTCTTCAATGCATTGCTCGTACCACTGTTGACCATAAATGCTGAGTAAATAGTGTTTGCCTCTCATTTAAACTGTTTTCTTGAGTTCGGTTTCTCTAGATCATTATTTATTTACATACTTGTGCAGCGAGTTCTCTCCTATTTCTTATGCTGCAACTACCCATCTTACATACCTTCAGTATATAGCAACCTATCTTTTGAGGGCGCGATGTAAACACAAAGTTATCACTTCTTGCCCATGCCGTTACTGACGGTTTTCCCGCAGAAACCAACGGCCATTTGATATTTTCCGTAAAACCGGCTCGGCTGATTTCTCGTTGCTATACAAGGTTGCCAGTATAGGCTTTTTTAAACTAATAATAAATAATCGAAGATAATGCGTAGTTTTTTTTTTCAAAATAAATGAAAACCAAATTCGGAACTAATTATTTGTCATCATATAGACTGGCAGCTGGCAATATTTCGCCACTCTCAGTAGCGTCGATAACTCGTGTTTGTATTTCGCTTTTCCAGACGGCAGTTATGGACGAAAGGTAAGTAAAATGGGTAGTTACAGCATTATTTGTAAACTTATACAGGCATATACATATATAAAACGTAAGTGCAAATGAGTAACGTTTTTACCGTTATATTTTATATTATATTAACGTATTTTATTATATAAAATATTACTATAAAATACTATTTATAAATATAATATATATATAATATAGTATGTATGTAATATAATATAAATGAAGGAATTTGTCATGTACGGTAAAAAATCTGAATAATTATTACTTCCTTCATATGTAACCCAATCGACTTTTATTTCTATGATTTTCAATTTGTGTACTCAAAAACTTCAAAAGGTATTTTGCCTGTTATAATTTTATCTTTCTTTTAGGGCGTTCCGTTTACTTCATTTAAGTTGCAAAACTCACATTCACCTGGTATGACTTTGGGATACCTTTTTCCGCACCATTGATGTGCTGCCCTTTCTTGCGGTGTGTATTAACACCACCAAGAGTGGATGGCTGTGCACATGTTTAAGGCTGATTTACATATAAGTATATTTTGTTATGTTTTATAAAGTCATTAAAGAAGATATATAAAAACTAACGTGTAATTTTTAGACTTTCGTTGTGTTATATATTCGGTTTGCTTTGCTCCTTAGTTAAAGTTCGTCTGTCAAACATCAGCCTTAAGAAGTGTAATAAACGCAGTAACATGAAATCAGTTATTCAAATTTGTATCTCATATTCTTACATACGCAAATGACTAAAACCAAGGCGGACATTTATTTTTTTTCAAATTCTTTGACACATTCTTCTATAATGTAATAAAAATATTAATAAATAATGTCGTTGGCTGAGAATTTATTATAACTTAAATTCAAGTATTTATGGCGGATGGGACTATGTGTAGAAGTTCACGCAAGTGAGGAAAATTTTTGACTACCATTCACCTGGAAGTGGTTTGACGATTTCAACGCCAACTGCCAGAAAATTCAGCCTCCACGATGAAGCATCCCCAAATAGGTTGAGGCTGGTCGACTTCACTGGAATACGCCGAATTACGGAAGGTTTCACACCCAGGGTGGAGGGGGGTGGTCTAGTGACGGATGCACAGAGTATACTGAATTTATGGAGGGAACACTTATCTAGCTTGCTGAATAGCAGTGAAAATGGAACACCGGAGACGGCGAAATCCTAATCGAAGACGATGAGGAGGTTCGAATAGCGATTGCCCGCTTAAAGAACAATACAACGGCTGGAGCTGACGGCCTACCGACGGAGCTATTCAAACATGGCGACACCGTGTTGAAAAGGTATATGCATCAGCTTCTTTGCAAAATATGGCCACATGAAAGGGTGTCCGACCTTTGGAACGTAAGTGTGCTCTGCCCAATCCCTAAAAATCCAACAGTGTGAGCCAATTACCGTGGGATAAGTTTCCTCAATATCGCATTTAAGGTCCTAGCGAGTGTATTGTGTGAAAGACTAAAGCCCATCGTCAACAAACTGATCGGAGCTTATCAATTATTGACCAAATATTGCGCCTGGGCTGTCTACACCGCTATTTCTGAATTTGGTATTCCCGCAAAACTTATACGTCTATGTAAGCGGTCGCTACACAACAGAAGCGCAGTCAGAATTGGTAAGGACCTAAGAAGGTGACTATATATGGTGTGATTTCTTTAATTTGATGCTGGTGAAAATAATAGCAGCTACAGAGCCAAATAGACAAGGTACAATCCTTTACAAGAGTGTTCAACTACTGGTGTATGCTTTCTCAAGACTTGATAAAGATGCAAAGCGAATGGGATAACTTCCTTTATCTTGGAACTAGTATTAACATCAACAACAATGCCAGTTGGGAAATCCAACGCGGAATTGCTCTTGCCAACAAGTTTTTCTTTGGCGCAGAAGCGTGGACGATGTCAACATCTGATTAGTCTGCTTTGGGAGTCTTCGAGACAAAAGTTTTTCGAACGATTTGAGGTCCCTTGCGCATTGGCAACGTCGAATACCACAGACAGCTTCAAAAAATTTGCGTAATGGTAGGAAAAGATCAAGAATATCCACTGGAGCAGGGGCACAATGGCGGTTATCCGACCACTTTTGGATGCAGAAGTATTTCAAGTTCTCAAACATACACTCAAACCTCTGTAGTTTTAACACTGAATATATAGAACTGTAACGGCTCAAAATGAGCCAAACTTGAGTGTCATGCAAAACTATTTGGCTAATTAATCACACAATTTTCCGTAGAAAAAACTGTCGAGTATACGATGTTCGATTCTACTTAAACTTGACAATTCGTTACTGGTTTTGATTAGTTTTTTAGTCTACGTGGAATATATTTTACTTGCGTATGGCACTCGCGTTTTTTGCCAGGCGTGTACTCGTATACGTAAATTCGGGTATGTGCAATTGTGTTATTTTATTTAAGCGTGAATGTGTATTTCAGATGAGTAGGTGCGTAGTGGGCTTTGGTTTTTGTACACATCATACTTATATAAATTTGCATGTGTGTTTATGAAAGTTTCTGCAATACACTTAGGCATATGTATAAAATGCATGATAATGCAGCGATGTAGAAGATTTATGCATGTACATATGTACATACATAGTACGCGTGTATGGATGTTTGCACTTATATGAAGGTTTGTATGTGTGTGCTTGCAAACATGTGTATTTATTTATTTATTTTATTTTATTTTGTTTTATCTACATACATAGACAGGTACAAATACATATACATACGTATATAGTTATTTGAACAAAAGTAAATGGTTTTTCAGCGTCATTCTTTGCTTTTCATATACCGGTCGGATAGCAACTGCAGCAGCAACAACAATAACATAAACGCGCTGGCAATTAATACAATAAATTTTGCGTACAGTCTAGACAAAACACAACCAACAACAAATTTGACAACAAAAATACATCATCAATTTGCCAGGATTTCATACACAAATATACAAATAGGTATACAATGTATATTTACATACTACAAATGTATGTTATGTGCATAAATCCCTTGAACACCAAACAAAAATTTAAGCTTTGCCGCAAAAATGCATTTCGTGCAGTTTTAAAGCAAGTACAGTTGCTACAAAATATATTTCCACAAAAAACATGAATGCGTTTATGCATGTGTCTACATATCTCGTATAGAAGTGCATATAACATATCAATTTACATAAATAAGTACTCGTATACACAAGCATATATCTGCATTGATTATTAGTTTTGAAATCAACTTCTACTAGTGTATTATGTGCAAAGTAACTGCATCGAACTGTGCAAGGGATTGGCTGTAAATTTTTTTTCTAAACAGCCAAGAAACATTTTAAACATCCTTTCTGTTTACAAATTAGATTTCTATACGGCAATACAGTATACAAATAACATCCATCATACTTTGCCAAGCTGTAAACATTCAACTAAAACAAAATTATATAGGTAAGTACTGCAATTAAAGCGCATATAATCGCTGCAATCACAATTACACAAATACATATATAACCATGTCGAGGTAACAACTTAAAAGGCCAATACCCATATTCATGTCACCCATTAGTTTTCATTGGATCTTGCTGAACCTAACGTGACCCACGTGGTATGAGACGCGCAGTATTCCGCTTATACAAACGCTGCTAAATACCTGGACATGGTAGTGTGCTCGTTGAGAGCCCAAACCTCTAAAAACGACACTATTGGAATATTGGTTTTGTTTAGAATTTTAGATTTTTGCGTTTAGCGTGGAATTTTATGAATGAAAGTTTTGTAAATAGCACATACCAACGCCACCGACGAGGGTTTTGCTGTCGCCCTATGGGAATGATATGGGGTAGGTATATAGAGGAATGATATTTTGATTTTGTTAGCCTATCTTTTTTACCATTTTCACTTCTTGTTACAAAAACTATCAACTCCTCTTTTTGCAATCAAAATTTCCATTGACTTAGAATAAAGTTTGATTTTTCTTTTCACGGATACACAAAGATATATGTGAATATAAAACTGGCTTTACTCTCGTGCATATTTGCATTTTACCTCAAGGGAGGTGGTTGGTAGTGTTGTTAGATGTACAGTAGCTTACATCACTTCCTCATGGGGCGGTGTTAGTTTTGGTTCATTTTGCGAGCAATGAGTTTCTAAACATACTTCACACTTTTTTTGTACAGTTAGTTTAGTGGATAACTCCTCCCAAAATAATCCTAAATTCGCATGAATGTTTTGCTTCCATATTACTAATGAAAGTGAATTTTGTTTAGATTTTCGTTGATTAGACATTCCATGCTGAATTTTGCAGGGGATTCCAAATAAATGAAGCTCGTTGTATTTGTTTAGGCACATATATATGTGCATACATATTTGCATACACGTATCGTTGATTCAAATAGAATTTTAGGGTAACAACTTGTGGGAATAACTACTTAGCAGATGACGCACATTATAAAATTATATAATCTTTGCGTTAGGAATGAATAATGTTTAAGATTTTGAAAAACACCAGAATATTTGTCGGAACGATTCAATATGGAGAAAATAAATCAATGTGACACATTTTTTAACGTTATTATTCAAATAAATCAGCCTTTTAAATAATAACTATATTATCCATAAATAATTCGTCCTACTCATTATTTGCTCGGTTAGAGGTATTTGCCTTGGCCAATGCGTAAATAACCATAAATCTTCACTCAACCTTGGTCTACTTCTATAATATAATATATACTGGTTGATCTTTGTTTCGAGA